TGATTCTGGCCACATTTTTGCGCTTTCTATGCTGTTTTTATAGCGTTTCTTGACATTCCACTATTGCTTTTTTGACGCTTTTTCCGTTGCCTTTTTGCATTTTTTTATTTTTTTGTCACTTTTTTTAGACCTTTTTTTTATCACATTTTTGTAAGTTCTTTTTTATCACCTTTCTGTCACCGCTTGTCACTTTTTGTCGCCTTCTTTTCTCTAGTTATTTGTCGCTAGTTTTGGTAGTTTTTTGGCCTTTTATTTAACGCGTTTTTTTTTCTCTTCTGTGTCGTTTTTTTATTATTTTCCTAGGCCCTTTTTCTGGCATTTCTTCTCCGTATTTTATCACGTCTTTTTTCATTTTTTTGACGTCATTTGTGCTGACCGATTCATTTGTATCGTTTTTTTGTCATTTTTTTGTCGCTTTTTTGTAGATTTTTTATTGCTTTTTTTAATTACTTGTTTTGGTCATTTTTGCACGTTTTTTTTTTATATTTTCTGCCGTTTTATGGTGTTTTTGTGTTCTTTTTGGGTTCCTTCTAAGTCGTTTTTTTGTCGCATTTTTTGTTTCACCTTTTTATATCCTTTTTTGATCTCTTTTTTGTAGTGGCATTTTTTTGGATTCTTCTTATCACCTGGTTTTGCTCGTTTTTTGCCCTTTTTGGTGCGTTTATTTTTATTTTTTTGCCTCAATTTTAGTGATTGTTTCACATTTTTTGTGGTCTTTGCTTTAACTTCCTTTTTCTTGGTCGCATTTTTTCGTTACCATTTTCTTTGTTTTTTTATCTTCTTTTTCGTCACTTTTTACCGTATGTATCACGTCTTCTTCCTTTTTTTATGTCTGCTTTTTCAGCGTCTTTTTGTCGCTTTTTGTCACTTTTGTCGCCTTCTTTTCTGTCGTTTTGTCACTTGTTTTTTTTATTTTTTCTGTCTTTTTTTATCGAGTTTTTTTTAGCATCTTTTTTGTTACATTTCTTAGGTGCTTTTTCTTCCGTTTCTTCCCAATATTTTATCGCTTATTTTTTCGCATTTTGACAGTTTTTATTTTGACTTTTGACTCATTTTTTGTTGATTTTCCAATCACTTTTTTGGCACTTTTGTAGCTTTTTATCGCTTTTTAAACGCTTGTTTTGGTCATTTTTGCAGGTTTTTACGTCCCTATCGTAAACTAAGAAAGTATTGTAATCAAGTCTATCCACTCAATTCCTACTTTTCTTTTAATATTTGTACCGTTTTATGGCGTTTATTTGTCCCTTTTTGTTTCTTTTTTTAGTCGTTTCTTCGTACCTTCTGCTGTGATTATTTTTTCGCATTTTTTGTGGTCTTTACTTTGAATTCTAGAGACACTTTTGTTGCCTCTTTTTAGTTTTTGTCACTTTTTCTTGTCGTTTTTTGCTTTGTCAGGTTTTTTCGGTTCTTTTGTCTTTTTTTGCATATTTTTTAATCACATTTTAATCTGTAACTTTAGTCACATTTTTTGTTGCTTTTTTGCCCTCTTTTTTATCATATACTTTGTGTTTTTTTGTCACTTTTTTAACTTCCTCTTTTTGTGGTCTTATTGTTATGCGTTCTTTTTATCACCTTTTTATCCCTTTTTCCTTTGTCGCTTTTTGCCATTTTTTTGGTGTGTTCTTTTGTCTTTTTTCCGTTTTTTATGTAGTTTTTGACGTCTTTTTTTTGCTTTTCTTATGAGCTTATTAGCCTTTCTTCTTTTATTGCCGTTTTTTATCACTTTTTGTGTCCTCTTTCGTATCTTTTTTATCGTCATTATTTGTGACCTATTTTATTCTCATTTTCACCGCATTTTTTATTCCACCTTTTTTTATCGTCTTCTTTTATATCCTTTTACGATTCTTTTTTTGTAAAGGTATTTTTGTGGATATTTTTATCACCTTGTTTCGCTCGTTTTTTGTCCTATTTTTTTTGTGCCTCGTTTTTAGTGGTTACTTCACATTTTTTGTGGACTTTCTTTTTAATTTTGTCGCTTACTTTTTCGCATTTTTTACGGTTTTTATTTTGATTCTCTTTTATTAGGGTCATTTTTTTTTCTTTTTTGTCCCCTTTTTCGATCTTTTTCCTCCTGTTTGTCACGCCTTTTTTCAATTTTTTGTCGTCACGTATCCTTTATCTTAGCTCATTTGTAAGGCTTTTTTGGTCACCTTGGTTGTAGCTTCTTTTGCAGCTTTTTTATCGCTTTTGATTGCTGTGATTAGTTTTTCGCATATTTGTGGTCTTCTCTTTAAATCCATTTTCGTTAGTGTTACATTTTCTTGTCGATTTTTCGCTCTATCAGGTCTTTTTTTCGTTTTTTTTTGTCTATTTTTTTGTTACTTTTTTGCCGTCTTTTTTAAAACGTACATTGTGTTTTTTATCACTTTTTCTGACTTCCTCTTTTTGTAGTCTCATTTTTTTGCGTTCTTTTTTATCACGTTTTATCCATTTTTTGTCGTCTTCTTGTGTCATTTTTTCATTTTTTTGGCGCTCGGTTTGGTAACTTTTGCATTTTTTTTTTGTGCGTTCTGTTGTCTTTGATGCCGTTCTTCTTATTATCACCTTGTTTTGCTCGTTTTTTGTAGTTTTTGGTGCGTTTTTATTTTTTGCCTCTTTTTTTAGTGGTTGTTTCACATTTTTCGTGGTCTTTGCTTCGACTTCCTTTTCCTTGGTCGCATTTTTTTTTGTGTTTTTTTTTTATCTTCTTTGTGTCGTTTATTTATGCCTTTTGTATTATGTCTTTTTTGTTTTTTTTGTCTGTTTTTCTTCCTGTGTCTTTTTCTGTCGCCTTTTTTGGTCTCTTTTTTAATCCCAATTTTTAGTTGCTTTTTTCCGTCTTCTTTATCGCATAATCTGCGTTTTTTGTGCTTTTTTGACCTGTTTTTTTGTAGAGGAATTTTGTGACCTATTGCCATTTTTAGGGCGTTCTTTTGTTTTTCTTTTTTGCGGTGTTTTGACGGCTTTTTTATTGCTTTTCAAAACGTTTTTTTCCTGACCGTTCTTCTCACTGTTTTTGGAGCTTAATTTTTTCGCATTTTTTGTAGTTATTTCTTGGACGATTTTTTTACCTTTTTTTTTCTCACTTGTGTTGTTTGTGCATTCATCTGTTGCTTTTTTGTTACATTTTGCACCATTTTTGTGTTGTTTTTGTCACCTTGTTTGTCACTTTTTTTTCTTTTTTAACACTTTTTGGCGTAATTTTTGGTCACCTTTTTGTATCCCCTTTTTGTTGCTTCGTGTAGTTTTTCTTGTCCTTGGTAAAAATTTTATGACGTAATCACAAAGTATGTAACTTATAGAGGTTATAAAAAAAATCGTAATATCTAGTTTTGTCATTTATTATGGATTTCTTTCACAATACTTCAGGACTTCTGTCTAAATAAATAGACCTAATTCCTTTTGATAAAGAATCTAAATCAGTGAAAACATATAGGGTGTTAAAAAAAACTGGTATATATAAAAAATAAATATATAATAAATGTATAATTATTATGTAATAATCGAGACATTCTTCCACAACTGGGTTTAAGTGCACGTGGTCGTTTGTCAGGCTCGTACAATATTTTGTAAATAAAACACATATACACAGCATAATCAGATTAAGTCCCTTTCAGTAAAACTAATACAAAAGTTACCTAAATTTAATCGTAACAATGTTTCCTTCCAAATAAAAGCAGATGGGACCTGAGAACTCATTTCCGTTGTCCTTTAATTTGTTCGCCGAACCTAAAACATTTATTTGAATTTTGTAAACAAAACTGAGGAGATTTCGTAACAAGCAGGAGTGACATTGAAGTAAGAAATGAGTTATATATTACACCGTCATTATCATTAATATTAATTTTATAAAAGTGTGGAAGTCTTTGTAATTTATTAAAGATCAATACTGAACACAAAAAGGGAAAAAACGTCAGCATATTCCTGACCGATTCAATTAGTATCAATCTATCCCTCCACTAAACGCTTTATTTTATCTCCTAATGTCCGCCTAATGTTGAACTCTTTATCTTATCAATCAATGAATCTATCACTCAATTGTTGGCTATCCTAAAACTCGCCGCGTTTTAGTGAATACAGCAAAAGTGCAACTACAAAAAAATACTCAACTCCACAAAACTTTTAAAAGTATTCCTTCCTCTCCCCTACATCGTCCAATTCCCATTACAACAATTTTAACTGCATGTAAATGGAAATAAATGGAACTCCCTCCCACCCATAAATCCTTTTAAAATTTTCGGTTCTTATTAATTTCGCATTAGATTTGACAAATCCCGTAATGAAAAGACCCGAGAAGATTCTAAAATTGACGTCTTTTGTGCGAGACATGAAAGGACATAATTGAATTTAAAACCTACTTTGAAGCAGCGACAAGAATACGTCGGTTATAATTTTTTCTTTTTTATTCGTTTCGTCGTGGATCACGGAACGATACTTACATTTTAGAGGAAAATTATTAATAAATTAATTCTCTTGCTGGGATGAGAAATTTCCCGCTTTATATTTTATAAAATGCCGGGGAGATATTTATTACAGTCGATGGTGCCTCCGATGCGGCATGAATTATTCATATTTTCATCGTCTGCTTTATTTTTAAGAACAATAACTGCAGAACTGATGTTATTAGAGACATTTCGCTGGTGGAGGGTTTCACACGTGTTTTTACATTATTTGGGGTACGTTTATAGAATAACACCGACATTAAGAAGCGAAGTAAATTAACTTCACTGCAATGCCGATGCAAACTTTACAATTCTAATCCAAAGCTGAGCTGAATTGTGAATCGCGTCGTAAATAAATTTATGACTAAACAACAGCGGTTCGGGTTTCTTGTATTCAAACTTCGGTCATAGAGTAACGAAAGATGAATTATTTAAATAGGTGCAGACACCTAAAACGAACAACTATAAAATAATAATAATTAATAGATAACAAATTTTCTTCGAAAAAAAGTCTCGCTGATTCATATACAAATTCATACCAAGCAACGAATACCCACGTAGACGAATAAAACTCAGAAAAATTATTGAAATTATATTAGTCATTAACTATGTGAGATAAGATATTCATAAAACAATTTAATAACATCATTACGAATGCATGCATGATGATACAGACTACGTTATCTAGAAACACCGGTTGGAAATTATCGACTAAGCAGAACGCGTTACATAAATATTTAAAGCAGAAACTTCAAACCCAATGATAAGAGTCCCACGATGAATAAAACTTCTGGAACTTCACCGTCTCGTCTCACGGCGAAACCGATTAAGATGTAAAATATTACGAAACATTTTGCGACAAATAGTAGAGAGGACTTCTGTAAATAAAACAGAAAAATTAATTATTTTTGAATTCGTTAATAGTTTGTGATTTTGCAAAATAATGAAAAACAAATCAATTTTGTTGTAGCTGAGTTTACATGATGAGGTAACACAGAAGCAAGTATTATATTTATACAAGTAGGAAATACTTACAGACTTTTCTTTAGTACCAAAATATGTTTTCAGTACTTCAGTGTCCGTTTCATAGCGATCTTTCTTCGCACCAGGTATTATAACCACATGGTCTATAATAAAAAAATACAAATAAATAACTCAAAAATGGTTCATCCTAGCAGAATATTCAAAATTAGGACGTTGGTTTTTTTGTGATAAATAATTTGTGTCTGCATCATTTACCCAATATTTCTATAAAACAAATTGACTTCCTTAATGTTTCTAAAATTTAATTTTTTGCGAAAACATTTTTATGCAGTCGACAATATAATTTTTTCGATATTTAGATATTTTTAGCTACTTATAATTTTTTTGACTTTTTCAATTTCTCAATTTTTCCATACTACTGTTTTTCATTTTTCGATTTTTCGGTTTCTCAATTTTTAATTTTTCGATTTTTCAATTTTTCGTTTCTTCAGTTTTCCAAGTTATTGTCTTTATTTATCATTTTCTCAATTTTGTATCACAACTTTTCGTTTGTTCGTTGTTTATTTCGATTTTATAATTTTTCGTTTATTCAATTCTACGATTGGTTGTCTCAATTATTCGGTTTTCCGACTTCGTTAATTTTTAATTTTTCGATTTTACAATATTTCTTTTTTTCGATTTCGCAGTTTTTCGGTCTTTTTAATCTCAATTGTTAATCTAGCGATTTTTTAATTTTTCGTTTCTTCTATTTTTCAAATTCTTGATTCCCAGTGTTTAAATTTTTCAAACTTTTCATTTTACACTTTTTCGTTTCCATTTTTGACTGTTCAATTTGACAATTTTGCAATTTTTCCATTTTTTGACCAGCAAATTTGAAAAATCGAAAAACTGAATAAACGAAAAATTGCGAAAACTGAAAAATTGCAAGTTGAAGAACTGAAGAGACGAAAAATCGAAACATTGAAATAGTAAAAAAAATTGTAAAATGGAAAAATCATAGAATCGTCAATATTCTAAAGTCGAAAACTGCAACGTTGAAAGATCGAAAAACTGAAAAATTAAATATCGAGAATTTCGTTTATTCAATTTTCAAATTTCGAATCTTTGATTTTTCAATTCCTCATTCCAACTTTTTAATTTTTCAATTTTCCAATTTTTGGATTTCTCAATTATCCGATTTTCCGATTTCTGTGATTTTCACTATTTCGATTTTACAATTTTTCAACTTCTTAATTGATTCCCAGTTTTTAGATTTTTCAAAGTTTTCATTTTATACTTTTTCGTTTTTTCATTCTTGATTTTTCAATTTTACAATTTTGCAATTTTCCCATTTTTTTGACCAGAAAAGTTGGAAAAACGCAAAACTGAATAAACGCAGACTGAAAATTGCAAACTAAAGACGTGAAGCAACGAAATATTAAAAATTGAAAAACTTAACATTCGAAAAAAAAATTTTTCGAAAAATTGTAAAACCAAAAAATGAATTGAATCGAAAAATTGGAGAAAACCCAAAAAAATTGTAAAATCGAAAAATTACAGAATCAATATTCTAAAATTGAAAAACTAATACTGAAAAATCGAAAAACCGAAAAATTGAATATCGAGAATTTCTTTTATTCAAGTTTTCAAATTTCAAATCTTTGATTTTTCAATTCCTCGTTCAAATTTTAAAATTTTTCAATTTTGCAATTTTTGGATTTCCCAATTATCGGATTTTCCGATTTCTCGTTCCAATTTTTAAATTTTTCAATTTTTGGATTTCTCAATTATGCGATATTCCGATTTCTATGATTTTCACTATGTCGATTTTGCACTTTTTCAGTTTTTAAGTTTCAGAATTTTTAATCTTGCAATTTTTTAATTTCTCGTTTCTTCTATTTTTCAAATTCTTGATTCCTAGTTTTTAGATTTTTCAAAGTTTTCATTTTATACTTTTTCGTTTTTGCATTTCTGATTTTTCAATTTTACAATTTGGAATTTTTCCATTTTTTTGACCAGAAAAATTGAAAATTCGGAAAACTGAATAAAGGGAAATTTGTAAAAACCAAAAAATTGCAAATTGAAGAACTGAAGACGCGAAAAATCGAAACATTGAAATACTAAAAATCTAGAAACTCAAAAATAAAAAAAATGAATATAAGAATTCGAAAGAACAAAAAATCAATTAAATCGAAAAATTGGAAAACCCAAGCCCAAAAATATTGTAAAATCGAAAAATTATAGAATCGTTAATATTCTAAAGTCGAAAAACTGAAAAAATTAAATATGGAGAATTTCGTTTATTCAAGTTTTCAGATTTCGAATCTTTGATTTTTCAATTTCTCCTTCAATTTTTAAATTTTTCAGTTTTACAATTTTTGGATTTCTCAATTATCCGATTTTCCGATTTCTCTAATTTTCACGTTTTCAATTTTTAAGTTCCACAGTTTTTAATCTTACGATTTTTTAATTTCTCGTTTCTTCAATTTTTCAAATTCTTAACTCCCAGTGTTCAGATTTTTCAACGTTTTCATTTTACACTTTTTCGTTTCCATTTTTGATTTTTCAATTTTACAATTTTGAAATTTTTCCATCTTTTGGCCAGAGAAGTTGAAAAACCCAAAAACTTAATAAACGAAAAATTACAAAACCGAAAAATTGCAAATTGAACTGAAGCAAAGAAAAATCGAAACATTGAAATATTAAAAATCGACAAAAAAATTAATTTTTGATTTTTCAATTTCTCGTTCCAATTTTTAAATTTTTCAATTTTGGAATTTTTGGATTTCTCAATTATCCGATTTTCTGATTTCTGTAATTTTCACTATTTCGATTTTGCAATTTTTCAATTTTTAAGTTTCTCATTTATGAATCATCCGATTTTTCAATTTCTCATTTCTTCAATTTTTCAACTTCTTGATTCCCGGTTTTTAGATTTTTCAAAGTTTTCATTTTATACTTTTTCGTTTTTTCAGTTTTGATTTTTTCAATTTTTCAATTTTGCAATTTTTCCATTTTTTTGACCAGAAAAGTTGAAAACCAAAAACTTAATAAACGAAAAATTACAAAAACCGAAAAACTGCAAATTGAAGAACTGAAGAAACGAAAAATCAAAACATTGAAATACTAAAAATCGAGAAACTTAAAAATTGAAAAAAAAATGAATCGAAAAATTCGAACGAACAAAAAATGAATTGAATCGAAAAATTGGAAAACCCAAGAAAATTGTAAAACCTAAAAATCATAGAGTCGTCAATATTCTAAAGTCGAAAAACTGTAATATTGAAAGATCAAAAAACTGAAAATTTAAATATCGAGAATTTCTTTTATTTAAGTTTTCAAATTTCGATTCTTTGATTTTTCAATTCCTTGTCCCACTTTTAAAATTTTTCAATTTTGCAAGTTTTGGATTTTTCAATTATCTAATTTTCCAATTTTTGTAAATTTCACTATTTCAATTTTGCACTTTTTCAATTTTTAAGTTTCTCAATTTTTAATTTTTCGATTTTACAATTTCCCTTTTCTTCAATTTTTCAAATTCTTGAGTCCCAGTTTATACATTTTTCAAAGTTTTCATTTTACACTTTTTCCTTTTTTCATTTTTGATTTTTTCAATTTTGCAATTTTTCCATGTTTTTGACCAGCAAAGTTGAAAAACCCAAAAACTTAATAAACGAAAAATTACAAAAACCGAAAAACTGCAAATTGAAGAACTGAAGAAACGAAAAATCGAAACATTGAAATACTAAAAATCGAGAAAGTTAAAAATCGAAAAAAAAATGAAACGAAAAATTCGAACGAACAAAAATGAATTGAATCGAAAAATTGGAAAACCCAAGAAAATTATAAAATCGAAAAATCATAGAATCGTCAATATTCTAAAGTCGAAAAACTATAATGTTGAGAGATCAAAAAACTGAAAATTTATATATCGAGAATTTCTTTTATTTAAGTTTTCAAATTTCGATTCTTTGATTTTTCAATTCCTTGTTCCACTTTTTAAATTTTTCAATTTTGCAAGTTTTGGATTTTTCAATTATCTAATTTTCCAATTTTTGTAAATTTCACTATTTCAATTTTGCACTTTTTCAATTTTTAAGCTTCACAATTTTTAATTTTTCGATTTTACAATTTCCCTTTTCTTCAATTTTTCAAATTCTTGAGTCCCAGTTTTTACATTTTTCAAAGTTTTCATTTTACACTGTTTCGTTTTTTCATTTTTGATTTTTTCAATTCTACAATTTTGCAATTTTTCCATTTTTTTGACCAGCAAAGTTGAAAAACCCAAAAACTTAATAAACGAAAAATTACAAAAACCGAAAAACTGCAAATTGAAGAACTGAAGAAACGAAAAATCGAAACATTGAAATACTAAAAATCAAGAAACTTAAAAATTGAAAAAAAAATGAATCGAAAAATTCGAACGAACAAAAACTGAATTGAATCGAAAAATTGGAAAACCCAAGAAAATTGTAAAACCTAAAGATCATAAAGTCGTCAATATTCTAAAGTCGAAAAACTGTAATATTGAAAGATCAAAAAACTGAAAATTTAAATATCGAAAATTTCTTTTATTTAAGTTTTCAAATTTTGAATCTTTGATTTTTCAATTCCTTGTTCCACTTTTTAAATTTTTCAATTTACCTATTTTTGGATTTCTTAATTATCCGATTTTCCGATTTCTGTAATTTTCACTATTCCGATTTTGCACTTTTTCAATTTTTAAGTTCCACAGTTTTTAATCTTAAGATTTTTTAATTTCTCGTTTCTTCAATTTTTCAAATTCTCAACTCCCAGTGTTCAGATTTTTCAAAGTTTTCATTTTACACTTTTTTGTTTCCATTTTTGATTTTTCAATTTTACAATTTTGAATTTTTTAAATTTTTTGACCAGAGAAGTTGAAAAACCAAAAAACTGAATAAACAAAAAATTACAAAACCGAAAAATTGCAAATTGAACTGAAGCAAGGAAAACTCGAAACATTGAAATATTAAAAATCGGGAAACTTAAAAATCGAAAAAAAAGTTAATCGAAAAATTGAAAAGAACAAAAAACTAATTGAATTAAGAAATTGTAAAATCGAAAAATTATAAAATCGTCAATATTCGAAAAACTGTAACACAGAAAAATCGAAAAACTTCAAATTTCGATTCTTTGATTTTACAGTTCGTCGTTCCAATTTTTAAATTTTTCAATTTAGCAATTTTTGGATTAATTAATTATCCAATTTTCCGATTTCTGTAATTTTCACAATTTCGATTTTGCACTTTTTCAGTCTAAGTTTCACAATTTTTAATTTCCCCATTTTTCAATTTCTCGTTTCTTCAGTTTTTCAAATTCTTGATTCCCAGTTTTTAGATTTTTTATACCTTTTCGTTTTTCATTTTTGATTTTTCAGTTTAGAATTCTGAAAAAGTGGACGAACTGAAGCAACGAAAAATCGAAATATTGGAAAACTAATAATGGATGAAAATTAATGAAAGATTATAAAGTCGAAAAACTGTAACACCGAAACATGGAAAAATTGAAAAATTAAATACGGAAAAATTGAAAAATTAAAAATCGAAAAATTGAAAAACAGAATGAATAAAAAGATTTAAAACCCAATAACTGAAAAATAGAAAAATTCTAAAATCCTAAAATTTAAAAAGTGAAAAGTTTTTAAAATTATAATTGTTATCAGATACTCCTATACATTTAAAATAAAAACTAGAAAAATTACATATCAAATATTGAAAAAACGGAAAACTGAAAATTTTCACATGAAAAAAAAGGAAAATTAGAACATCAAAACACTGAAAAACCGGAAATTTGAAAAAAATGAAGAAAATAAAAAACGAAAAATTGCAAACCGAAAAACTGAAGTTATCATCTTATTCTTTCGATGTATAATCATAAACAGTCGAAGTTAAGCATGATTGATAATATATGTTCTACTAATGGTCATTTGCTTTAAACAGATTTGATATCGTCCCTTAGTAATATTACAGAGGTGGTAAATGAAGACAAAGACGTTGTATTTTGTTTAATAAAAGAACAATTTAGTTCCATAGAATCCGATGATAAACTTTTTGTCCGAAATGAAAAATTTTAAAATTACATCCAGAATTTATTTTATATTTTCGCTGCCCCAAATAATTTTTCAAACTGCTGGCTTTTTTTTCAAAGTGTAACTTCCATCATACTTTTTTAATTTAACGTTGTTTTTTCATGTTATTTCAACTTCACTTAAAATTGTGTCTATTAAAAAAATTTGAATTTAAAATATGTTCTCAATAATTGAAGAGTATTGATTTAAAAACTGAATCGTAAGCTCAAAACATTGTTTCTAAAAAAACAAAAAAAAAAAAACTAAGTACTCTGACGTGTTCCTTTCGTATTTTCATCTTCAGTGATGAATTTTCACTGTTGCTATGCTAATTTTGGGTGAAATTGAATTTCTAACATTTTAAAATAATAATCCAGTTAATTATCAAACTTCTGATTCCCTGTTAGGAGGTGTATGTACATCATTTGAATTTCCACAATTCTAAAATTATTTAGTTTGAATTAATCCGTTAATTAACTAAACTCACAGTTTAGTTTCAAAATTTATATCTCATATCTTAATCAAAACCTAATTTATTATAAAAATGTACCCGAATATCCCTATACAATATTCTACCATTTTTCTGTTTTTATTACGCGAGCTTAAGCTAAAGAAGTATTGTAAGTAAAGAGATTCATTTGACGAATAGCTAATTTCATGTTTTCTCGAAATGTCATAATCCCTAGAATATGAAAAAGTAGGTCCTCCGTTTAGGTCTATCGCCTGTTCACCATTTTATTGGACAGGTGATCTCGGAAACTACTGATTTTAGTAGTTTTCAGACTCTTAAGCACCATAAGTACATGTTATGGGACAGCGACATTATATAAAAAAAGTAAACCGAAATTGTACTCTACAGTAAGGTCTAGCGAAAATTTTCTGTGTTGTTGGAATATCAACATATAGGTGACCTCAAAATTTTGCATGATAAATGCTATTTAAATTTTATAAAATAAAATACTCCTGTAGTTCTGGTTTATGAATCCGCCTAAACAGCCAACTTTTCGCAAAAAAATCGAAATTTTTTATTTTTAGTCAAAATTATTAGACAGACCAGATTAAAATCAATATTCAGTCGAAACAATAAAAACCATACTCACATCTAGTTTTCACCATCTGCTTGTTCCCCACAAGGCCCTTGCAATTGCTATTAATAATTTTCTTATTCACTTGCACGCTAATTTCATTATCCTCTCCCTCTTCCTTCTTCTCGTTAGGCGGGCAGTGGATCGGAAGCGAATTTCCTAAACTAAAAAGTTTCAATTAGCTCGGATATTTTAATTAATCACGCCAATTTTATACTTACGCCAAACAAATTACTGAAATCAGTAACATCTTTTCATAAATTTCTTTCATAATGAACGAGTCTTAATTACGAGGAGGCAGTTCGATTAATGAGGCGTAAATTTTCAACGCCGAGTTATGACTCAAATTGGAGTTATTGTTCGGGGGAAGTGATAACTTGTAACAACGTATTACATATCTAAACTGGTAAATCATCCTCTGCAATTCTTACGTAATGAATAACAAAGATGTTGAAATGACGATCATTCCGACAGCGGTATTTTTTTGTTTGTTTTATTTACAGTCATAAAATTTATGATTGACATACGTGTCAAATACCTGATCCACAAAAACTAACCGAATGAGTCAACACGTGGAAGAAAAGAAGCCGGAGATACAGGAAGAAGAAGATAAAGAAGATGAAGACTCTCTAGAAGCTAAAGAGGAAGCAGCAGGAAGAACAAAAGTTCACAAAGATCTTCGATTATGGATAAGAACATATGTCGTTCCTGCATATTTGATGTTACTTCTTGTTGGTGCTCTGTGCACTTATGCAGGTTTGATTTACAAATTCTACGTACGCCTGATCAAAAACCCTACAAATAATTAAGCCATAAAATGCGTTCTGTTATATAAATTACAAAACTATGTACAACACATAATAGCCCGTAAATATGAAAAGAAAATGTGAAAGTGTTTTTTATTTTTTGTGTCAAATGTCTGTTATATTGTTTTATTCTTTAAATTATTTCTTCTACAGAAACTGTTAATTAGATCTTAAAAATAAAGTTTCTATAAGATTTTTCCAAAAATATGTATGTATATGCTACACTCTTGTAGAACACATTAGTTTGTGTTATTCTATCAAATTCAGCTAATTCTTAGTTTTTCAAACAATATACCACAAAGCCATTTCCAAAGAACAAAAATTAAACGTTTTTAAAACTTAAATTGCCTACTTACGTCAATTTTGGTGGAGGCGCCAGGTTAACCGAGGCGATTTTACGCATAATATTATACATTAAATTAGCTTTGAAATTTCTATTTGCCGCCTCGTTGTAATCATTGATGACTGCTGTCATCACTTTCAACCATAACCTACCCTGTTAAGCATGTTTGTCATTGGATGACGTATAAGTAGGCAACCAATAATTCAGCTCGGATAGCTTTGTATTATCTATTCACGATTTTATACAGTAAAGTAGGCTTTGATATTTTTTTCTTTAAGCAATTTTTTAATCAAGCAAACAAATATTTTAATTTTGTCAGAATAGATAATTCGTGATTGTGACAGATTCACAGATCATTGCGACATTATTTAAAAAGAAAATGCCTAAAATAGTTGGCAATTCTGTATTTAGGGCAGCAATGTTATTAATAAGAAGATGGCAGCTACTGAATTGGTACCCAAAAGTTTAAATATATTGCCAACCTAAAAAAAATCACAAACATTCTAGTCACTCTGTATTTTCACAACTGTGTGAAACAATTGGAGGAATAAGAATTATTTGAGTGTGTATATTACGTTACACAACGTTAGGTTTGTTTACTGGATGTTATTGTTACGAGAAACCATAAGATAAATATTCTTAATCAGGCGTCCGAAATTCCTTGCTTATTATCGCTATAACTTACATTACAAACAACAAATAAAGTATTCATGAAAACAACAGCAGAACTCCTTTTTAGTAATTTTCACACAATGTAAACGTTCTTCGAATTTCACAAACATTTCTCTTCCTTACTACTAAATAAAATACAGCAAAGTCATTGTGAAAATGAAGTACTAGACAAAAAATAAGAAAAGGAAAATATATAACATACAGTAAGGCCAAATTTTGAATTTTTGCGGGTTTTACAATTTTGTTCATATGTCACATTTTAGGGGGATACTTGAATATAAATACATTGGTAGAATGAGCGAGAAGTATAAAATAACATAAAAACGCTAATTCCGTATTATCACCTTTTACTATATTGTTGGTTGCATATACAAAAATTTAATTTTCTTTTATAAAATTTAAAATCACAATATTATTATTGACATTGGAGTCCTCAACTGCCAAAGACAAGCGCCAAATTTAAATAGTCGATCCCAATAAAAAAATTTGTTTCACTACAGCTAGTCGCCTGAGAATTTGTTTGATCTACAGACCAGAACGCGCTCAGGCCAATGTCGACTCTAAGCGTTCAGGACCGATTTGGTGGGTTTGGACTATAATTTCTGCGGGAAATAGTTGTTCGGTCGGTTTTTATAACGACCAAATGAATATTTTTGGTACATATTTAGACGATTTTACATATTTTGTTTAACTAAGAATTAATTCTTTATTTGTGTTTTATACTAGCAAAACGTCTTAAACTAAGAATATTGTTGAAATCGTATAACCCAACGCTGTGTTCTATTTTGTGTGATTTTTTTTTTATGATTTTAGTGACAATTTTTGTGGTTGTTTTCGATACACTGTATGATATTAACAGTGAGAAAAAAATGAAACAATTAAAATAATCGAATATTCGAAAAATCGAGAAATCTAATAATCGAAAAATCGAAACCTTGAAAAATCGAAATATCGAAGAACTGAAAATCGAAAAACCAAGAAATCGAAGAATCAAAAGATCAAGAAATCGTAGAGTCGAAAAGCCGAATTACAAATTGAGAAATTCACAATCAAAATATCGAAAAATCCAAATCTCGATAAATCGAGAAATCAAAAAACTTAAAAATTCGAAAAATTGAAAAATTGAGAGATTAAAAGATCAAAAGAACGAGAAATCGAAAAGTGATGAAGTCGAAAAATCGAAAAATAGAGAAATCGACAAACAAAAAGTTAAAAGTTGAAAAATTGGAAAAGCAGAAAAATCAAAAAACTAAAAAATGGAAAACTGGAAAAACTGAGAAACCGAAATAGGCCAAAATAAAAAATTGAAAAATTGATAAATCGAAAACCTGAACAATCAAATCTTGATAAATTGGGAATGAAAAATTAACAAACCGAAAAATTGAAAAAAAGAACATCTAAAACCAGGAAGTCGAAAAATCGAAAGATTAAGAAATATTGGAAAATTAAAATATCACGAGACTGAAAAATTTTAAATTTAAAAATCCAAAAATTGAAAAATCGAAAAAGTGAAAAGGTAGACAAATCGAAAAATCCAGAAGTCAAAAATAGAAAAGCCGAAGAATTGAAATATTGAAAAATCCTAAAACTGAAATATCTAAAAACTGAAAAATCGATTTTTCGATTCGATTCGATTCGAAAAAAGTGAAGAATTGAAGAACAGGAAAATATCGAAACACTCGAAAGTCAAGAAACGGGAAAATCACAACACCGATTAATTGAAAAATCGAAAACTTGAGAGTTTATGAAAGTCAAATTTGAAAAATTAAAAAATCGAAATTTGACAAAATGACAATTGAAAAACAGAAAATCTAAAACCGGGAAGTCGAAAAATCAAAAGATTAAGAAATCGAAACATTTGAAAAATTCGAAAACTTGAAAAATTCAAATGTCGAAGAACTAAACTGAAAAATCGAGAAATTGAAAAATCTAAAATTTTAAAAATCAAAAAATCTAAAATTCAAAAATCGAAAAAGTAAAATAATCGACACATCGAAAAATCCAGAAGTCAAAAATCGAAAAGTCGGAGAATCGAAATATTGAAAAATCCCAAAACTGAGATCGAAAAACTGAAAAACGAAAAAAAACCTGAAAAATGGAAAACCTGAAATATTCAAAAACTAATAACCTAAAAAGTCGAAAAACTGAGCAATCGAAAAATCCAAAAAGTGAGTCGAAAAATCGAAACCTTAAAAAAACTAAAAAATGAAAAATGGAAAAATTAAAGAATTGAAGAATAGGAATATCGAAACCCTCGAAAGTGAAGAAATGGGAAAATCAAAACATCGGTTAATTGAAAAATCGAAAAATTGACAGTTTATGAATGTCAAATTTAAAAAATTGAAAAATCGAAATTTGAAAAAACAATTGAAAAACAGAAAATGTATAACCGGGCAGTCGAAAAATCGATACCTGAAATATCCAAAAACTGAGAACCTAAAAAGTCGAAAAACTGAGCAATCGAAAAATCCAAAAAGTGAGTCCGAAAAATCGAAACCTTAAAAAAACTAAAAAATGAAAAATCGAAAAATTAAAGAATTGAAGAGCAGGAATATCGAAACCCTCGAAAGTCAAGAAATGGGAAAATCAAAACATCGATTAATTGAAAAATCGAAAAATTGACAGTTTATGAATGTCAACTTTGAAAAACTGAAAAATCGAAAATTTGAAAAAACGACAATTGAAAAACAGAAAATCTACAATTGCCGCCAAAAAATTTCAGACGTCAATGTCATTCAGTCGTCAGATAGTGTAAAGCACGGTTGTAGAATAGATAGGTTGATACACTAGCATACATTTGCATATCCCTGGTCAGCGACGCCAATTGTCGATCGCGTCGCCTGGTTTTTGACGTTTTAGGGACACAGAACTCTATAGGCATCTGTCTATAACCGATGTAATTAATAAAAGAAATCGTACTTATCGACTCCGATCAAATGTCATTTACAAATTTTGTATTGTTCATAAAGCAATGTAAACGAAAATCCCCAAAATAACTAGAATGATTTCCGCTCGACAAGGTAGAGGCGCTAGCTGTATGTGTCCTTTCCATGGATATAGGGATCGAAAAGAAGCGTCGCCATCCCAAGCCATTAGTGTACAAACCTATCTATTCCACAACCGTGGTGTAAAGTAACCTTTAGATATTTCTAACCTAAATATTTGACGGTCATATTTAACTTTTACATTTGACACTTAGGGCCGGTTTTTCAATCGATAGTAAATGGAATTTTGAAAGTTTGACAGGAATATCGAAACCCTCGCCAGTGAAGAAATAGGAAAATCAAAACATCGATTAATTGAAAAATCGAAAAATTGACAGTTTATGAATGTCAAATTTGAAAAATTGAAAAATCGAAAATCTGAAAAAACAATTGAAAAACAGAAAATCTATAACCGGGCAGTCGAAAAATCGATACCTGAAATATCCAAAAACTGAGAACCTAAAAAGTCGAAAAATTGAGCAATAATCGAAAAATCCAAAAAGTGAAGTCGAAAAATCGAAACCTTAAAAAAACTAAAAAATGAAAAATCGAAAAATTAAAGAATTGAAGAACAGAAATATCGAAACCCTTGAAAGTCAAGAAATGGGAAAATCAAAACATGGATTAATTGAAAAATCGAAAAATTGATAGTTTATAAATGTCAAATTTGAAAAATTGAAAAATCGAAAATTTGAAAAAACGACAATTGAAAAACAGAAAATCTAAAACCGGGCAGTCGAAAAATCGATAGATTAAGAAATCAAAACATTTGAAAAATTCGAAAACATGAAAAACGGAAATATCGAAGAACTGAAATGAAAAATCGAGAAATCGAAAAATCCAATATTTTAAATATTGAAAAATTAAAATATCAAAAAACTGAAAAATGTAAAATTTAAAAATCGAAAAATTGAAAAAACGACAATTGAAAAACAGAAAATCTAAAACCAGGAAGCCGAAAAATCGAAAGATTAAGAAATCGAAACATTTGAATAATTGAAATATGGAAGAGCTGAAATGAAAAATCGAGAAATCGAAAAATCGAAAATTTTAAATATTGAAAAATTAAAACACCAAAAAATTGAGAAATCTAAAATTTAAAAATCGAAAAAGTAAAAAGTCGACGCATCTAAAAATCCAGAAGTCAAAAATGGTAAAGTGGAAGAACAGAAATATTGAAAAATCCCAAAACTGAAATATCGAAAAACTGAAAAATGAAAGAAAAACTGACGAATCGAAAAACTAAAAACTCCCAAAACTGAAATATCCAAAAACTGAGAATCTAAAGAATCGAAAAATTGAGAAATCGAAAAATCAAAAAAGTGAAGACGAAATATCGAAACCTTAAAAAAATCGAAAAATTGAAAAATCAAAAACCTACAAAATCGTAAGATCGAAAAATTGAATAATACGTAAACTGAAAAATTCCAAAACTGAAATGTGCAAAAACTGAGAAATTAAAAAATTGAAAAATTGAGACATCGAAAAATCAAAAAAGTGAAGTTGAAAAATCGAAACCTGAAAAAATAGAAAAATTGAAAGACCAAAAAACATGAAAAATCAATTAATCAAGAGTTTATAAAGGTCAAAAATTGAAAAATCGGAATATTCAAAAATCGTAAAATTGAAGAGAAAAACTAAAAACCGAAAAATTGAAAAATTGAGAAATTGTAAAATCCAAAAATTGAATAATAAGTAGGAGCAAACTGAAAAGTCCCCAAACTAAAATTTCGAAAAACTGAGAATTCGGAGGTTGAAACAGCAAGAAATTATGGTCGAAACCGCTAAGGATGTGTAATCAGATCACGGATCATGGCTTATAAATCAAATCGTTTCCAAACGCTTAGAGTCGACATTGGCCTGAGTGCGCTCTGGTCTGTAGATCAAACAAGTTCGCAGACGACGAACTGTAATTCGTGTGACCTGAATTAAAGTGAAGGAAACAGTAAGCAGCTTGTAATATTTTGGTAACGCGTCGTTAAAAATATTATGACATTTTTTCTATTGTAGTTAATTTTATTCCTAGTTAGAAACAAACACTGTTGCCAAATAAGTCGACGAGTCCTCAACCGTCGTTTAATTTAAACTATGACGCTTCTCTATGTTCTCTGATTTAAGTGATGAGTTAAATATGAAGGCACAAAACAAGCTGCTATTACCAATTAATAGATGAAATTGTGTGACGGAAATAAATACAAAAATACATTCAATAAAAAAAAGTACTTGTCCACGTACCTTTGATTTTAAATCAGTACTGCGGAGACACAAAACAAAACATTTTTTTTTCACATCCACAAAAATGTACCATTACTTGTAATGTTTATTAAAATTTCCATGAAAGTCTCTCGTTTTGTCATGAACACACTTTATTAATAAATCTGGAGTGGCTCGCCCTAAATTTTTCACTAAAATTTTACCGTCGTAAGACAGAGGACGATTTTTATTAAATATAGTCACTGTTCGAGCAGGACCCGATCCTACATAAATACAGCGACTAGACGCCCGGTTTCCGTGGCAACCGTGTAAACAAAACGTCTAAATGAGTCATAATTTGGTCTCCGCTTTTATCACCACTGCAGCAACATATCATATACCCAGAGATCTACCAGCATCAAAGAGGAAAGGTCAAGGAACATAAGAATTACACAATATCTTTAACTAAAATTTGTTAAATTCACAACATACCAATTTTCGTGTTCGCCTAATTTTAAGTTCTGCTTTTTTCGGTGCTATAAAATATTATTAAAATTACGATTTCCTTCTACATAGGAATCCTTACCGATGTATTTTTGTAAACATACATACATATATTTATGTAAAATACCATAATATTTTCAATTTTATTTTTTCTATGAAGCTCAACTTACCATTTCATTCGGTATTTTGTTGATTTGACATTTTAACTATAGTCTGTTTTTTTACGAAAGAAGTAGATGACAGCAGAAGGAAAAATCACAATGGAATTGTGGTCAAAACACCGTAACACAACAAATATGCTGATCACGTGGTATGCAACGAAACGCTGTGATTGGCTGAATTTAGCACCCATCAGTTTTGACACTTCTTTCTTTAAAAAAACAAACTTAACTAAGTACAATTTGCCTAGAAAAAAATCTACGATCTCGTGGTTTACTTTGTATGTTACGTGCAAAAATTTAGAATACTATTAAAAATCTAACCTTAGATTTTAAATTTTATTAACACTAAAAGCTCTATTACTAATTTTCCTACTATTTTCTAAACTGATTCCAAATACAAGACAATTTGCTCCTACAAACACGACGAAATACTTATTCGTTTAATTATAAAAGCTAAGTCAGTAAATAAAGAGATTCCAATTGTTTATTTATTGTTAAAAATCTGAGTTGAAAGAGATATGCGCTACACTTTTGTACATTTTTAGGTGGCTAAACGCAAACATATAGTACTTAAAATTAACACAGAAACCTAAGCGTTTACAAAAACTTAGACTGTCCGCTAGAAAACCTATCATCAAGCAGCTGCGCCTTCTTCAAAACGGCCTTCTTCTGCGCCTCATCGAACCGATTAACCTGAAGATCAATATCTCTACTGAACGGTCTCCTCTCGCTTGGACCCTCCTCCTAAAACCAAAACCATTACTCACACACCAACCCCCACCCCATACAAACCATTTTCGTCTCCATCATCTTAGTCTGATGCATCTCCACCAAACTCAGCTTATTCTTCTTCTTCAACAACTTCGCAATCTTCTCGTGTTCTTCATCCCTCTTGCGAATTTCCCTCATTTCTGCCTCTCTCTTCAAATCAACTTTCTCGCCTTGTGTGTTCTTTGTATTAGGAGTGTCAGTCCACGACGACCTGTCGGACATATCAGGACCGGGCTTACTCCTGAACTGTCTCGGTCCTAACCCGAAATTCGCCGCTTTGACTTGCGGCAAGTCCACCATCCACTCTTCGCGAGTCGGAACGCTGTCCTTATTAGGGTCCAACTGGTCCATCTTCAACTGAAGCGCCCGTTCTTCAAGGGCTAGTTGGGCGCTTGAAGTGATTGAGGCTCCAGGGGGAAGAGGACCGTACGTGTCTTGGTCCATTTCTTCATCTGATTCGTCGTCTTGGAGCTTCAGACGCAAGTGAGGAGGGAAGTAGGGTCCAATGCTGGGAGGATTTTCGTGCTTCTTTAAGTGAGGTGGCAACTGAGGTCCATATGAAGACGAAGAACTTTCTCCTTTGATCTTCTGGAGGTGAAGAGGTAGCTGGGGGCCGATGCACGAAGATTCTTGAGTTGGCTCTGCGCAGGAATCTTCGTCATGTTTGAAGCTGAATGGGAACTGTGATCCTAGGTCTGAGTCTTCAGGATCATCGTCTAGGAAATGACGAGGCAGCTGACGACCTCGGTTTTTTGATTTTGCGTGAATGGGGCTTCTGGATCTAGGTCTGCTTGTCAAACAATGTGATGCTAGAACCATTCTGTGTCTTGTACTATCCGTTTTATAACGTATTCCTTGGTCGGAATCATCTGAATCAGAATCGGAATTCATTTTTCTGGAAGGAAAAAAAACTATGACTAAATTCACTGTGCAAACAAACAAATTTTTTTTCATTTTTTCTACATCTACTTTGATATGTTTTTGGCTAGGAAAACATCTTCCAGATTTTTTTAGAACTATATCTAACACTTTTAACAAATCCGGCTGTGGCTATAGTCTTTATGCTTTGTCTAGCAGACGAGTTAAACACGATATCGCGGACACACTGTCCAACTATAAGGTCACAATCCGGATCGTAGGCAAGAGCCCTCAAAACATCTTCAGTATCTTGTTTCAAGGCCCCCTTATTCCAGAACCTCGTCAAGGCCTTCTGCGGCCACCTGGGTAGCTGATTTAAATGATGCAACTTCGCCAACGGACTCACATCTTGGCTACAACACCCAGAAATTTCTTCCTTCTTGTTATTTTCTTGCAAAACGGGAAATTCCACGTAATCATTCAAGGTTCTAATAAAAGGTCCATACAAATTCCGAAACCCTAGCAGCTGCGGCCGCACTATATTCTCAACCTTATTTTTATTTTCTCCAAAAGTCATACGAAAATCGCCCAAATAACTTAGATTAGAAATAGTGTAGTAAAACTCATATTCACTAAACGTATCCGGAAGCAACAACAAAGCCGTATGAACCGCCGACTGCAAATTCAACTGTAACGCAATCTGCAGGTCCGAATTCAAACTTTTCTTTATTATTTCGACGGGTTTGTGCAGACGCCCCGCTAAGTACAAATCGGACCACTCCAACAAATCCGTAATCAAGTCTTTAGTGGCCACAACCCCATACTTAATCCACACCCCTTCCATTGGTACAAGAGTATTAAAATACACTTTCGCCCCAAAATTCTCCTGATACCTGGCCACAAACTCGTGCCCGAAGTACTTCAAACCACTATAGTGTGAAAAATTCTCTTTCATATTTGCTTCATGCCATTTTGTTGGATTGTCAACACAGTAAATCAAATCAATCATGTTGTCTTCTTGCTTTTTCGACAGTTGTTTCTTCACTGCCGAGCCATAGGCGAAACAGAAGGCAAAGTTTTGTGGAAATTTGGACAGGATTCTTGCGTATATGGGGGCTATGATCATCGGGTTCGTAGCCATTTTTTAACATAACCTCACATTATCTGCACCAAGTCGAAATTTTCGATAAAACGAATAGAAAAGTACACGTGGTTTCGTTTATACCGTACGTTAGAATTAAAGTGGAACGTTTTTGATTAAATGTTAAGTTTACATAACCCTAAAAACAACATAGAGCAAAATACCTACCTTCGATAAGCAAACTACTGTGATAGCGTCGCGTCGGTGTACAAAATAACTAAAGCAATTAAACTACTGTCATTTGACTCCGTGAGCTGAAAACCAGTGGCGGCACGACAACGGTAATAATGAGGTTTTTTAACATAAATTATAACACAAAATAAAAAAACAAACTAAAACCACACCTTTATTGTTTTGTTTTTTTTTTTCTAATAAAGAGCAAATCTTCTCTTGGCTTGTATCACAGTTTGTGCCCCAAAGTCACACCATGGTCGCCACACTGAAAAAGATTCGGGTTTAAAAAAAACCATCAAACATTAGCCAGCAGGATATAATACCACAACTATAATATCTACATCACAATACACTCGTTCTATTGCATTTTTTATCACACTTTTTTGAGAAATGCTTAGAAAACGCTGTATAAAATTTGATTAAATAGAGTTTCAGCAGTTTCAACTAAAATAAATAACAAATATCTACTTTACATTTGTTACAGTTTCGTATATAGCCTTTGCCACGTATTCCACATTTGTTGGGGTGACTCCACACATACTGATGCGGCCTGAGCGAAGCATATAAATGTGGTGTTTTTCAATCATATGCAAAGATTGTTTTTCTAAAATAAAAACAAAAATAAAAACTCACACCACACTAATCACAAAACTATTTACCGTTAAGTCCGGTATAGGAAAACATTCCAATCTGTGACGTAATGTGGCTCCAGTCTCCAGGAGTGCTCAACCTCTCCAACTCAGCCCTCAAAGCCTTCCTCATTTCAATTATTCTAGAAGACATAGCCTTTATACACTCTTTCCATTGTGCATAAAGCGCGGGATCATTCAAAACGTGTGTCACTATCCTAGCACCATGGCTAGGCGGATTTGAGTACATCGCTCTGATCAACAAAGTCACCTGTGACTTCACTTTAGGAATCACCTCCGTGTTTTTAGTAACAAAAGTCAAGTTACCCACACGTTCGTCTACAAAATTTTGATTGGTGCTTAGCAACACGTGACTTCACGCCTACTTACTGTACAACCCAAAGTTCTTGGCAAACGACTGCGCACAGAGCAGCTCAAACCCTCTAGACACAAAATAACGAACGGCCCAGGCGTCCTTCTCCAAGTCTCCAGAGGCAAAACCTTGGTAGGCCGAATCGAAAAATGGAAACAGTTTTTTTTGTTCCATGACGTCGGCGATTTTGGTCCATTGTTCCTGAGTGGGGTCGCATCCGGTGGGATTGTGGGCGCATGCGTGTAAAATGATTACAGAGTTTTCAGGTGCGTTGTTCAGGTCTTCGAGGAAGCCGTCAAGGTCGAGACCTCGGGCACTTGGTGACCAGTATCTGTATTCTTTGGCTTCTTTAAAACCGGCGTTGTTGAACACAGATCTGTGGTTTTCTGGAATGAGGGGGTTATTTTTGGATTGGTGGAAGTGAGAGTGAGTTACCCCATGTCGGTATTGAGAAGTAGAAGGTTTGGTAGCCTAGGGTTCTGGCGAGAAATTCTGCGCCTACTCGAAGGCAACCGGTTCCTGAGAGGCACTGAACTCCGAATGCCTGGAAAGTGGATAAATTAGAAAGTTTGAAACGGACATATTAAAGTTCCATCTTATACGGGTGGTTTCTAAATAAAATAGTTCTTACTAAATACATCACATTAATTATATAAATTAATGGCTTGCGAAATATTTTAAAGTAAAGTGATAATTACAGTGGAAATATTTAAAAGAAAAACACTAATGACACGATTCAGCAGGCAAAAGAACGTCGGGATGGTCCATTTAAGAGTTCAAGAGGAAGAAACTGCCCTCTCCATAACATAGATACCACGCCACTGGTTAAACCCTAAATGGCAGATTAAAGTAATTTAGTAACTTTGACATTTGTAATTTAGGGACTTTGACTCTTGGGGCAAAATTAAATTCTGTTAGTTATTTTAATTTTATCAAGATTTTCGAAACACTAGAGAAAACTAAAAGTTGGCAGCCCTATCCCCTAAAGCACAGACCTAAAGTGATCAAAAACGACTTATAACCCCTAGAAAACACATAGTATCGTCACCGTAGAGCAAACCTGGCGGAAACTTAGCAAAAACAAAAAGTATTGACACCATTTGACAGACCGCGAAATTTAAAATGGTTTTATGTTGGATTTAAAGAGTTTGTAGTTTATATACAAAATTTGGATTGTTAATTTAAATAAAATTCAAAAAATGTGTTGACTAGACAAATATTAATTAAATATAATCAATAAAATCTTATTTAATAATTATTAGTTATATTAATTGACTTTAAACAAGAATAACGTGCACGCTAAGACCACGTGACCATAACGCGTTGTCAACCCTCTGCTGACAAAAACTGGTTCCAAACTAGGGGAATTTTTTGCGTTACCAACTGCATTTACTCCACTCGTACAACAATGGATGACGGTACTAGGTATTTCTAGGAGCTATATTGATACCCAAGACCATGGAGTTATTTCTTCTAAATGGATCCCATTTGGCGATTCGGTAATTACGTCATTTGCCAAAATCAACCTTATCTTAGCACGTGCTAGCCCCGCCCACCAAACTTCTCTTTTTTTAGAGGGTATGTCATTTGCCAAAATCGGTCTTATTTTAGCAGGTACTAGTAGCTGCCAAGATAAGACTGACTTTAGCAAATGAGATACCCTCTAAGAAAAGAGAGGGCGGGTGGGCGGGGCTAGTACCTGCTAAGATAAGAGTGATTTTGACTAATCAGATCCCTCTAAGGAAAGACAGGGCGGGTGGGGGTAATAGTATACATCACTTACATAGCTGAAACCTTTTTTATATTTTTGATAACCAGTAAGTGCTTATGTTTGACAATGGCAGCTGAAGTTACTAGTGCCTTTTTTTAAGTAGATTTACTTTCAAATAAAAATTTCTAAGTACATATGTACTAATTATATTAAAACGTGAGCTATTGTGTTTAATTATTGTTGCATTCAAATTTATTATTGTTTGACTTTTTTTAATTGTTTATTTGCATTTCTAGTGCCTTTTTAATTTGAAACTTTCCCGCCCGCGCTGCCTTCCGACCTATTGATAACACTTACCGCTAGAAAAAATTAAATATATGCATTATTATTTGTTGTATGTATTTATAATGGCATAACGGAATTAATTATGTGTCAAGTATGTCAATCATGACATGCGATAAATTTAGGTTATGTTTTGGATACATTTTGCAAATAAAAGATGTCAACAATCTGTCAATCGTGACAGCTGACAACCGGAAATTTTAGAAAACATCATGATTCCAATTTTAACTAAAAATCCAAGATTGCCAACGATCACACGATACTATTTTATTAAAAAAAAAACTTTATAAAATGGAAAATGAGTAAATCAGGTTCCCACAGATCAATGAAAGTCAATGGAAATAAGACATTTACTGTCATTTGTCTAGTTTTTTGACTAAAATAGTACCATATGGACCTTATTTCAAATTCTTGCCCCACAAATTACAGTTTTAAATGTTGAGTTGGAGATTTTGGGGAATCAAATGAAAAACATGGTAATATTTATCCGCACTCAACTTTAAGTTGACAACAATGAATCTTTCAAATTAAGAAACTCATTCGATTGGTGGATCGTTTCCAGATGCGATACAGTTAACTACTTACTGTCCAATAATTACTGTCTAGCTAAACAAATGAGTTTTGTAGTTTTGTTAACAATAAATAGCAAACCAAGGAGTTATGCTGGAATTTATTTATTAAAATGTACCAAACTAATCTAAATTATTGTCTAAATTGCACTTATTTAAATTGCGGACCAATATTACAGTCCTTTTTCACTTGATTGGTACTACTGAATCGGCGGCCATCTTAATCGTGCAAAAGAACTACAGAATTCCACTTTGGCAACGTTAATTTACCCGTTTAACTTCATTTAGAAGACATGGAACTAATTTAACACTTCTGTAGAATATTCAGGACACGAAATTTACTGAAAACAAATAAATGAAGTCCAAAAACAATTTTGGGTTAACTAAGGTTGGTACAAACAAAAATATTGCACTGTACTAAACACTTGGCGCCAACAGTTGGCAGCACTTTCGTTGACAGATATTGAAAACAAAACCTGTTGTCTTTCCGACTGATAACCTTATTAACATTATGAATTCTAACAACCAATAAAAATACCATTCTGAAAATGTAGAGAAAAGCCTTTAAAATCTGTGTTTGTTGAATCATTAATAATATTTGCTTTTTTTAATCAGCATTTTATTATATACAATATCGTTAAATTTGTTTAATTCTAGTTTGTTTTTTGTTGAAGGTATTACAGTTTCGGCCACAAAATCTTAGGCAGTTCTGTCATTCCAGTGACATAAGCTCTAAAACAGGCTTTACGTAGTTATAACCTCAAAAATGCCATGTTTGTCATTTTGACGTAGACTGGAATGTGGATGATGACGTATGTCAAAATTTATATGACGTATACAGGGTGTCTCAGAAATAAGTACATTAATTTTAACCAGTAACAGAACTCGTGAAACGGAACAACTTTTTTATCTAGCATTTTTTCGAAAACTCAAGTCGAATTTCGAATTTTCCCACCCATATAGTCACGAGCCGTCTATGTTCACCTTAAATAATAACTTAAATAATAGCAACACTACAACAATGAAGAAGGTACCGTAGCAACCGTTTTGACACTGACAATCATTTTTATGTCAATGTTTTTATTAAACGTTGTCTCTTTAAAGTTTGTTTGGCACACATTTCTAATTTATAGACGAAATGTGTTGAAATGGCTTTGTTTTCAAATCTGGAATGCACCGATATCGTTTTAACGTACGGTGAAGCTCGGGGAAACGGCACTCGCGCCCAACGAATTTTTTCAGAAAACCTCCCAAATCGTCTGCCAAATGTGCGCAGTTTTAAGAACGTTGCAGCATTTTCGAGAGTACGGATCTTTTAAACCGGCACCTCAGGATCGGGGTAAGTTACGTAGTAATAGAATTGCTAATATTGAAGAGGCTGTTTTGAAGAGTGTCGAAGCTCGACCGGGCACTAGCACGTATCACTGTCTAGTGTGATGTATCGGAGAGTAGTATTTGGAGGATACTCAGACAACAAATGTACCCCTTTCAGGACCAGAAAGTTCAGTTATTGAAACTAACAGACTTACCACGTAGACAAAACTTTTGTGAGTGGGTTAATAGAAAAATAAACGAACAAGCAAATTTTGTATCGCTTATTATACCATCAACTCGGTTACACGAGGGAAGGTGTTCAACACCCACATTTGGGCCGATGAAATTCCGTACGCCATTAGGGAGCAGGATTTTCAATTTCTCTCTAATAAATGTTTGTCACATTGACAAGATTAGGAAAAGACGTATCCTAGTAACTGTTTTTGACCATAAATTATTAATTATAATAATTATTAGTGTCCATGGGTGACTGAGGATCCATGGGCGGGTAACCTTAATTGGGGTATAACTTTAACAATTTTTAAATTGATAATTAAAAAGTTCTTGACAAAACTCTACTAAAAAAAGTTGTTGAGTTCAATGAGCTCTATAACTGATTAAAATTAATGTACTTATTTCTGAGACACCCTGTATATGTCAAAATTTATTTTTTAAGGTGTCAATAATCATTGTCATAATGATGACAATAAAGCATAGAGTACAGTGTTTTTTTTTTTTTTAATGACAGAAAAACACTGCCCAAAATTTTCTGGCCGAAACTGTACCAGAGAACATACAGAAGCGTCATAGTTTAGGACTCCTAGATTTATGTTGGCAGCAGTCTTTATTTCTAACTAGGAAATGACCCTTTTCCTGTAAGATCGTAAAACTTTCGTAGTGACTTTCCGTGCGCACGCATCTTCAAAACCACGTTGGAAATAGTATCCGGCACTCCGGCAGCAGAGCAAATGCCTGTGACAACAAACCGCTTTGACAGAATGCAACCGGAAACACATGCGTAACCTGTCGCTCATTGGTTAATTTTAACTTGGCGCTCCAAAAATCTGACTTCGCCTGCGCGATGTTGTCTCACTCTGTATCACTGGAATTTATATAATCTCTACTCACTTTGCTTACAGGAAAAGGGTCAATAAAATTAACTACCCGCCCTGTCTCAATTGTGATGATTTTTTTATTGGTCGTGAACCAAAGGGGCGGAGCTTAACTGCAAAATACTTCTTTCTTTTCAAGAAATTAAAAACATGTTTTTGAGTACCGTGTTCTTCAAAGAATACTATGTATATTAAGACAAAACGGCAAAATATAAACCCCGCCCACCCACCCTGTCTCAATTGTGATGATTTTTTTATTCTTAGAAACTTGAAACACGTTTAATATGGTAAATTTTTGTAAGGAAATATGGATTTTGCAATAATTAGGCTCCGCCCCTAGGTCTGCCAACGAATGAAAACTTCAGTACTATTAGATTAAGGCAGGTATGGGTGGAGTCTAATTTTTGGCTTTAATCTTTTCTTAATATACTTAGTATTCTTTGAATAACACGATAGTCGAAAACATGTCTTACATGGTAATTTCTTGTAGAAAAGTAATAAAGATTTTGCAATTAAGCCCCGCCCCTCGATTTGACAACGAATGAAAAATTCATCACAATTGAGATGGGGGCCTAATCTTTGGCTTTATTTTTCTTAATATACATAGTATTCTTTGAACAACACGATACTCAAAAACATAAGAAATAAGGATTTTGAAGTTAAGCTCCGCCCTCTTGGCTCACGATGAATAAAAAAGAACAAATGTCATAATATTGTTAACGACTCGTTTTATTTTCGACAAATTGACACTAGATTTACCGAAATATTACATGCTGCTTACTATTTCTTTCACTTTAATTCAGGTCACACGAATTACTCTTGGCCACAGCAACAAGGTTTTTATTAGCATCGACTATTTAAACTTGGCGCTTGCGTTTGGCGGCTGAGGACTTGAATGTTAATAAGGATGATTTTGCCAAATCAGCCTGTATGTCGCATCTATATTAATCTATGGTATTACTCAGTATTGCTTTTTACTTTACTAAACACTCATATCCTCCATCTTTATTGCTTATAAAGCATTTTTAATGTTTTCTTACTTCTCATATCTTTCATCATATTCAACTTAAAGTGATTTTTTTTTAATAAACGGAACGGTGAAAGGCAGACAATTTAAAAGTTTTAGCATTTTCTTAAATTTAATCACCCTTACTGACACGCAGATCTTGGCCATTCTGACACTTAGAACGTCAAGAATGATGTTTGATTAGTAGTTTAGGTATTTTTTGCATTTAGGGCTCTGAATATACGGAATCAGAGATTACTATTATTGATTAAAGCAAATTTTTAGGTTGGCATTTCTGAATTATTGGCAGCAATGTTAGCATGTCACTGCCAATTTTGACTAGAGCGCGCCTAAAAACCAATGAGAAATAGGCAGCTATTAAAATGGTGCCCAAACTTTGAATTTGATACGAGGTATGTCATCAAAAACTTACAAATCTATTGCCAACCTGGCAAAAAAATCACAAGCAATATTCACTGATTTTATATTTTTATGACCTATAACTTGTCACATTTTCATTTGTCATTTAAATAAACAACATTTTACGTATACAGTTTTTTTTTTTTTAAGAAGGAACCGTTGAAGCAGATCGCCACTAAATTCAGCGAATCACAGCGTTCCATTCTGTACCACATGATTAGTCTGGTTCACAATAGCGAAAGTCTTTCACTATTCACTGTATTTTACGTTAAATATATACGGCCGCGGCCAGAAAATCTTGGCCGTTATTTTCCTGTCATTTTGAAATTTTTTTATGTAGTCCATGCTTTATTGTCACTTTGATATTTGAAGTTTAAAAGATTTGTCAGATTTGTCACGTCGCATCCAGTGTTAGCATGCCTGCAACGTCAAACATGACAAAACTAAAAAATAAGGTTACAATACTTAAAGGTGTTTCACATTTTGTGACAAAGGAATGACACTGACGTCCAAAGTTTTCTTGCCGCGACTGTATTTTGGCAACCAATGGTACCGCGTGATCAGAAATGACCGAGTCTGTTGGCAGTAATTTTTAAACAAAAATGTGAACTTTTATTGCCTTTATGTTGGCGGAAATTATTGTGTGACAAATATTATGTTAATCGTGACATGCAATAAATTTGGGTTATGTTTTGGATATATTTTGCAAATCAAAAATGTCAACAATCTGTCAATCTTGACAGTTGTCAACCGGAAATTATAGAAAATATCATGATACCAATTTTAACTACGAATCCAGGATTGCCAATAGACTCAGCCATTTCTGATCACGTCGTACTTATTGTGCCGCTTATGTTTGTGTTTAAAAGTACAATTACTCTTTCAACGAAATTAATTTCTCTCCGACTTAAAACAGATCGTAACTATCATTAAGTAATAATCAACTTAAATCCTCACTGCGACAAACTGCACCACTTTTCATCTACAATCTCTTGAAATACGGTAAAATACAATTTTTTTGTATTGTTGGCTCATAAATAATAGTGACTTTCATGCTTTTACTTAGTTTTTATAACTTTAAATAAATTGCTTTCATGCTGTCATCTATTTCCTTCTTCTTCTTCTTCTTCAAAAAAGGGTAGGTTGTGATTCCGACAACTACACTGGAAAGTTGTACTAGTAGTAATTTAGGGATTTTATAAAATCAGTGAACTCAGCGCCATCTTGTTTCGCTTACCCACAGCGCAGTCATTCAATGACTTTTGCAAACTGCATTTTTTATGTCATAAATCACAGCCCACTGCAAGTCAGAAAACTAAATAATTGCAAGTTAGTTTGGCAAACCTTGAAATTTAATGTTAAAAAATATGTTGGCAACACAAACGCGGATTGACAGCTGGGGTCAAATAACTGTCAAACTATCAAATAGTTGTAATGCCAACATCAATATTTTTAAAATAAATTTCACTAGATTATGGCACTATTAACATCTCAAATAAAATTTTGGAAAATTTAAAATTTGTAGTTAAGAATAATTATGCGATATAAACAATTATAAAATTTAACTTTGATCATTAAAAAATACAAAAATGTTTATTTAATACACTGCATATCCTCCTTACGTTCCAATGCAATCATTCGTTTCATGTATGACAAACCTACAAAATATATCCAAAAATAAATCACAACGTTAATACTACCTCAACAAGTTGTGTACAAAATGCCAAATATTTTGCAACAGAGATAGAAAATATCCACATAGATAATTACCTAACACCATAATCTTTCAATTACAAATTAAAAAAAGCACTGACTATCAATGTCTTATCTGATAAGATTACTCAACAATCAATTCACTTGTTTCTAAGCCTCGTTGACCGATTTTAAATCACTTGATAACACAATCCAAACCCCGGTTTGACAACAAAAAAAACACGTATCACATGATTACAGCATGCAAAAAATTCATTCATAAAATCATAAACCTTCACTCACACAATACACAAAAAAATTGCAGCTGACCCAAATTCATCACCATTAAACACACCACTTTCTAAAATGTCGTTATTGAGGACAATTAAATCAACCATAAACTCAAAAGGGAAATACCAATTATCTCTCAAAATAAAACCCATTACGAACCCTATTTTCCTGAATGGCTGGGCTATCCGACCCCAGCAGCATCGTAGTGGCGGCATTACTAAAGGCCTCCAACCCCAAAACGGGCAAATACTCTTTATTAAGCTTTTCATCAGCTGCTAGGCTCTTTTCCGCCGCTCGAACCACTGGTAAAACCCAAGGTTGGCCCTCATTAGTACGATAAGCTATAAAAGTGCAAACTTTACGAACACAACCACGCAAAACTCCACATTTAACTTACCCCCAACCCCTAGGCTGACTTTGTTTGGGAAGGTGTCTGCGGCAAATTGTTGGTTTAGGGCGAAGACCTCGATTGGGGGGCCTTGCTCAACTTTGGCGAATCTTGACATGTTTGCAGCTGCGAGTTTTTCGGAGTAATACTGATAGTTTGAAGAGTATTTATTTTAAAGTTGATTGAGATAACCTTTTTGACCTAGATGGGGGCTTCAAGGGCACGGTATGTTGTCTTGCGCAAAGGAATTTGAACTATTTCCTGAAATATGAAAACACATTTGAACTACGGAATGTTGATTTGCGCTACTGTTTACGTAAATACGTCGTTTTTAAAGTGTAATGAGGCTTAATGGTTAGATAAAACGATAATGAAAGGATTTAAAACTTCCAGATAAGATTGTTTCACATGTATTGTTTAAAAGTTTTTGATAATCTTTTCGTTTACGTCAGAGGGATACTCCCTAGACTACAAACCACCCGAGATATATCCAAGAACTGTATAAAACCAAAAGTAACCAAACAATGGTTTAAAAATCTAATACAGAAGTACTCAAACACGTCAGCAAAAGTTCAGTGTTTTATTATTAACATGATTCATGATTGTTAACAAATAATAAGTATACACACATAATACCAAACGAAATTTATAAATACATGTTTTAATTATGCGTTTTTTAAACAAAGCAAGATGATTCGAGAAACTAAACAAACCAGTCATTTTTCATGTATTTAGATCTTAGATCAAGACTTTTTATTCAGAATAAGATTATATTGAGTGAAAATACGCATTTTTGTAGCCTTTTTTTGTAGAGTTTTTTTAGTCGTTGTTTCAAGACTTTTTTTGTCTTTTTCTCTCTTTTTTTTAGACGAGTTTTTTTTCTGTTTTTTCACTTGTTTGAAGCCTTTTTGTGTGGCCTTTCTTTGTAGATTTTTTGGTCGTTTTTTATTCCCTTTTTTGAACGCTTTCTCTTTCACATTTTTTAGTAACCTTTATTACTTTTTGTCGCTTTTTGATATCATTTTTTCTTATAATTGTTTATCGCCTTTTTCACCTTTCTTTTTAATTTTTTCTGACTTTTTTTTGTTGCTGTTGCTTTCGACGTTTTTTCTTCTTTATTTTTTGTTGTTTTTTGCATTTTTTTAGTTTTTATGTCACTGGTTGTTACATTTTTTATTGCATTTTATCTCTTTTTCAGTAGATTTTTTGGCACACTAATGTCACCTTTTTTTTACGTTCTATGATTCTTTTTTCATCTTTTTTCCTCATTTATTTATCTAAGTTGCTTCAATAGCACTTTTTTGTAACATTTTTTGGTGGTTTGTTGTAGTTTTTTTTTTGGCGCGTGCCTTTTTCTTAACCATTTTTTTGTAGTCTTTTGTATTATTTTTTTAAAACATATTTTGTCATTATTTTTTGTTGTATTTTTTGCTTTCTTTGTCACTTTTTTTACTTTTATTTTTGCAGTATCATATTTTATCGTCTTTTTTTCGTTGTCGTTTCTTGTAGCAGGTTTTGGTGACCTTTTTTGTCCTACATTTTTTTCTTTTTTTTTGGTCTGTTTTTGTCGTCTTTTTGGCCTTTTCTACACATTTCTTATCATTTTTTTCTTGTCACTTTTTATCGTTTTGAATCGCCTTTTTTATTACATTTTGATCACTTATACAGGGTGTCTGGAAAATGGCGAATTAACTCTTTGGTACGTTATGTACGGGGGTTTCGGGAGTCCCAAAAAAATAACACAAAAAATCTTTGTGATGTAGATTAGAAAAAAAAAGTGATTTTATCAAAGTGAAATTGGCAACCCTGAAATTCATCTTTTATTTTTTTAGGATAATAAATAACCAGTAGTCATTAATCGTTGTACATTGTTATTAATGTCAAACTGTTATTTTTCATTAATAAATAAACCAGAAAAAGAAACATTTTATCAATTACAAACAAAAATAAAACCAACAAAAGGTTGGTGCGTGGGCGGGTCGTAGTATCTGCCAGGATAAGACTGATTTTGGATCAGTCTTAACTTAGCAGGTACTAGCCCCGCCCACCCACCCTCTCTTTTCTTAGAGGGTATCTCATTAGCCAAAATTAGTCTTATTTTGGATGTAACTAGCTCCGCCCACCCACCCTCTGTTTTCTAAGAGGGTATGTCATTCAAATCAGTTTTATCTTAGTAGCTACTAGTTAGGGTAAGACTGATTTTGGCAAATGACATACCCTCTAACAAAATAGAGGTACTAGCCCCGCCCACCGGCCGTCTATTTTCTTAGAAGATATCGCATTAGCCAAAATCAGTCTTATCTTAGCAGGTACTAGCCAAGCCCACCCACCCTCTCTTTTCTTAGAAGGTATGTCATTTGCCAAAATCAGTCTTATCTTGGCAGTAACTAGCCCCACCCACCCACCCTCTGTTTTGTAAGAGGGTATGTTATTCAAATCAGTTTTTTCTTAGTAGCCACTAGTTGGGATAAGACTGATTTTGGCAGATGACATATCCTCTAAAAAAGAGAGGGTGGGTGGGCGGGGTTAGTACTTGCTAGTATAAGACTGGTTTTTGCTAATGAGATCTCTCTAAGAAAATAGAGGACAGGTGAATTCTACCCTATAAAATTTGACAATAACAAGACGGGCAGTAGTATTTACAATAGCAAGAGATATTTACAACTTAAAGTTGTCGCGTGCCGGTAATCCCCAGATGTTAGGCAAAATAATCCAGGTCCTGAAAGGGACCATCGTTACTCACGAACGAAAATGACCATTATTTTATGAATACAACTTACCTGCTAAATGTTCTCCGACAAGTTTTTGTATCTTTTTGGGCCTTTTTTGGTACTTTTTATATTTTCATTGTTCAAGTCTCATTTTTCCCATTTTTTGGCGGTTGCTATTTTTGTGCCTTTTTTATTTTTTTTGGTCTTTTTTGCCATGTTTTCGTCGTTTTTTTTTCATGGCCCCTTCCATCTCCTTTTTTAAATCGTCTCTTTTTATTACATTTTGATCACTTATACAGGGTGTCTGGAAAATGGCGAATTAACTCTTCGGTACGTTATGTACGGGGGTTTCGGAAGTCCCAAAAAAATAACACAAAAAATCTTTGTGATGTAAATTAGGAAAAAAATGTAATTTTATCAAAGTAAAATTGGCAACACTGAAATCCAACTTTTATTTTTTAGGACAATAACCGTAATGACCAGTAATAAATAAACAAAAAAAAAACATTTTACCTATTACAAACAAAAACAAAACCAACAAAAGAAAAATTCATTAAAGCATAATAATCATCATCAAGTACTTGCTAAGATAAAACTGATTTTGGCACATGACATACTCCCTAAGAAAAGTGAGGGTGGGTGGGCGGGCCTAGTATCTGCGAGGAAAAGACTGATTTTGGCTAATGAGATATCTCCTAAGAAAATGGACGGTGGATGGGCGGGATTAGTACCTGCTAATCTAAGATCAATTTTGGCAAATTACATACACTCTAACAAAGAGTAGAGGGTATCTCATGAGTTAAAATCAGTCGTATCTTGGCAGTAACTAGCCCCGCCCACCCACCCTCTATTTTCTAAGAGGGTCATTCAAATCAGTTTTATCTTAGTAGCTACTAGTTGGGATAAGACTGATTTTGGCAAATGACATACCTTCTAAGAAAAGAGAGGGTGGGTGGGCGGGGTTAGTACTTGCTAGGATAAGACTGATTTTGGCTAAAGAGATCCCTCTAAGAGAATAGAGGGCAAGTGGATGGGGCTAGTATAGTTTTGGAAATTTCATTCTACCCTATAAAATTTTATTGACAATAACGAGACGGACAGTAGTACAATAACAAGAGATATTTACAACTTAAAGTTGTCGCGTGCCAGTAATCCCCAGATGTTAGAAAGCAGAATAATCCAGGTCCTGACAGGGATTATCGTTACTCACGAACAAAAATGACCAAAATTTTTGTAGCTTTTTGGACTTTTTTTGGTACTTTTTATACTTTCATTCTTCAAGTCCCATTTTTCCCCTTTTTTGGTGGCTGCTATTTTTGTGTCTTTTTTCACTTTTTTTGGTTTTTTTTCGTGGCCCCTTCTATCTCCTTTATGTTGTTTTTTTAATCGTCTCCTTTTTATTACATTTTTTTATCAAGTTTTGTGCTTTGTTTTGAGGCTCATTTTTTGGTAACTTTTTTGTCTAATTTTATGAAGTCATTTTTGATTTTTTTAAGTATTTTCACTGTGATTTTCACTTTTTTTGTGTCTTTTTAACTTTTTTGGTATTTTTTAATTTCTTACGCTTTTTTTTAGATTTTATTAGGACACATTTTTATCACATTTTTTGAAGACCTTTTTTGAATCCTTTTCCAGGATAAGTTTTGGCGTTTTATGGGGCTCTGTTTTCAGTTACCTTTTTTTTACCACTTTCTTTCTCTTTTAATATCGCTTCTTTTCTTACTATTTTTTGTTACCTTTTCTTATTATCGACTTTTTACATTTTTTATCGTATTTTTTATTAACTTTTTTAAGTCTTATTTTGTCACTTATTTGTCACGTTTCTAATCACTTTTTGTCATTTTCTAAGCATTTTTTATCCTTAATGACAAAGTTTGGGTACTTCTGATTGTTGAAGACGCTTAGGATTCATATTCTAGGAACTTATTTTGTAAAAATAAGTAAATTTAAATTAGAAGTGTCACTTTTTTCAGAGGGATTGTTTAGTGAACGGAGCTAACCCACGGTTAAAGTTCAACTTTCGACCTTTCACGTGTGTTCACTGTTGCCAGATCGATCAATTTATTGGTAGTTCCACCGATTTTGAATAGTGTTTACACTGAAATAAATCAGCGTTCTGCTATACCAAAACAATTAACGGAAATTGAAATTGTTATCTCATAAATTTCTGAATATAAAACTTAACAAACAAAATATATAAGAAATACTTTTTGTTCAATTAGTTAGTTTAGTATATATTTTCAGTATTTTAACTTTTGATTTCATACCAGGTGACACTAGAAGACAAACACATATTTTTTTGACTTAATCCAAGCAAAATCTAAACATCTTGAATTTACGCAATATCGAGAAACTCGCTTTAGTATATCTGGCAACCCCGCTCTGAAGTGTCAAAACAAAAATCCGTCAAGTCCAGTCAATAATATTTACTTCCAATATTTTTCCCTTTTTATAATTAATTAGGACTCGTGTATCTGCGTACGACAAAGGTATGTACCTAACACAGTAAACAAACCACTGACGTGTCACCATTAGTGTAAATTACCCCATAAATCGATATTGTTTTCACCACGTAGTCCACCTTCAACTTCACCGTGATAATCTATCATTCCAGGTGTTTTCTAAAATGTCGTCAACCGTTCCTCTCATCCTAGAGGAAGACTGCGAACGAGGGGGTAAAGACTACGACGAAGATGGCATCGAAAACGATTTCGCATACCGCAATAATGTCATGCAGGCCACCAAAGGCATCCGGATGGCTTTCATCCGGAAAGTGTACGGATTGCTCAGCATGCAGTTACTCCTAACTGTTATCGTAGCCTCGATCTGCATGTTTACGCCACCCATCAAAAACTTCGTCCACACGAAGTATGTTTTCACACTTTAATTAAAAACCAACTAATAAAACTGTTTTAGCAACTGGATGTTGATGGTTGCGCTTTTCGGTAGTTTTGGTTTATTACTCGCTTTACACGTGAAGAGGAGAGATAGCCCGGCTAATCTTATCCTTCTTGCCGCTTTTGTATGTATATTTGTGTTTATAATTTTTGTTACTGTTTATGTGGGGTTAATTTTAGACCGTCGTGGAGGCATACACTATCGGCGTTATTTTGACATTTTATTCGCAAGCAGTGGTTCTGCAGGCGTTGCTCCTTACGTTGGTGGTGTTGGGGGGTTTGACTTTCTACACGTTCCAAACGAAACATGATTTCTCTGCTATGCATTCAAGGTGAGTTGGTAAAAGTAGTGGTGGTGTAGTGTTGTGGTTAGTTTGTTTGCAGGTTTGTGCATTTTGATTATCGGCGGATTTATGCAAGTCTTCTTCCAGTCGACTACTTTTGAAATTATCATTTCCCTAGGAGGGGCGTTCTTGTTCTGTCTTTTTATTATTTTTGATACACAGATGATGATGAAGACGTTGTCGCCAGAGGAGTATATTTTGGCCACAATTAATCTGTACATGGATATCTTAAATTTGTTTTTGTATATTTTGCGTATTTTGCAAGCCATGAATAGGCAATAAGAACATTAGTTTTCTTTGTAAAATTGTTGTGATAATAATACACTAAATTCGGCTTGATTTACGCACATTTACATAAATATGTCTGCATATTTTTTCTGTATTAATTACCTGTGAAACATGTGATACTGTTTTGTGTATATTTGAAAGGGTGGGTGCAAAAGCAGGTAATTCTAATTTATAAAAGAGCGTTTCATACGTTAGCAATAAAATTGTTGACTTATTTAAATTATATGCTACGTGTAAAACACGTGAAGTTGCATTCTCCTGAAATTAATTATTCTATAGAGTTTATATTGGTAAAACCCTTTCATATTTTGAAACGCTGTTTGTATTTTCCAAAAATTGTACAAAATGGAACGTATTTTGGACCCACTCTTCATTGTGAAATATATGATTTATTGAAAATAATAAATTCACAAAAGTTACAAAGTTTTCCACTACTTTAGTTTTATTGAATTAAAAATACCATGCCCTATTATTACAAGTTAAAAGAGCTGAAAAAAAAAGTTACTCGGCACATTCACAGCTGAGCAGAGTTCCTAAATTAATTTTGGCCAATCATGAGCTTGCTTTCAGCGGTACAGTCTCAGACATGTCATAACTTTTATTTATTTGTAAATAAGACGTTGATTATTAGTATTTATGTATTATTATTATTATTGAAAATCTAAAACTGTCAAAATACGTATTTAAATGACAAGGATTTTTTTTTTAAACATGGCTAAATGATTTCATTTTCGTATATTTAAATTTCCCGCGCCAATACTTTTTTATCCGAGTGTATTACGCTCTCAGATCCGCCCACTCAGAGTCTTTGGGGCACTATATATAAAATTCACGTACTTATCTGTAAAAATGTAATGTAGGAACTTATTGTGTTAACATTTTTATCAAAGGATTTTAGAAACTCAGTTTTCATTTATTAGGGGTATCCTCCCCGTTTTTAGGTATATGTATGTATTGAGAAAAATAAAATGTTTATAATGACATTTGAGAGCTTGTCTCAAAAACTATGGCCTTGTTGGAAATTTTACCGAGCGTAGAGAACAACCAAATTAGTCAAGAGTTCAACATGTGGGGGCAACAGTCTTCTCTAAACCACAGTCTAAACGTTCGAATTTTATTGTTGAATTGTTGGTTGCATATCAAAACTATTAAAACAAAAATTTGAATTAGAAATACGTTTAATTTAAAAAAATACATGCATATTTTGTCATAAAACCGAAGATCTCAAAAAATAGTACTCCTATTTTGAACTATGTGATCTAAATATTCCGCTTAAATTAAATACGCACAAATTTATGAAACCCACGAAAAGTTCAAATTTTGGCTTAAGTAATCGTCGCCAAGAAAATGGAGCTCCAGGTTGTGTTAGAGATGTTAAAAAACCGTTTTTTAATAAATGGATTTGTTTTTTTTTTAACATTTTTTGATGTTTTTTTATGTTATTATAAACATCTAACAGTTTTAACTAAATAGGTATTTAAAATGTACTTTTTTCCGTAAGTTAGCAAGTATTTGTTATTTAACAGAGTCAAGGTTTTCTTAAAAATCTCAAAAAAAAATAAAATTTGCAGCAGCGCCATCTTTGGGTTCGTGGCGGCACAATAACACGTTGGTAAGCGGAGAAAAATAAGCGGCCTCGTGGTCTAGTGCCCGGCAAGCAGGTGACGTGTGGTTCGATTCCCATCGAGGCAGCAACATTTTTCTTCGCTTACCTTCAGATTTAAAATTTGAACTACTTGGACGACAACGAACAGTTGAACAGCATAATCTCAAAATTTTTAATACATATTAGAACAAATAGTTCTATTGATATGTTTTACGGTACAGTTTTACATTTATACACTGGCCGGCAAGAAAATTAAAATATTTTGAAAAACCATTTAAAAATTATGTTTTAATTACTCATTTTATTTATTTGTATCTTTTTTTAGCTAATTTGTACATCCTGTAATAAAAAAACTATCACTAGATTTTGCGAAATATTTCAGGGTGGCCGGTTTTTTTGCCGGTCAGTATATTTTATGCTGCAGTTCTCCGCATGGAATTGGTAATATTATTCATTAAAGGTAAGTAATAAAAAATAAATGTTGTGGTGACCGAATTTGAATTAAAATTTCGGGAGAGAAGATGGCGGCTTAATAGAGAGGAGAAAGGGTCATTTTTGGTGTGTTTTGTTGTGAGTGTAACCACGTGGTGAGTTAGCTAGGTTAAGTTTAGTTGGTTTGGTATATATATATATATATATATATAATTCAGCTCTGCAGGCCTTAAAGGCCCTGGGCTTTTTTTACAATAATTTTCCATTGGATCTCCAATCTTCAATGCCTAAGTTTTGAAGATCTTTTCGAACATCGTCTATCCATTTCAGTTTTGGCCTTCCTCTCTTTTTCTTTCCTCCTTTTAGGCGGTCTAATACTTTCCCGATTGTCCTTTCCTCTGGTGCTCTTCCGACATGGCCTAGCCATCTTAGTCTCTGTGCTCTGATTATCTTCGTGATTGTTGGTTCTCCGTATATTTCCTCGATCTCTCGGTTTGTTCTTCTTCTCTAGTCTAGTTCTTTTATACCTCCATATATCTTTCGTAGTATCTTGCGTTCCCATACTTCCAACTTCTGTTCCTTTTCATTCGTATCGTCCATGTTTCACTAGCGTACAGGACTGTAGGTCTTACTATTGTCTTATATACTTGTTTCTTTGTTCGTCGTGTTACATTCTTACTCCTCAGAAATCTGTTTAATCTTCCTACACTCTTGTTTGCTTTCGCGATCCCTTCTTCTATCTCTTCGTTCATTTCGTTTTTGTTTGTAATTACTACTCCTAGATATTTGAACCTATTTACTTCTTCGAATTCGTATGTTGTTCCTTCTTCTGTAGTTACTTTCAGTGGTTTTGCTGGGGTTTGTTTTGTTTCCAATATCATAAACTTCGTTCTCTCTTGGTTGATCGCTAACCCCATTCGTTTCGCTTCTCTGATTAGATTTTTTGTCATTCTCTTCATTTCTGCTTCTGTTCTCGTTATACATGTCACGTCATCTGCAAAGGCTATATTTTGGTGTCTGTTTTCGTATATCGTGCTCGTTCTGTGGATGCCACTTCTCCTTATTATTGCTTCGAGTACAAGATTGAACAGGGTAGTTGATATTGGATCTCCTTGCCGGAGTCCTGTTCTTACTTGGAATGGTTCTGACAACAGACCATTTATCCTGACTCTGTTTCTGGTGCTCTGCAGGGTCATCTTTGTCAGTTTTATTAGTTTTCTTGGGACTTCCAGTTCTTTCATGGCTTCTAGCAGTTCTTTCCTGTTAACCGTGTCATAGGCTTTTTTAAAGTCTATGAACAGCAGATATAAGTTGATTCCCTGCTCGTAATGTACTTCTTGTAGTTGCTTCAATATAAATATCTGGTCTACAGTAGATCTATTTTTCCTAAACCCTGCTTGATATTCTCCTACTATTTTTTCCATATGCTGCTTTAGTCTTCGGTTGATGCAAGTAGCCATTACCTTATACGTTACGTCTAGCAGCGCTATTCCGCGATAATTTTCGCATTTCGTAATATCTCCTTTTTTAAATATCGGGCAAAGTACTGCTTCACTCCATTGTTCTGGCATTTTTCCTTCCTTCCAACATTCTAGCACTAGTCGATGTATCTCTGATGCTACTGCTTCTCCTCCGTACTTTAGCATCTCGCCCTTTATTCCGTTTCTACCAGGACTTTTGTTGTTTTTCATCTGCCTTAGTGTTTCTCTGATCTCTCCTTCGTCAATTTCTATTGTTTCATCTGGGTCATCCGAGTCGTTCACTCTTTCGTTCGTATCTTGCTGTGTATCCTGTTCGTTTAGCAGCTCTTCAAAGTATTCTGCCCATCGTTTTATTCTTGTTTGTTCGTCTCCTATCAGGTTGTCGTCCTTGTCTTTACAATATATTACTCGTGGTTGATAGCCTCTTTTCTCTTTTTTCACTTCCTTATTTCATTCTTGTTGAAGTTTTCTTCTATTTGTCGTATTTGTTCTTCCATCTTTGCTCGTTTCTTATTTCTGCATATCTTCTTGTACTCTTTCCTTTTTTCTTGGTAATCTTTTTGGTTCTTCTCATTTTTTGATTTTAGATATTTCTGTCTGGCTGACCTCCCGCTTCTATTGCTTTTCTACATTCCTCGTCAAACCATTCGTTTCTATTTTTGTTGTCTTTTTTGACGAACCCTAGTACTTCTTCCGAGGTCTTCCATATGTTCTCTTGTAGTTCTTCCCATCTCTCTTCTATAGGTATGTCTTGCTCTGTTGATCTTATTCTCTCATTCATCTTTTGTTCGTATTCCTGTTGTAACTTCAGCTTTCTTAAGTTTGTTTACATTTATATCACGTTGCGTCTTCTTTCCTTCTTTTTTCTTCGGTATTTCTTGTTTGAGGTCTGCTCTTACTAGAAAGTGGTCTGAATTCGCTTCTGCTCCTCTGTAGCTTCTTAATCTGGTTATTAGTTGGGCATCTCTCCTTTCTACCAGTATGTGGTCTATTTGGTTGACCGTTTTTCCGTCAGGTGACATCCATGTGCCTTTGTAGATCTCTTTCTGTGCAAAGAAGGTGCTTTTGACTACCATTCTATTTTCTTCTGCAAACTCGATCAGTTTTTCTCCATTTTGATTCGTTTTTTGGTGTTTGCTTTCTTTCCCGATTGTTGGCCTGTAGCAATTCTCTTTACCTATCATTGCGTTGGCGTCTCCTATAACCATTTTAATGTCATGCTTTGGTATTTTCACATATTCTCTTTCTAGTTCTTCGTAATATTCTGTTTTTACTTCTAGATCTTTCTCTTCAGTCGGTGCATGTATATTCACTAGGCTTATTTTCCTGTACTTACTTCTCAATCTTATATAGCTCATTCTTTCTGAGATTGGTTTGAAGGTAATTACTGCTCCTTTCAGGCTCTTCTTCACCATGAATCCTGTTCCTAGTTCTCTGTTGTCAATTCCGCTATTAAATAATATGTAGTTGTCTATTTCAGTGATGAATTTGCCTTTTTGTTTCGTCTCTTGTATAGCTGCGACATCTATATTATACCTTTGTAATTCTTGAACTATTTGTTTGAGTTTTCCTTCGCTATATGTTCCTGGAACATTCCATGTTCCTATTCTAATTTTCGGGTTTTTCTTTCTCTTCGTAATTCCTATCGGGTCATCCATGAGCTTTGCATATGTCGTTATTGTTTTCCGGTGTGTGGTTAGTTAGGTGGTTGTTAGTTTTTTGGATTTTCTTTGGGGTGCGACGGTGCTTTCACTAATTTGTCTAATTTAGTGTCCCAATGCCAGACTTCTCCTGCCCATATCATCTTTTTGTACCCTACTTTTGCCTCGACTCCTTTCCCTTTTTCTGCTGCTGCTATACCTCTTATTTTCTTCTGTATCTCGCTCTCTTGTTTGGTGTAATCGTCTTCAATAAACGTTTTTGATCCTTTTAATTTGTTCTTCTGTTTCATGATTGCTCTTTTTGTGTCCCAGTTCTCTATCTTTGCTACTACTATGTCGTATTTTTCGCTGACTAATCTTGCATCTTGTATCTTAGTTTGGATTCCTACCTTATTTTTTAGGAGTTCTTCGATCTCTGCTGTTATTTCGCTTCTTTGTAGTTTCCCTCCTTTGATTACGATGTTGTTTCTCCTTTCTGCTTTTTCCAGTTTTTCTCCACTCTTTCTAATCTTTCGGTCAGTCTTTGGTTTTCTTCTCTTAGTGTTGTTACTTCTGTTTGGTATGCTCTTTGGTCTCTTTTCATTTCTGCGATCTCCTCCATTAACGTTTTGAACATATTCTTTACTTCGTCCATGTCTCCTGCTTGTACCCTCTTCTGCTTCCTCTGTACTCTTTGACCTTCCGGTGATGGTGAAAAGGAAGTTTCTCTTTTTCGTTTCTGGTTGTCTTGTTCTTTTATTGCTAGTTTGTGTCCTTTTTCCGGTTCAGGATTCCCGTTTAGCATTCCCTGGCCGACTTTCTTGCTTCCTGTGTATCTAGTACGTTCCTGTGTTGTTTACTCCGTGCCGCGATAAGAACTGTCACCCAGACTATCTCTTCGGAGGTTAGGTTCTTTTGATTCCACACTTTCCCTAATAATTGCTGTCCTTACACTTCTTGGTGCTTCTTACTCTTATTCCACTTCACTTCTTTGTTTTCTACTACTTCTCTTTCGCTTTTGACGCTCGATATCTCTCGATTTTCGAGTTTGGGTTTCGGAGCGTGTTCTACTTATCGTAGTCAGGACCGTACTTCTTTGTTGGTTTGGTAGTTAATAATAATAAAAAAGAAGAAAACCTTTGTTTAACGAAAATTAATCGTAACGACGACGACTCCACGCTTTCCCCAACACGCGTAGCTAATTCTTGCAGATTTCTAATCAGAAATAGGCGAATTTTCGACACGTGTGTAAGTTCGCTTTATTATTTGTAAATTCACAGTTCACGTTAGGAGTTTAATCGTTAATTAGTTCTAACGCAATTTAACAAACAGGAATTTGTTTAGATCAGCACTTGCTAGAAGATTTCATGAAATTCACTTAGTCAGGACTGATTCTTTGTTAACCTAATTATGTATAAGTTTCTGGATCTTAATACTTAAGTGCTACATTATAATATAACACTTCTTAATTCCTCACACAAGGTTGCTAATATTTCATTTTCGGCAGTTAAATTAACCTAACGTTGCCCTACTGCAGAAAAAGACCATAGAAAAGTGTAGTAGAATTCATGACATCGTGGACTGAAGGGCTGAGGGATTAATTTTCACCCTTAGACAGTTATTATCATCGTTATCATCATCACATCACCGAGACGCATATTTCCTCGCAACGTAGGACGAATTTTGTGTTTATTTATCATGTGTTTCAAAGCTAATGGTTTTAAGTAGCCAGTCACTTGGATCAAGACAGCATTTAACATAATGTAAATTCTTTGTTTGCATCGTTGATAGAGTGTGACATAATTTAACATAATGTAAACTCTTTGTTTGAATCGTTGATCGTTGAAAGAGTGTTTTCGAACCAAGCTCATGTTTGAACTGTAAAATCTTATTGAACAAATTAACGACATTGTGAGTCATATGAGACGTGCATTTTATTCCTTTGAGTTAGACCCGTATTTGTACAGCACCACGGGATTCATCGCATTTCTGGGAGACATATTTTTGACGTATTTTTTGCAACGAAGCATTCGTTTTGAACCTTCAGATTGCCTATTGTGTTTTTTTGTGTTTTTCTGGAGGAACGTATTTTGTTTTTATAAATATTTGCTAGTTTTTTTTTATGTGAATACTTTGTTGATTAATGCTTTCATCATATAAATTGTCTGATGTTCAGTCTTAATCTCAGACAAGAATTATTTGTTGTTTAAATATTTCTCGAGAGTGTATGACGAATTTAAATGTTGTTTATTGCTCTCTTTGAAACTTTGACACTCGTTCAGTTGTAGTTTAATATCAGAGTCATAGAAATTGAACATCTAAATGGAATTGAGGTTAAATAATGCAACAACACGTAGACGAACCGGAGTGCGCGGTTCCTAGTCGAGCTGGCCGGATTTATCGCGCCATCTGCACAAAGGATGCAGGCTATGTACAGAAATCAGGGGGGTCGAGATGACGTGACGCTGTTGGCTTCTCCCCCATAGCCTGCTCGTACAACATGTCCGTAATGCAGAGGTGCTGTGCGGCAGTGTTTGTGATAGATAGAATCACCGTGGTGAGTAGGAGAACAGCCACGACCAGGAGCCTCAAACTCCGCTCGTGTTACAACGCCCCCTATGGGTATTTTTGTTGCTCTCGAGAATGAAATCGCCACACTCTTATAGCGCTCTGATGCCGCTGCCGCTGCATAGTTTTTTTATTTAAAATTTTGCGCTCGTGTTGACTGCCATAATTTAAATTTGCCGTTAACTGCCATAAATGAACTATTAGCAATCTTGTGTGAAGAATTAAGAAGTGTTATAATACGTTACGTATTAGCATCCAAAAACTTATTCAGAATTCGTTAAACAAGAGACTGAATCCTGACTAAATGAATTTCATGAAATCTCCTAGTAAATGCTCTATCTAAACAAATTCCTGATTGTTAAATTGTGTTAGCACTAGTTAACGATTAAACTCCTAACATGAACTGTGAATTTTCCAACAATGAGTCGAATTTACACATGTTAGCGTCCGTCGAAAATTAGCAAATTTCCGCTTTGAAAAACCGTGACAATTGGCTACGCGTGTTGGGGAGACTATGGCGGCGTCGTCGTTACGATTAATTGTAATTAAACAAAAGCTTCTTCCTTCTTTCTAACTACCAAACCAACTAAACTTAATCTAGCTTTCTTACCGCGTCCTTTCACTCACACCAAACAAACAACAGTGATGCGCCACCTAGCCTCTATCAAACAAGTAAACTTCACTACCAACTCTCTACCTACAAATTCCCTAGCAGAACTACCAACTACCAAAAAGAAACTAAACTTGCACATAGTTGCCTATGTTTAACGATTTTCTTGATTGAGATGTGTGGCTCTTTGAGGACCAGAAAATCGGGACTGGTAAGCGTTACCTCCGTATGGAAGGCGTGAGAGGAGCAGTACGATCCCATCCGGTACTATTACTAGTGTTTCAATTTAGCTTAGATGCTGTTTTAAATTTCGAGGGATGAGTTACGACGAATGTAAAAAACAACTTAGGGAAACCCATCCAGAATTTTAGATTTATAAAGTAACTTAAGCCCGAATAAGTGAGTTTCTGTCACATATATTACACCGACATTTAAAATATTGCCGGAAAATTCTGTTGGAACTACTAATCTTTGTAAATTTATTGGTTTTAACAACTTTATACAACGAAAACAAATATAAAAACTGTTGGCATTTGGTGTTTAGTGTTGTTTTTCGTCATCATCTGATTCTTGTATTAAAAGTTCATACGACGCACTTCCCGCCGACTTGGTTTTGGCATCCCAAGCTTGGACCTCTCCTGAACCAAAAACGCAATAAAACGCACCTCCAAACAAGATTATACAACTCGCAACATAAAAAACAGTCCTCCACTGGTCAGCTGACTATAAAAAAGAAATTATTTTATTACACTGTTTCTGTAGCGAAATAAATTACGGTGGTCACAATGTAACCGGCAACAATAGGACAAAATATTCCTGCCATAGGTCCTACAGTGTTGCTTATACCGGTAATAAGGCCAGCTCGTTGAGGGGCAATATCAAGGCTGTTGACTCTACAAATCAAGAATAAAATGTGCACATATTTTTTTAATGCGTGTATTAAGTACCCATATCCTGAATAGCCGCACGCTTGAAAAGCAACCCCTAAAATTATACAAAACACAGCAACTGTAACCGAAGAAGAATGACTCACTGCTATTAAAAGAAATGCTTGAGTCACACAGGCAACAGAAGTGAAAATTTTTCGCACTTGCGTCGTTGTAAAGATTTGAGTTTTTCGTAGCCAGTCGGCCAGTTGACCGGAAAGCGTAATGACAATGGGGGTGGCTATGTATGGTAAGCAAGAGAGAAATCCAATTTGTCCTAAATCGTAGCCAAACATATCTAATTTCAATTTACATTTAATACTTAGTAGTTTTTTTGTTGAACAAACCTTTAAGGTACGTTGGAAGTTGTGTCAATATGGTATAAAAACCCCAGTCGTCTGTAAAATTACACACTATGATTGCCCAGACTGGAAGAGTCGTAAAAATATCCTTCCACGGCTGTGTCGTCATGTGATCTGTTTCAACGCTCCCTAAAGATTGTGAAATGTAGTCTAGCTCAGATTTGGATATCCGCGGATCTTCTGCTGGCGTTTCGCTTACAAACCGTATCCAAATTATAAACCAAATTATGGAAGTGCTGCCAAAAACGTAAAAAATACTAGGCCATCCTAGTTTTTCTGCCAAAAAAGCGCTGACTGACATCGCCACAACTGTCCCGAAGTAGCAACCAGATATCGCCATTGCTGATAACTTCGTCCGTTCTAACGGAGGCGCCCATTTAGACCACATGGTATTCATACAAGGAACAGTGACTCCTTCACAAATTCCTTCCAAAATTCGTAAAACTATGAGAAGATAAACGCTGGCTCTAGATGCCCATGGTGTTAGTAGAGTAAGAAACCCTGCCATGACGATTCCAAGTCCGAACAGCTTTTGGCCTCCGATTTTCATAGACAACCATCCACCAATAAACTGGGTTGTAACGTATCCGTAGAAGAATGAGCTCAAGACATAACCGCGCATTTTGGAGTCCCAGTTAAATTCCGAGACCTGGGAACAGATTTATTTGTATTTAGAAATTGTAAGTGCACCGACTGACTTCGTTAATTATGATGTCCCCCCTAACAGTGGTTCTGTTTGTGGTCATTGCAACAATGGCCACGCTGAAGTTTACTCTGAGGGTGTAACTACTAAGGAAACCGAAAAATGCCAAAACTGCTACTACGTTGCGTCTTTTCTTCCAAAACATACATGCTGAGTAATTGCTTGAACAAAAAAAAACTTTAATAATTATAAAATAGGTGATTACAACAAGATCGTACATCAATCCATCATTCGAACTGAATTACTTGTTGCCTAACTATCCGGCAGTAAACACATCGAACAAAAAAGTTAGGTTACGATAGTGAATTATGACAGGCGATAAACAGCCGTCCATCATCACAACAAGGTGGCAAAATTTACAAACGTCCCAGGGTCTGACGCCGAAAAACCGTGAGCTATTGATTTGTTCATTTTTTGGCGGTGAGCCAGTCTCTAATAGTGAACAAATTTTAATCACTTACCCATCACGTGTCTTACTTGAAGAAGTGCTCATTTTTTTCAGCAAATTTTAGTTCCGTCAAAACTATTCTGAAAACTAAAAAAGCGAACCTTTATATTTTTTACACAAATAAAAGCATTTGTTTATTCATCATTATGATTTATTAAATTATACTACTGCGTTGTCCTATTCTAACTTACTTGAACTATGGCTTAAAAGCTTCATAACAGTATTTTCTAGTTGCTAATGCTTGCGTTAGTTCCAAACATAGCATACTGCCACGATATCAACCAAGCTAATGACAAACGAAACATGTAGATAGTAACAAAAAAACGTCGTCAAATTGGCATTGAAGGTGTAAGCTGTCTTTCACATCGTCTGGTACACACAGCGGGAGATAAAAAAGATAACTTACTCGACCAACACCATCGTTTTTTATGAATCATACCTTATTTTTTACACAAGCCAAGCCATAACTATTTATATATAAATGAAACGATAACGATAGTCATAGATAACGACAAGTAGGTAATAAAATAAGATATAAAATGTGTGTAATTTTAAATATGTATTAAAAGTATGGTAGCGGGTTATTTGAAATAAAAACTGTGTATCTCAACGAAACTATACATAAGAGAAAAGTAACAAATTTTTGTAAATAGGTATATTGTTATACATAGAAGCTCAGGCACGATGATCTAAATCGATATTACATTTACACCATATCTCATGTTTACTTTGAGATACCCGTTAGTTAAAAATCGTTTTAATATGTAATGTATCAGTTTTTAAGGGGTAAATATATACCCAGAACCCAGAACCCACAAAAAGGCATTAAAGACTCATTTTAGAGTAAAAACTTATTGTTATTATCAGCACCAATAAAGTTACTTAGATTTACTTACATATCCACATTTAACAATAAATTTGAAAAAAAGAGAGAAAAATCAGTAGAACTAGATCTCACTGTTCTACTAAGCTCTCATTATATATATAAGTTAGCACAATATTTCATCTTAACTGTTAAGTAAAAATAAATGAAAAATGATACTACATGCATTCGAAATAGATTATCTTTATATCTTTATTACCCAACACTTCCAAAAGATAATTCCGATTATAGGGCAGTAAACTACTTATAACCATAACTGAGAACAGAAATAATAACTAATTAATAAAGCAGAATCACTAAAACTAAAAACAAGTGTTAAAGGAATAGGACAGGAAATGTCTTGAGAACTTAGTACTAACAGCTTGAATTTGAACATTTATTCTCGAATTATTATTGATTTTGACAGTATTTGTTATGTTCCTTATTGCATTTATTTCATGTGTGCTTTGTTTTATGTGTTACGTGGATTTGTTGAACTAATTCTGGTTTATTCATTAACTTTGTGATAACCCAAACGTCCAGCCTTAAATTGACATGTGAAAAAAATTTAAAGAGCCCGCGAAAGATTAAAAAATTCAAAAATTTGGCCTTGGCTGATCGTCCAACAAAATGGAACCCTACATTGTGTTTGTTGTTTTTTTTTTGTGGCGGAATGCGTTCAGATGCAAGTGGTGGGCCCCCAGGTTGGAAAAGTACCGCTAAATAAAACACAAAATATATGAAGGACACAAAACGTATATTCCTCCACTGATAAAAAAAAGAAAAAGCTGCGACTACGTTGTGCCGGCTGAAGACACTTCATAATGTTCAGCTACAAACAAAAAATGCCTAACTTTGAATGAACTCAATCAAATATTCTAAATCAATGCAAATATTTGAATATCACAAATTTAATAAAAACAAAGAAAAATCTGAATTAAAGTAACTGGATGCAAATACACAAGTTATTGCGGACGTTTACACGTCCGCAATAACCGGGGGCGCACAGTGACAGCGGCACCAGAGCCCTATAAGAGTGTGGTCATCGAACTATATCAACTTCATTCTAGAGTACAGCAAAAATACCCATAGGAAGAGTTGTAGCACGAGCGGAGTTTGGGGCTCCTGGTTGTGGCTGTTCTCCCACTACGACGGTGATTCTACGCTATCGGCAACCACATACCGCCCAGCACTCCTCTATTACGAAGAAACATGCCGCGCCGAAACAGGCCGTTACGGTCGCAAACTCGTGGTTAGAAATCCTGCCGCGTCCCTGACTCCTATTCTAGGCTTTTTGTGCAGATGCGATAAATCCCGCCAGCTCGACTAGGAACCGCGCCCTCCGCTTCCACCACGTGTTTCTGTGTTATTTAACCTTAATACCATTTAAATGTTCAATTTCTATGACTCTGATATTAAACTACAACTGAACAAGTGTTAAAGTTTCAGAAAGAGCAATAAACAACATTTAAATTTGCCATACACTGTCGTGAAATTTTAAACAGCAAAGAATTCTCATGTGAGATTAAGCTTGGACCTCAGACAATTATATAATGGAAGCATTTATCAACAAAATATTTACATGAAAAAAAAAACTAGCAAAGATTTATAATAATAAAACTTACGTGAGGTTAGGAACTGCAAAGCAGGAAAATTTACGTTCAATTTAAATTATACAGCAAAGAAAATTACACATGATAAATAAACACAAAATGCATCCAGCGTCGCGAGAAATAAGTATGTCCTAGTCCACGATATTATGAATTCTACCACAATTTCACGGTCCTTTTCCCAGAGTGGGACAACGGTTGATTAATTTAACTATCAGCAATCTTGTGTGAGGAGTTAAGAAGTTTTATATTGTAAGACTTAAGTATAAGCATCCAGAAACCTTATCCATAACTTGATAAACAAATTGCTTTATCTGGACAATCTCATGGCTGTTAGATTGTGTTAGAACCAGTTTGCGATTAAAATCCTAACATGAACTGGTAATTTACAAACAATAAAACAAATATACACCACGTGAGTGGAGTCTAAAATGTTACTTCTGGACCAGGACATTTGGCGTCTTAAAAATCAAGGCAGAATTCTACAAATTTAGTGTTTTCCCAAAAGTAAACAACCGAAAAAGATTTAAAAAACTAACAAAATACCTTGTTTGTACACACCCCAAAATGTCTTTTTACTTCTGGACCAGGACATTTGGCGTCTCAAAAAATCAAGGCAGAATCCTACAAATTTAGCTGTTTGCCCAAAAGCAAACAACCAAAAATGGCCTAAAACCTCTCAAAAAGCATTAATTTTTATCCACCCCAAAAGTACCCAAATATGTGTAGACCACCAAAAATTGGGCACACGAAAAAACCGTTAAAATCTACCAAAATAATGCAAATTATCTCACGAGCACTCTAAAAAACTTTTCAATATCTGTTGTTTTTAGACATTCCAAATGGCTTTGTATTTCTGGACCAAGCCAATTGGCGGATGCAAAAAAAAAGAGGAAAACAACACCAAATCAAAGAGGTATATTTGGCGCTTTACAAAACAAAGCAGGAACCTAGAAATTTATGTTTTCCCAAAAGTTAACAACAGAAAGACATAAAATTCTTCAAAAATCATAATTTTTAATGAAACCAAAAAATACTAAAAAGTTTCTTGTTGTAAATCAATTACTTTTCAAGACAAAATATTAGTGCTAGACCAGAAGAATTAAATACTTTAAAAACCTAGTAAAACAACCCAAAAAAGGCAATGAAACGAGTAAAAACACAAAAGTCTTATTCAAATCCCTCGGTTTTCAACACCTCAATATTTACAAAGTTAATAAAAAAAATGCAAAACATTTCCCGTTTTCGTTCCGACTACAATCCAATTTATTCTTACAGCATCTCCTCTTTCACGACAGCTTATACCGTTCATGGGTATGTGTGTATTGAGGAGAATAATGGGCACGACCATCAATCCTGAATTAATTGAAATAATTAAAGTAAAATTTGCTGAACTTCGTGAACAAACGGACTTTGGTAACAAGTAAAATTGTATTTGGTTATTTAATTAGAATTTTATTATCAAAACTATAAACAAATCATTAGCAGAATAATAAATTAAGCATATCCAATTCATGAATATAGAAACTACCTGTTTCATTTTTTAACTTAAATAGCTGCAAATTATAAATTGTCACTGCAAACAGAATTACTTTGTGTTTCATTTCCAACTTGATATGTTATATATACTCTCTTCTCATTTGTATTAAGTGCCAAACCAGCATAAATTTTTTTGGAAATGTGTCTATAGTCAGGTTCATCGAATTTAGTATGATAGCGGTTCTTAAAAATTTGTTTTAGAGCTTCTTGTGCAGACTTGGAATCCAGTTTGTATTCAAAAATGATTCCGATTTTCTTAAAGGTTATCACCATATCAAGGGTATTGGCTATCCCTCGGCTCTTTCTAATTTTCTTGATCTGGACTTCACTGCGTGTTACGAAGTATCTGGAATTATATACCAGAGTATACAAAATGTGATGAAGTTCAGATTCGTTCGCGATCTGCCTCTGTGATGGTTGACAAAATAATGCTAATACAGCGTTTGCAAGATCAACAAAATTGCTCTCACTTGTACATTCTAATACTAATTGCAGAGCATTTATATATCTTGCAATATTTTTAGAGTTAAAATTATATTTATTCTTAATTGTCAATGCTTCACTATAACAAGTGTGGGAGATATGCCATTTAATTTCAAAATTAGGTATTTTTAAGATAGAATATTCCTCTGTATTTTCATCTTCGTCTCTTCCTCTGTATTTTCATCTTCGGTTTCTATTCCAACTTTATGTTGCCAGGACCGCTAGTCCTGGCAACCTTTTCCAAGAAGTTTAAAACAGACCAGTTACTGAATATCTTCAATGAACTATTAGACACCATATATCCATCATAACATTTCTCAATTGCTTTGAAAGTTACTTTTCCACAAGTAGCTTTAACTTGTGGACGCTTAAGTAGCTGCTGTACTTCCGCATCCGTAAATCCTAAGTATGGTGCGTATCCAACATCGCTTAGGAATGGATAATGCCGTGTAACTCTTGCTGCATCCCCTGGGAAGGCTCCGGCCAACCGAACACAAGCAAATATTAATGAGCGTTTTATGAAGTTATTGAATTTCAGCGTGTTAGCCATGAAATATTCTAGACAATCATTAATTAATCTAATGTCATCCTTACTCGAACAACTCTCAAATACCAGGCCAACCGCAGGAACATCGTACTCATCGATGAGTATGAAAACCTTTTCCTCATAATGTGTATGTAAAACTTCGGATAAAAATTTTAAGCTAATTTCCAATTCCGCTGCACTTAATCTGATACACTTTTCCGTATCGAAAAATTTTTCAAAGCTTTCTACTTTTATGGCAGAAATGTTTAACTTCTCACTTGCCCAGATTCTTGTACCATCGTCAGTCTTCTTCACCAGGTATCCATGTTCTTGGAATGTAGCATTTATAGCTAACGCCAAGGAGACCTTAACTTCAGCAGAATTGGCGCCACGAACATCCCCGAGATCAATATGAATCACAGGATGAAGTTTGCAGTTCTTCAAAAAAAATCGTCTTTCCTCGGTACAAATCTTTAGGTTCTTAAATAAATCGGTTTTTCCTAGAAGGAACTGCTTCAACATATCCATGAGGGTAGTTTTTCCAAAAGCTCTAGGCGCTGTTAGTAATACTATTTTACAAGTATCACGTAAGAGACATTTGATAAACAGGGTTTTGTCCACAAAGGTAATTGTCTCTTTGATTTCGGAAAAATCGTGACTTGACAGTTCGCACAGCGACTTTACTGGATCCTAAAAACAGAAAAAATTACAACTCGTTACTAAATGCCTTAGCATAGCTGTTATAATAAAAGTGATTAGGACTATTATTGTGGTTTTTACTAATAATAAATTATTGCCACAGTTGATTTCCAATATAGGAGAGTTTTACTAATGATTGTGAATTTCACCAATAAACCTGACTGAATAAATATATTTCTTACTCTCACCTGAGAATCATTTAAAGAAGAACTCGCATTCATTTTTACTTTGGCTCGGCTACAATCTGTAATACAAATAAACATATAAATAATTAAGTCTTTTGTCAATGAGAACAGTACATAGAAGAAAAGTATAGAAAAATGGAATTATTTATTGGTCGTCCGAAGTTCAACACACCCTAAAAGAAAATGAAACAAAAAGGAACAAACAAAAGGTCATTGCATATCAGTCTTTTACTTGTCAATTAAATTGCACAGATGGAAAGACATCGCGCAGACCACTAGAAACAAATTGATAATAATAATCATGGAGTAAAACTTTAATCACCAGTATTATTGCTAATTTTTAATTCAACAGGATTAAATTAATAGTTACGGATTTTTTCAAATTTTCTTGTAAATTTTCATTTTGAAAACCTCGATGAAATCTAAATATTTAGCTCAAAAAGTACATTTTTTATCACATTTTAATACTTATTTGAAACACGATTTGTTTAATTGCTATTTTTTACATTGCTTGCAAGTTGCAACAATAAGGTTTTAAATTAATTTACACAATAAACCATATATTTGTTTATTATAACGCGACGAGTATGAAATAAAATGGGCAATAATTCCTTTTTTCTCTATCAACAATTTTTTTAATTACAGAAATATTCGCTATTATGTCGGAAAAATACAACGTTCAGTATCTAATAAGTAATACAAAAATTTCTACAATAAATTAAAAAATGACCAATGCTAAAGAGAACAAAATTGTATCAGAATATTATACGCCATTAAAAATAAGACAACCATCTGAACTCCAGAAATTTAAAAATAGTTATAAATCAGTTACTCAATGAAGTAACGCAAATGAGAAATCGTAATTTTGCTATTGAATATCTCAATTCGACTGTAAATAAAAAACTAACAAAGACAGAATTTTGCAAATCTAAAAATATTTCCAGAAATTCCCTCAATATGGGGCTAAATTCAGTTGGCATAAAAATTACATGTAAAACGAAAACAAATGAGAACAAACGGGAACAATCCGGAACAAAAGACAACAAATCGGGACAAGTGGGAACAAAAGAGAGAAAAAGTAAAATAAAAAATAAAAAAATATTCGATAATATAGAACATAAAGTCGTAAAAATGTAGGTTTAGATGAAGAAGCAGATGAATTAATTAGTAAATCTTCAGAAAATTTTCAATCATAAATGGATAAACTAGTCATACATTCCCAACGATGAAAAGAAAAATGGAAAAAAGATTTAAAACCTATTATTACTGAAATAGACAAATTAGAAGATGGAACAAAAATAGTTGGTTTCAAACAAGAAGTTGTAGATAAATATATTGCAAGAAAAGCAGCTAATTTATTCCTTGAACAATTAATTATGACTGACTGTGAACTAGAGTCCGCTAATAATAAAATAGATGAATTGGAATATAAATCAGATAACTACAATAATTATGATCCTAAGAAACTAGCAGAACTAAGAAACAAAACAGTAGTAATACCATCAAATATCGATGATGTAAAGAAAGAACTTTGAAAATATTTGAAAGACATACTAAAAATATGAGAGCAATAAATGAAAATTTCAATTGACTTTTATCTTCTCCTAGATTTTTTATAAACAAATGACAATCGTAAGCGCTTAAATTATGAAACAAAATTGGAATAAACAATGGTTGGCTATATTTCAAATTGCATTTTCTACAAGCAGCTCCTCTATATTTTCCAGTGTAGTGATCATGATCTCTTACTTTTGAGTTTTCTATAGAAAACACATTTTCACAAAGATAACAAATTTTTGTTTTTTTATATTCTTCTAGTTCGATATCTTTTATGGGTTTATTTTCTTTTAATAACTTATATATTGTTCTGGCATATTCAGTTATTCTTTTTATAAAACATTTATCCTTTCCTCTCCTCTGTAAATTTCCAATGGGTTATAAATATTATTATAAGCACTCTTAATGTATAATCCATAACCACGGGGAATATGAAATTGTGTTTTATGAGTATATGATGATTCAGGATTTGGTTCGCATGTATGAATAGGTTTCAGAATAAATTCAAAATCAGAATAAATTACATACGGATGTCTTAACATTCTCTGAATATTTTTAAATTTTAATATATTATCTTCAGGCATGTTCGGAACACATGGTTCATTACTAAAGCACACATTTTGATGTTTCTTTAAAGCATCTTCAGTTCTAGCGGAGTAGTTTAAACATCTTCTACAGAAATGTTTTTTGTTTCTATTTACTTCCAACTGATCATTCAACAATCGACTCAAATTCTTGATCCAACAATAATGATTTTTGTCTTTATTTCCAAAGTATAGTAAGTCGATATTCATTTCATATAATTGCTTGTTATTATGATACAAAGGATAAAATATTTGTTCTTCGTAATTAAACACGGTAACATTAATTTTATTATGTGATTCAAATTTAGGAATGTCCTGGATTTTGACAGGAAAATGTATCCCTTTTCTTGCAATTCATCACATCTTGATATAAATAAATCCTTTTGTTCATCCCAATATTCCTCCAAATCATCTTGTTCTCTTAGTATAACATTTGGTAACTGAAATTTATGTATCATTGTAAAGTCTTCATTTTCCAGTTTCATAAACTCGCATTTCGTCTCTAAATTGATTTTAATATTTTTATGGAGATTTAAAGCATTTATAACTATTTTAATAGCCTTTTCTTTTATCATATCCATATATGTTTCTATATCTATACCTTCTTCTAGATTATTATTCTGATAGGTTAATAATCTTCCTTTAAAAGCAACCTGAACTAAAATAAAATCTGGCTTTGGATTATGTCTTGCCTTATGCAACTGCATTCGACTTTCTTTAATATATTTTCCACATTCATCACACTTGATCTTTTTTAGTCTTTCTTTTTTCGGTTTAGAAAATATGCCATCATTAAACGGAAATATTTCCAAACTCTTCTTGTTTTCTCTTTTTATTACCGTATTTATAATAACATTATTTACCATTTACGTTTTCATTAGCACCAACAAGTATTTAGAATAACAAGTAATAATTTGTTTGTATTATTTATTCATTATAATAATCTCATTTATTTATCAGAAACTTTTTAAACGAAATAAAATCTAATTGACTAGAAATAACGGCAAAGTTGTGTTAGGCTCATCTGGCAACGTTGTGAATTATCTAAATGCATATTATGAGATTTTTACACATTTTTTTCGTCACCCTCTATCGAGTGGTAGATTTGTCTATGCGCGTGATTGGGGTCCAAGCTATTCGCCGGCCTTTGGCCTGTTCGCTCCAAAGCATAGCATGGGTCTATCTATATGTATTTAATCAATGTAAGAAATTACTTAATTATTCTATTAATTGCTATCATGTTTTGGGCGCGAAAACGTTTTTCTTTTACGACATTGGAAACCGATACACTATACCACGTGGCTGTTCAGATGTTTCATTTATTTTAATTTTCGACACTACCGTTAAAAATTACCGGAAAGCAGACGAATTATATTTTACTTATACTACTATTAATAAATACGAAGACATTTTATTACTTACCAGCTTTAACAATTAACACAAACACTGAAGACTGAAACCACGGCCGTATATAACAGGTCTGCGAACTCTGAGTTTAAAATGCATAGAATACCCTCCCTGTTAAAATGGTCTTTTTTCGAAGAGTTCCCAGAAGGCCACGGGAGCTTAAAGTTCCTAGCGCCGTCTACTGGATACTATGATGAAACTGTCCACAATAATGAATTAAATTTGCGTAAAAATGTCCTTGAATGCAAGTTGTCACAAACGTCAGCTTTATAGGTTAAGTTTTGTGACATCTTTTTGAAAGATGAGGGGAAATATACGTCAAATGTCATGTCAAACGTCAGTCGATAGTGCAAATAGTACAATTAACTACCACATGGTGGCGGTTATCTTAAGCTCCCACAACCTACTACCCAAGGTTAGTTAATAGAGAATCTATTAAATGACTTTTTGCCTACTAAATATTAACAATGTGCACAATCGTAGATGGGGAGCGTAATGCTTGGTCCAGAAATAAAAAAAGTCATTTTGGGGTATTTAAAATAAGAGCTTTTATTTATTTAATATTGACCGGTCGCCATTCCGACCGGTGAATTTTTTGCATCCGCCAATTGGCTTGGTCCAGAAGTACAAAGCCATTTGGAATGTCTTAAAACAACAGATACTGAAAAATTTTTCAGAGTGCTCGTGAGACAATTTTGCATTATTTTGGGAGATTTTAACGGTTTTTTCGTGTGCCCAATTTTTGGTGGTCTACACATATTTGGGTAATTTTGGGGTGGATAAAAATTAATGCTTTTTGAGAGGTTTTAGGCCTTTTTTGGTTGTTTGCTTTTGGGCAAACAGCTAAATTTGTAGGATTCTGCATTGATTTTTTGAGACGCCAAATGTCCTGGTCCAGAAGTAAAAAGACATTTTGGGGTGTGTACAAACAAGGTATTTTGTTAGTTTGTTAGATCTTTTTCGGTTGTTTACTTTTGGGAAAACACTAAATTTGTAGAATTCTGCCTTGATTTTTAAGATGCCAAATGTCCTGGTCCAGAAGTAACATTTTATACTCTACCCACGTGTTAGCGTCGGTCGAAAATTCGCATATTTGCGCTTGGAAAAATCGCAAGAATTAGCTACGTGTGTTCGGGAAACTGTGGCTTCGTCGTCGTTACGATTAATTTTCGTTAAACAAAGGTTATTTCACTCACCAAAACAAAACAACAGTGGCTCGCCACCGACCCTCTGCCAAACAAGTAAACTTCACTGCCAATCCTCTGCCTACAAAATTCTTACTAGAACTACCAACTACCAAAAAGAAACTAAACTTGCACATGGTTGCCTATGTAAAATATAACAAGGACTTGGAATCTATTTAGTAATTTGAAATATACCTGTATTGGTAGCATATTTGTCGCGTGTGTCACACATGTCTGAGTCCAATCACAAAACACTTGCAAAACAATACAAAAACAGAACAGGAAAACCTCAATAATAACAGTAAACACGTCATTTCTGCTCTACTTTTTTTTATTTCCGATAATTACACGGACAATATTTCATGTTCATAGATCATAACGGAAATGATGACCAATGACGATCAATTTAATTTTTAGTATTTTATAGTAGAAAATTCTACAACTAAGGAAAAATTAGTTGCACCTGTATATATTGTATAGCATGATTCAAAATAGAAAGATAGCTTTGTAGTAGAAAAAGAATGGCAAGAAATAAATACATTTCGAGTGAGGGATATGACAGATTCAAGGACAAGGAAGAAAAAAGTAAAAAGAAAAAAAAATGTGTGTGAAACAGCTTTGAAATGAAGATTGGATAATGAAGTACCAGAACAAACCAAAAACGAAGGATTTTGTGGCAACAGGAAAGATAAATGAGATTGTGTAAGAACTCAGTCTAAGCGTGAATGAAGCAATAAAAACACGCAATTATTACACAAAAGAAAAAAAAAATAACTGATTTGTTAAAAATAAATTCGTTAAGAAACTTCAGAAATGTTATTTTTCAAACTTTTTCTCGTGTTTTCTAGGGTTTCCAGTACTCAGCGAACCCGAAAATAGCAATAAAAGAATTCAAATACTTGGGATATATATTCGGCAGTAACAGAGGCCACTTAAGTCACATAGTGAGAGAAGAAACTAAAAAGCATAAATTAAGAACAGAAACAGGAAAAAGAGCGGTAAAATATGAAGAAAAAATGAGTGAGAGAACAAAGTGTAAGATGCCAAGAGAATGTAGAAGAGAAGAAGAAAAGAGAGAAATGGGTATGGAGATCAAAGGAGTGAGAAGAGATGAAAGGAGTACCAGACCTATAGTGCATAAATCAATTTCTCTTTTGTTATTCGTCGTCGTCGTCGTCTGAATTGGTCATTAAGAGCTCATGTGACAACGTTCTATTGACACTCCAAGCTTGCACTTCTCCTGAACCAAAAATGTAATAAATTGCACCTCCAAATAACAATATACCACTCGCAACATAAAAAACAATCCTCCACTGCTCAACTGACTATAAAAAAGAAATTATTTTCTTAAACTGTTTCTGTAGCGGAATAAATTACGTTTGTCACAATGTAACCGGCAACAATAGGGCTAAATATTCCTGCCAGAGAACCCGCAGTGTTACTTATACCGACAATGAGTCCAGCATGTTGAGGTGCGATATCAAGACCATTAACTCTGCAACTCTTAATAATGTAATATGCACATATCTTTAAATACATTGGAATACCCATATCCTGCATAGCCCCACGCTGCAAAACCAGATCCTAAAACTATACAAAAAACAGTAACTGTAACCGAAGAACAGTGACTCATTGCTATAAAAAGAAATACTTGCGCCACACAGGCACTACAAGTGAAAAATTTCCGCACTTGTGTTGTTGTAAAAATGTCTGTTTTTCGTAACCAGTCTGCCAATTGACCGGAAAAAATAACAACACTGAGTGTGCAAATGTACGGCAATCCAGACAGAAATCCAATTTTTTCTAAATCGTAGCCAAACCTGTCTAATGTCAGTTAAGACTTAATGGTTACGTATTTATGTTTAACAAACCTTCAAGGTAGGTCGGAAGTTGCGTCAACAGGGTATAAAAAGCCCAGTCATCTGTAAAACTGTATATTATGATTGCCCAAACTGGAGCAGACGTCAAAATTTTTGTCAACGCTTGTTCCGTCTCACGTTTCTCTGGAACACTTCCTAAAGACTGTAAAATGTAATCTAGTTCGGTGTTCGATATCCGCGGATCTTCTGCCGGCGTTTCGCTGACAAACCACATCCAGATTATAAACCAAATTATAGAAATGCTGCCAAAAACGTAAAAAATGCTAGGCCATCCAAGTGTTTCTGCCAAGTAAGCACTAGCTGCCATTGCCACAACTGTCCCGAGGTAGCACCCAGACAACGCCATCGTTACTAATTTCGTCCGTTCTAACGGAGGTGCCCATTTAGACCACATGGTATTCATGCACGGAAAAGTGAATCCTTGACTGACTCCTTCCAAAATTCGCAAAACTATGAGAAAATAGACGCTGGTTCTAGATGCCCATGGCGTTAGTAGAGTGAGAAATCCTGCCGTGACTATTCCCAGTCCGAAGAGCTTTTGGCCTCCGATTTTCATAGACAACCAGCCACCAATAAACTGGGTTGTAACGTATCCGTAGAAAAAGGAGCCCAGGACGTAACCCCGCGTTTTGGAATTCCAGTTGAATTCCGGGCTCTGGGTGTAAATTTAGTTGTTATTTGGGGATGTTTAAGTGCAGTGACTGACCTCGTTGGTTATAGTGTTGCCCATGACGGTGGTTCTGTTTGTGGTCATTGCAACAATGGCCACGCTGAGGTTTACTCGGAGAGTGTAACAATTAAAGAAACCGAAAAATGCCAAAATTGCTACTACGTAGCGCTTTTTCTTCCAAAACATCCATGCTGGGTAAGTGCTTGAACGAAAAAAAAAACTTTATTAGTAAAAAATGTCTTCATGAATGTTGATTTTGTGTTATCATTTATGTGTTCTATTACCTGAATTTTGAATATTTATTCTCGGGCATTCCTCTCACAGCGAAGTTTGTATTGAGCGACGTTTTTGTGATTTGGCCGTATTTCACACGTGTTTTACTTACAGTGGACTTATTTATGTGTTAGGGAATTCGATTCACGATGTAATCTTGATTGATTAATTTTGATTTAAGCGAATTTAACATCATGGAGATTCTCATCGTTTTGTTATTGTGAGGTGCACGAAATTTTGGTTACTTTGGAGTTTTTTTGTTTAAATTTAAATTTGTACCACACCCACTAATAAATTTGGACATTGCCACTATAGATGATATTTTTGCTTCTCGAGTGTATTGTAATCGAGTCCGTCTGTCTGCCGTCCCGGATTTGTATTAGACAGATAATCTCCGAAAATACTGGGCCGATTGTTGTCAAATTTTGTATTTATATTAAGAATATCATGTAGATGGTAAAACGATAACCAAAATTTACTTCAAAATTGTACATAGTAAATGAGTTTTAAATTGTATAAAATAACATAGTCCTACACATTTAGTTTATGACTCCGTATTAAGTTTTTACCGAAAACTTCCAGATTTAAAAAAAAAATCAAAATTGTAAAGCAACATTTTACAATTTAATTTTGAATCTGCAAAACAGGATGCTTTAAAATCTTGCAGATATTTAAAGTTATGAAAAGCAAGATAAGTTTTTAATCAAAATACATTTACGTATCCCCTTCAAAAAAGCGATGACGTCAGCTCTAAAGTTTGCCGAATAAATCCTATCTAAAATGAACCAAATATCATGAGTCTATACTTGTGATTTATTATTCCATTAATATTTTTTAGATTTGCTTATACAGGGTGACTCAAAAAATTATTGAAACAATCTACTATTGATCAAATTAAGAACGAGCCACCCCATTTTCTCGAAAAATGTGAGAATACGTTCTCTTTATAACAATAAAATAAAGATAAGGTAAGAATAATAATAATAACATTCAGAATATTTTGTTCAATTGAGGCTTATAATAATTTTCGTAATTTGTCTTGATGTGATAAACTCATTTAAATCAAGCGAATGTCTACGTGACATTCTTTCGATGTATTTATAAACATAAACATTTTAAACACTACGCACATTGTGCAGAGACAGTTTATACGAATATGCTTGTGTGGCTGCCCCCCGGAGTTAAGAAACCCCTTCTGGCCTAAATGTAACGGAAAATAAAATGTATTTGTTTTTAATTTGGTTATTACAGAAATACGATTTCGTCTTCGACTGACCGTTTGTTGACACATATGATCTCGAAATTGTGCAAAATTGCCCACTTCCGGGCGTTCCACTAATTCTTGACTTGCAGTAAAGCAGCCACCTGCACAAAGAGCTGCCGCCTGAGTTTTGCTTATACAGGGTGATGCAAAAAAAATATTAATGACTCAATTTATTTTACTGATTAAATCAAAAACTGCAAAACCGAATACTTTGAAATCTTGCAGACGTTTTGAAGTTATTGGTGGCATGATACATTTTTAAACAAAATATGTCTCTTTATTCAACAACTTTCGACCATTTTTTTTTACACCATATAGTAATGCATAGTAACAGTTAATTACTTACCCATCTGTTATTTGTGACATTTTAAGCAATGATTGTGTCTCACTGGAAGAAGTTTTCATTGTTTTTTCAGCAAATCTTAATTACTTGAAAACTATTCTGAAAACTAAAACAATGAACGAGTTGTGATAGCACTTTCGAAATTGTTATTTTCTTCTTTACACGTACGGGTGAAATCATTTGTTAATAAATTTATAAAACTGCCTTGTCGTGACTTACTTGAAATATCGATAAAAATTTACATAACATTATTTTCTAGTTTCTTATCTTTGTTGTACTTCAAAACGTAGTAGACTGGCCGACATCGACACCAAAACTAATGTATAATGTTCAAGGAAACGTGTAGATAACATGTATAATCGCAAAAAAGTGTTCAAATTAACATTTAACTGTATTTTTGTATATAAAAGCAAACTTATAACTTATAGCTACATTTTCATAATGAGATGATGATGATGATTATGATGACATTGACGAGATAGACTTTGTTTTGAACTTCCAGGCTTGGACTTTTTCTAGGCTTAAAAACCACTTAGTAAATATATACTCACCTATACAGGGTGTTATTGAAAGGTACGTACAACAAAATTGACAGTTCTTCGCGAAGCCTAAGAAGTCTGAAAATGTTATTTTGTGTTATCAAAATTATAAGGGGAAAATTAATCCTTATCCAACCTTTTTAGACGCTACTGAAGGATAAATAGGTAAAATTAATTTATTTTAGTGAATCCTAGCAACTGTAACAATAAAACTTTTGTCAAGACTAAATGTTGCCATAGAAACGAAAGATGATCTTTTTATCAGAGGCGTACAACAAATTTGGACATAAATTGTCATAATTTTTATCTCTGAAAGGAGAACACTTTTACCTGAACTTTTTTTAACTTTTGGCACCCATACCTCGAGACCAATTGTGGATTTTATTTTGTACGTACCTTTCAATAACACGCTGTATTGGCAACACTACTTGTCATGCGTGTCACATATGTCAGAGTCAAAACAATCTTTAAAAAAATACTGATCAAGTAAAGCTGTGATCAGTGCACGTAGGATATGGCAAATATAGAATTAATATGGATTGGAAAAAAAGGCTATTACTTGATTTTTTTTAATCGTATGATACATAATTAGAAGCTTAATCCGCTCCAGTTACGTCAATGGAATTAAAAACAACGCAGTGTCATGACATGATATATAAATATTATATAAATTTTACTTTTGTTATTCGTCGTCGTCGTCGTCATCTGAAATGGTCATTAAGAGCTCATATGACGACGTTCTACTGACATTCCAAGCTTGGACATCTCCTGAGGCAAAAACTCCATAAAAGACACCTCCAAAAAAAATTATACCACTCGCTAGATAAAAAACAATCCTCCACTCTTCAAGTGACTAGAAAAAAAGAAATTATTGTTTGGAATTGTTCCTGTAGCGAAGTAAATTACGGTAGTCACAATGTAACCGGCAAAAATAGGGCTACACATTCCTGCCAGACAAGCCACAGTGTTACTTATTCCGCTAATGAGTCCAGCATGTTGAGGTGCAATATCAAGCCCATTAACTCTAAAACTCTTCAATGTAATATCCACATATTTTTAAATACTTTACAATACCCATATCCTGAGTAGCCCCACGCTTCAAAAGCCGCTCCTAAAACTATACAAAACACAGTCACTGTAACCGAAGAACAATGACTCACTGCTATTAAAAGAAGTGTCTGAGCGACAGAGCTAGTGCAAGTGAAAATTTTTCGCACTTGCGTTGTTGTAAAAATATCTGTTTTTCGTAACCAGTCTGCCAGTTGACCGGAAATAATAATAACAAAGGGTGTGGCTATATAGGGTACACAAGACAGAAATCCAATTTTTCCCAAATCGTAGGCAAACCTGTCTAATTTCAACTTATTAGATAATTTAAAACTTGATACTTATTTTGTTCAGCAAACCTTTAAGGTACGTCGGGAGTTGCGTCAAAATCGTATAAAAAGCCCAGTCATTTGCAAAACTGTATACAATGATTGCCCAAACTGCAGGGGACGTCAACATTTTTGTCCACGATTTTTCCAACATATGTTCATCTTGAACACTTCCTACAGATTGTAAAATGTAATTTAGCTCCGTTTTGGAAATTCGTGGATCTTCGGCTGGCGTTTCGCTGACAAACCACATCCAGATTATAAACCAAACTATGGAAATGCCACCAAAAACGTAGAAAATGCTAGGCCATCCTAGCGTTTCTGCCAAGTAAGCACTAGCTGTCATTGCCAGCACCGTCCCGAAGTAGCACCCAGACATCGCCACCGTTGCCAACTTCGTCCGTTCCAATGAAGGCGCCCATTTAGACCACAGGGTGTTCATACAAGGAGAAGTGACTCCTTCACAAATTCCTTCCAAAATTCGTAAAACTATAAGAAGATAAACGCTGGTTCTGGATGCCCATGGGGTTAGCAGAGTGAGGAATCCTGCCATGACGATTCCAAGTCCGAAGAGCTTTTGGCCCCCGATTTTTATGGATAACCATCCACCGATCATCTGGGTTGTCATGTACCCGTAGAAAAACGCGCTCAGGACGTACCCGCGCATTTTGGAATCCCAATTAAATTCCGAGACCTGATGGGTTCAAAATTTATTTTTATTTGGAATTTTTAAGTAAGTACTGACCTCGTTGATTTTGACGTTGTCCATAACAATGGTGGTGTTTGTGGTCATTGCAACAATGGCCACGCTGAGGTTGACTTTGATGGTGTAACAATTAAGGAAACCGAAAAATGCCAAAATCGCTACTACGTTGCGCTTTTTTTTCCAAAACATCCAGGTTGGGTAATTACTTGAACAAAAAAAAAAATAATTATGTAAGGCGGCAAATTTCCAAGGCCATTTGGATGTACAGTTTTTATTATCACCGGGTATATAATACAATCGTAAACAAATCTGAACCTTAATCGCTTACCCCTCTATTGTTTGTGAAATTTTAAGTAATGGTAGTGTCTCACTTGAAGAGGTGGCCATTGCTTTCCGTCAATCTTAATTCCCTCTTCCGAAAACTAAAAAAGTCAACACTTTTCAGTATATTTTAAAAATGTTTATCTTTACCTTAGAAATTACGTTCGTCTTTTACCTATCCAAACAAAATACACGTGTTAACATTTTAGACAAAATTTAACATACCGATTTAACACGTGTTTCCACTGGCAGCACAACGTTATTCTCCAAATATTTTTGTTATAATGGCTTTTAGTTCTTGGAGTCTGGGAATCTCTTGTTTATACCATTATCCTAATCACTTGTCATTAAACTAAACCAATACAGCATATTTAAGGTCCATCCTCTAATTCCATGTTTGTGTTTACTTTACATTAGATATCTTCAGTTCGTGTTTGTACTGACCATAGGTACCGTAAAATAATCAGAGAGAACAGAAACTGAATCGGTATAAACCGTTCAGGATGTTTTTAGACAAAAGTGAGCCATGAAATGTTTTCTTCACGTTGGATAAACTGATTAATTGAAAAAACGATTTGTCAGTCAATGCATGAGACTGATGACGTTTACTTAACGCTGGTTTGCTATTGTTAGTTCTGTCATTAAAATTTAAAATGCCGAAAATTATTTTGTTACAACAAAAAAATTCAACAAAAAATTATCATCTGCAAATGGAAAAAGCAGTGGCGGCTCATGACCTTTTGAAATGGAGGGAAAGAATTTGATTGATGAGTTAAATATGAAGATATAAAACAGGTTGTTATTCCTAATTAAAAGACGAAATTGTGTGACGGAAATAAATACAAAAGTACATTCAATAATTTTACGTTGATGGTATCTAAAAGTTCATTTTGACAGTTTTAGACGTTCCTTTAAAAATTGTTGCTTATTTCAAATGATAATAATATAATTAATAATAATAATAATAATAATATTAACGTCTTTATTTATTTATCCAAGGCACAGTAGTCCAAGGTGGCGAAGTTTAGCCACAGGCTATTCCACCACTTAACTACCCAACAATACAACAAAATACAGATTTCTGAGAAAAGTTACTAACACATGTAAATTATGATATACATGTGTATAATTATAGGTAATTATAAAAAAAAATAAAAAAAATCAACTATTCTGTTTAAATAATAAATATCTAAAAATAAATTTTTTAAACAAAGCCAAATTATAGCATTTTGCTGCTTGGTCAATGCTATTATACAAAGTGATGGTATTGTAAGAATGCTGTCAGAATGGGACCGCAGTCCGCTTGAATGAAATGGGAGGACGTGTGGTTTCCATAGCAACAGTGTTAACGTTTAAATCAAGCATGATTCGGTCTCTGTGCCCGGCTTTTATCGGCAATAGCATATCATATATCCAAGACACACATCTTTAGATGTAAGTGGATGTAAGTTTTGATAAATTTTATACAAGTGGAGTGAGATAAAAAAATTAGTTTTGATAATTATGACACAAATTTCTGGATGATTTTTTAAATATTCAAAATTACTATTTTGGTTATGTCCAGTGTATTTGTAGACGTTGTAATTTTGGGGGGGGGGGGGGCACATGCCCTTGGGTTTTGTAAGAATCACTTAATTTGCCAAAAGGAGACGATCGGGTTAATTTTTCACATTCTTCGACCGACGCTAACACGTGGTGTAAATTTATTTTATTGTTTGTAAATTCACAGTTCATGTTAGGATTTTAACCGTTATTGATTCGAACACAATTTAACGGTCATGAGATTTGTTCAGATACAACACTTGCTAGGAGATTTCATGAAATTCACTTAGTCAGGACTCATCTTTGTTTATCAAATTATGAATAAGGTTTCTGGATGCTTATACTTAAGTGTTACATTACAACACTTCTAAATTTTTCACACAAGATTGCTAACAGTTCATTTACGACAGCTAAATTAACTCAACTTTGTCCCACTCTGGGAAAAGGACCGTGAAAGTGCGGTAGAATTCATAATATCGTGAACTGAGGTTATCATCATCACATCACGAGATTTTTCTCGCAACGTGGAAAATTACATCACCGAGAAGCTTTTTTGGCTGGATGCATTTTGTTTTTATTTATCATGCTTGGATCAAGGTATAATTTCACATCACGTAAATTCTTCTTATTGAATTGTTGCTAAAGTGTGGCATAATTTAACTTCATATAAATTCTTTGTCTGAATCATTGATAAAGTCATATAATTTTGTTAGCTTTGCAATTTTTCACCCCATACAATTTTTCTCTGTCTCACAATTTTAGCCTCAGTAACTCACGTAACTTTTATCTGCACAAGTTTTACTTCACACCAGATTGTTTTTTTTTTGTTTTGTTTTATAAACCTTTGCTAAATAGTTTTTCTGTTTCATATAAATATTGTGTTGATTCATGTTTCCGTCATATAAATTGTCTGATGTCCAAGCTTAATCTCAGGAGAGAATTCTTTGTGGTTTAAAATTTCACGAGAATGTATGACGAATTTAAATGTTGCTTACTGCTTTCTTTTGAAACTTTAACATTTGTTCAGTTGTAGTTTAATATCAGAGTTAGACAAAGTGAATATTTAAATGGAACTGAGGTAAATAAAACAGAAACACGTGGCGGAAGCGGAGTGCGCGTTTCCTTGTCGAGCTGGCGGTCGCGCCATCTGCATAAAAGACGCAGATTTAGAATAGAAGTCAAGGGGCGGTCGAAATAATGTGTCGCTATCGCCTTGGCCCAACAGCCGGGACCCAACCACGAGTTTGCGACCTCAACGGCCTGTTTATGCGCGGCACATTTCTTGATAATTGAAGGGTGATGGGTGGCATGTGCTTGCCGAAAGTGTAGAATCACCGTCGTGGGGGGAAAACAGCCACAACCAGGAGCCCCAAACTCCGCTCGTGCTAGAACGCCATCTGGCAACAGTGTTACAGTTTTTGTCGACATAACTTAACCTAATATGATAAATTTCTTTTTCAATAGGGATCTTTGCATATATGAAATTAGTTGGCTAGATTGACACGGCCTATCTTTGTCTAAAAACATCCGTTTATCCGTAGTTGATTAAGTACGTTATATTGAAATGATTTTGGTTTTTTCTTGGCGCGAAAATTAATTTTTAAATCCGGACACCACATTGTGACTATTTCATCTACATTATTGGTGTGTACAATTGTACAAAGAACTGAAAACCATGAAGATTTCTAAGGGCTATACATGAAAGTAGAATCGTCAGGCAAAAAAAATCAATTTTGGAACATGATAGACAACCCGTAATACAAATAAATATTGTGGTGACCGAATTTGAATCAAATTTTCGCGCTGAAATTAATTAACAGCGACGCGAAATCACATTTGAATAATTTGAATTTGAGAAAAAAAATCAAATCAAACATGGGCAACCAGGTGCACGGTAACGCTTGTTGGATAGTTGGTAGTTAAAGGGTTGGTTATGAGAGGGCGGCATGTTGAAAGCATGGGGAAGATTATTATGCTTTTGTTCGGTGTAGTGGACACATGGTGAAAAGATGCTGTAAGTAGCTAGGTTAAATTAGTTGGTTTGGTAGTTAATAAAAAGGAGGAAGCCTTTGTTTAACGACATTCAATCGTAACACCGATGACGTCACAGTTTTCCCCCAACACGTGTAGCTAATTCTTGCGACTCTTAATCGGAAAAATGCGAGTTTTTGATCGACGCCAACGCGTGGAAATTTGATTCATTGTTGTAAATTCACGGTTTAGTCGTCAACTAGTGCTAACAAAATTTAACAATCAGGATTATTTAAATAAACCACTTGCTAGAAGATTTCATGAAATTCGCTTGGTCAGGATAACAATTCTTTGTTTAATCAGTTATAAATAAGTTTCTGGATGCTAATACGTAAGTGTTACATTATAACATTTCTTAATGTTTCACATAAGATTGCTAATAGTTCATTTACGGCAGTTAAATTAACTAATTCGTACCGTGAACTGGCGGGGGGGGGGGGATTAAAATAAAATTTATTCCCTTAGGCAGTTATCATCGTTATCATTATTACATCACTATGTCCTCACAACGCTAAAGATTGATTACATCACCGAAGCTTATTCCTCGCAAACGTTAAAATTTACCTCATCGAGGCATTTCCTCGCAACGATAAACATTACATCACCGAGACGCTTTTTCCTCGCAACGATGACTGGATATTTTTGTGTTTGTTTATTATGTGTTTTGTTGGGGTAACCAGTTCACGGACTATAAACTCTCAACGTAAATTGTTTTTAAGTAACCAATCACTTGGATCATGACATAATTTGGCATAATGTAAACTCTTTATTTGAATCTTTGATAAAGTGCGGCAAATATTAATCTCATATAAATTTTGTTAGCTTTGCAATTTTTCCACCTCATACTATATTTCTCTATCTCACAATTTTTAACTTCAGTAATTTTCTTTGTTGTATAATTTTAATTGGACGTAAATTTCATGCTCTGCAGTTTTAACCTCACATAATATTTTTATTTGCACAAGTTTATTTCACACCAGAGATCTTTTGTTTTATAAATCTTTGCTAAGTTTTGATGTCCACTTTTAGTCTCACATAAGAATTATTTGTTGTTTAAAATTTCACAAGATTGTATTTTGTCTATTATTTCTTGCGCTCTCGACTCACACAGTGTATGCTTACTTGTATGAAAGAATGTCTTCCCGCCACTTTTCAAAAAAAAAACACAACGTAGGTTTCCATTTTGTTAGACGATCACAGCCAAGGCCAAAGTTTGAATTTTTGAATTTTTCGCGGGCCTTTCAAACCTTTTCAGGTGTCAATTTAAGGCGGGAAGTTTGGGTTATCACAACATTCTATTTTTTTTATATATTTTGTTCTATTACAATAATTTCCTTAGCTATGCAGCTCTTGGGAAGTAAAACAAATGTATGGTGTGAAAATGGTCAAACATTTAAGTAAAGCAAATGAAAAAAATAGTCAAGAAGGCACTCACTAAACGCTACTTCGTATATTGCAACAATGTCACACAAGCTTCAAAATTATACTTCCATATGGAACTCCAGAAAGTATACAGATTACTCGGTATCCAACTGCTTTTCATTATTTTCGTAACCTATGTCTCTGTAAGTGTATCACCCATTAAATATTTCATGCAAGAAAAGTACGTTTTTGTACCATGATTCGAAACCACTACAGACGTTTTTTGCAGTGACTGGCTCCTTTACACAGCTCAGTTCGTGAGTATGTGCTTATCGTTCACTCTTTATATTAAAAGGAACGATAGCCCGAGTAATCTTGTCCTTCTTGCTGCTTTCGTATGTACCTATATTTATTTTTGTTACTTTTTATTACGGTATTGTTAATTTTAGACCATCATTGATGCCTATATTATTAGCGCAACTTTCACCTACTACCCAAAAGTACTGATTCTAACGGCTTTCGTCATTACACTGGTTGGTTTAGGAAGCTTGACTTATTATACACTTCAGATGGACGATTTTTTAACCACAGAACAAGAGTAAGTTACAAAATTAAAATAATGTAACCGCATTGTGCTTAGTTTGTTCGCAGGTCTATGCATTTTCATTTCTGGAGCCCTTCTACAAATCGCATTCCAGTCCACTGTTATTGAAATTTTAGTATCCATATGGGGGATATTTTTGTTTTGTTATTTTATTATTTTTGATACACAAATGATCGTCACAACTTTTTTTCCAGAGGAATATATTCTGGGTACCCTCAACCTGTACATGGATGTCACCATTTTGCACATGCAGATTTTACGCACCTTGGCACACAATTAATCGAATGCAGTGTTTAAACATATTTGTATATATTTGTATATACTATCCCACTAAAATTTGCATGACGTCACGAGTTTGCGAATCCCACTCTAAATGTTTAAATAATGTTTATTTAGTGGTGCTAAAAAGAAGGAATTGAGTCTTAAATGAAACACCAAGTCTTGGAAGCATTTATTCACTTATAAGTACATAAAATTATTAAAATTCATGAGTTAACAATTCGAGTCTAAGCATTACGAAATAAATCGTTCAGCATGAGAAAACAACACTTCACCTAAAATATTCCACAGCCTATATAATATATAAATATTAATAATGAATTTGCAGACGGAAAAACAAATGGAAGATCTACAGTCGTTTGTATTATACTTACTTACTTACTTACGTATTGTTTGTTTACACGTATAAGCAACACTCGAGTATATTCAATTTAACTGGTACTGAGAAACAAAAAATTCGATAATGGACTTAAGTACATTAGACACATTATGAGCAGCTACTGGAAACGTTACAAATGAATTTCGACTTTTTACACCAAAAGCGACTAATGTTATCACAGTATTTTTCGTAATTTCGAGATATAAAAAAAAATAGGAACAACACATAAAATCGATTATCGTAAAAGCATTGCGATTTGTGGATGAAAATGACTTCTAAAACTATTTTCGGAGGGTCAATTTAAAAAAGGCACAACAATCCGGGCCAAAAATGTAAAAACTCTCCTGAATAAAATATCCTTTAAACTATGGGTAAAAAATATTCTGTCTTTAAACCTATTTCCACTTTAAAAATAAATATTTAAGTTTACAGTATTTTCAGATCTCTTGGTTTTGAGTTAGTCTAATGTAAATCTCAGCGAGTATAAATCCAAACCACAACTGCTAAAAATATCACTCAAAAAAGACTAGCAACTAAGGAACTAGATACTCATAGGAGTTTGATCTTGATTATCTTTATTTTCAGGATAACCACTACTATGTACCATTAAATCAAAATCGGTCCCAGCTAACGAATTACTTAGCAACCGGTCCCACTGTTCAGGAGTAGCGGGACACTCACGGAGATTACGTACAACATCATTATGTAAAGTAGGTGATGGATCTGAAATAAGTCAACCATTTTTAAGAAACACCCCAATAATTCAGTATACTTACAAAGATAACCATTCTGTGCCCTGATTGTCTCTTGTTTGATAATAATTTCATTGGTAATGTAAGCTTCGCGCCTTATCCTGTCTTTGAGTTCGCCGGGTATATCCGGTATACACCACTTGATTATAATTATTATGAAAGCTACCACATTTTCAAAAATAACAACAAAGGCCAAACGAGCTGCTAAAATGTGATAGTATGTCGGTGTTCTTGCGTAGGGGGTGTCGGACCAAGGCGGCTCTCGAAAGTCTGGATATCTAAATAAAATAAAAGTATTTTCTAGTAAAACTAGCTTTGGAAGACACGAAAATTACCTGCAGACCACATGGGAATTGTCGGCTCGTGGCAGCGATTCATTCTCGAAATCGCGGGAATCAAAGTACGACAGAGAATAGTTTAAGTAACCGTTTAAACTGTAGTCTTCGCTTACGTATATTCTGTATATGAAACGTGGGATAAATTCGGAAGTGAAGGCAATGATGAAACCCTAAAAAGCGTATTTAAATCATGCTTCTAATATCTGCTAGTATCGAAGGAAAATTCGGAGTACCGCTCCGTCAACTGAACTAGAAAGTAAAACGAGTAGCGAACAAAACTGAAGAAACCTAATAAATTCCCGTTGCAGTTGCTGTTCCCGCTGACGTTGCCAAGTTGCCATTGACAGTAATTTTGATGTTCAGTTTCTTGTTGTCGAAATAAGTCTACACATATTAAGAAAAACAGGCAAAATGTAGCCCCGCCCACCCGCCCTATCTCAATTGTGATGATTTTTTTTATTCGTCGTGAGCCAAGGGGGTGGAGCTTAACTGCAAAATCCTTATTTCTCTACGAGAAATTAAAAACATTAAGAATACACTGTATATTAAGAAAAAAATAATTAGGCCCTACCCATACCCGCCCCGATCTCAATTCTCAAATGTGATGAATTTTTCACTCGTTGTCAGATCGAGGGGCGGGGTTTAATTGCAAGTTCGATATTTGTCTACAAGAATTTACCATTCTAAACATGTGTTAAGTTTCTTGTTCTGAAAAGACAACTACGTATATTAAGAAAAAAGGTACAATTTACCTTTTTCCTTTTTGTATTAATATGTGTAGACTTCTTTTCACAACATGAAACTTAAAACATGTTTAAAATGGTAAATTTGTATAAGGAAATATCGATTTTGCAATTAGGCTCCGCTCCATATTTACAAAATACATATTTCCTTGCAAAAATGTACCATTTTAACCATGTTTTCAGTTTCTTGTTGTGAAAAGATGGCTATTTATATTAAGGGGGAAAAAAAGGCAAAATATATGCCCCGCCCACACGCCCTATCTCAATTCTGATTATTTTTTCATTCATCGTAAGCCGAATATTTTAGAAATAAATGTGAAAAATTTTGTTTCTCTCATCTTGGAAGGTGGGCATTCACTTTCCCCATAATTTAACAATGTGATTTTTCGATTTTACTTTTTTCGTTTTTACAGTTTTTCGAATTCTCCTGTCCCTGATTTTTTATTTCTCCAGTATTCTGATTTCAATTTTTTGAGTTTCCACTTTAATTGTGCGATTTTTTAATTTTTTGTTACTTCATCTTTGAGGTTTGCAATTTCGAGATCCTCAATTTTTCTATTTTTGAATTTCTCGGTTTTTCAATTTCTCGTTTTGCATTTTTTTTGAAATTTCTAATTTAAAATTTTGTTTTTGCAATTTTATTTCCAGTTTTAAATTCTTGAATTTTTAGATTAACTCTTTCTAAATTTATTACTTTTGGATTTTTCGATTTTTCGGTGTTTCATTTTTCGTCTTTTCAGTTGTTTGATTTTCGATTTTTTATTTTAGATGTTTCCATTTTCGAAAGAACACATCGAAAACACAAGAGCAATCAAAATATACTTGTTTTTTCTTTGTCCAAAATTTAAAAATTCAAAAACAAGGACTTGAGTATTTAAAAGATAAAAATTGAAAACTAGAAAAACTGCAAATCAAAAAATTCAAGACATGAAAATTTGAATTATCGTTTAATTCAAATAAAGAAAAATTAAAATATGTATCTACAAATTGAAAAATCGAAAAATCCAGGAAACGAAAAATTGCGGAGCGAAAAACTGAAGGAACGAAAATTTGCATGATCGAAAACTTGTAAAATCGAAAAACGTAAAACTGAATAATTCTAAATCGGAAAATTGTAAACACTTAAAACAAATTCGAAAATTTGCAATTTAAAAACATGCTCAGTCAACACAGTATAAATAAACGCAATGAAAATTAAATATAGAAATTGAAAAATCCAAAAACCGTAAAATCGCTAAAATTTCAGTTGTAATAAATTTGTTCTTTTTGTTCACAATTTAAAAATTTGAATCTGGGAAAATGAAACAGTAAAAAATTGAGAACTTGAAAAATTTAAGAGCTAAATTAAAAATATAAAAATCTAAAAATTGAAAACTAGAAAAACTACAAATAGAAAAAATGAAGACATGAAAAATTGAAAAATCGATTAAAAATTAAAGTATCTAAAAATTGAAAAATTCGGGAACTGAAACATCGAAAAACTGCAAATCAAAAATGTGGGAGACTGAGAAAAATTAAAAATTGAAAACTAGAAGACCTGAAATCGGAAAATTGTAAAATCGAAAAATTGGAAATACAAAAATATCCAAATTGAAAATTTGAAAATCGAAAAATTAAAAATCGGGAAACTGGAAAATCCAAAAAAGAATAACCGAAAAATTAAAGCATCAAGAAATTGAAAAATCGAGTTAACTGCAAAATCGAAAAATTGTAAATTAGAATATTCAAAAAATCAAATGCTGGTAAATCGGAAATTTAAAATTGAAAACTCAAAAAATTGCAAATCGAAACTTCAAAAAATTGTCAAAGAGAAGCCCCACCCATCCGTCTCGATCTCAATCGTGATGAATTTTTCATTCGTTGTCAGACTGAGGGGCGGAGCGTAATTGCAAAATCGCTATTTTCCTGTACAAATTTATCATTTTAAATATGTTTTAAGTTTCTTGTTGTGAAAAAATGACTACACATATTAAGAAAAAAAAAGCAAAATGTAGCCCCGCCCACCCGCCCTATCTCAATTGTAATGATTTTTTTTATTCGTCGTGGGCCAAGGGGGTAGAGCTTAACTGCAAAATCCTTATTTCTAGGAAGTCTAGTAATCGAGTCCATCGGCCGAATTGCCACTTTCATATTTTCTCGACGTGTCATGATCTCTAAAGTATGAAAAAAGTGGTCTTCCGTTTCTGTCTGTCTGTCTGTCTGTCTGTCTGGTAGCTGTATCCATTTTTATTAGACAAGTAATCTTTGAATGTACTGGACCGATTGTTGTCACATTTTATATGTTTATTAGGAATATCAAGGGACAACACGATACTGAAAAACAAGTTTTTAATTCCTTTTAAAAAAATAAGCATTTTGCAGTTAAGCTTGGTTCACGGCGAATAAAAAATCACAATTGAGATAGGGTGGGTGGGGGGGCTTACCATGTTTTAAGTTTCTTGTTGGGAAAAGATAGCTATTTATTATTAAGAAAAAAAAGACAAAATATAAACCCCGCCCACCCGCCCTATTTCTACTCTGATGATTTTTTTAATTATAAAATCCTTATTTTTCTACGAGAAATTACCATGTGACAGCGGCGGTTTGTTCTATGAGGCAGATGAGGCAATGCCTCAGCAGTGAATTTGCGCTGTATTAATATTTTTATTAATTCTGACCGATATATTCCTGAACAAAAATTTGTTTTTAACATTTTAGAAATAAATGTGAAAAATTTTGTTTCTCTCATCTTGGAAGGTGGTAAACTGATTTTTCAATTTTACTTTTTTCGTTTATACAGTTTTTCGAATTTTCCTTTCCCTGATTTTTTATTTTTTATTTTTCTAGTATTCTGATTTCAATTTTTTGAGTTTCCACTTTAATTGTGCGATTTTTTAATTTTTCGTTACTTCATCTTTGATATTTTTAATTTCTAGATCTCTCAATTTTTCTATTTTTGAATTGTTCGGTTTTTCAATTTCTCGTTTTGCAGTGTTTTTAAATTTCTAATTTAAAATTTTGTTTTTGCAATTTTATTTCCAGTTTTAAATTCTTGAATTTTTAGATTCTTCACTTTTTAGATTAACTCTTTCTAAATTTATTACTTTTAGATTTTTCAATTTTTCGGTGTTTTATTTTTCGTCGTTTCAGTTATCTGATTTTCGATTTTTTATTTTGATGTTTCCATTTTTCGAAAGAACACATCGAAAACACAAGAGCAACATAAAAAAACTTGGTTTTTCTTTATCCAAAATTTAAAAATTCAAAAACGAGAACTTGATTATTTAAAAGCAAAAAATTGAAAACTAGAAAAACTGCAAATCAAAAAATTGAAGACATGAAAATTTGAATAATCGTTTAATTCAAATAAAAATAAAATAAAATATCTACAAATGGAAAAATCGAAAAATCCAGGAAACGAAAACTGCGGAGCGAAAAACTGAAGGAACGAAAATTTGCATGATCGAAAAATTGAAAACTAGAAAACTTGAAAGCGAAAAATTGTAAAATCAAAAAACGTAAAACTGAATAACGCAGTGAAAATTAAATATAGAAATTGAAAAATCCAAAAACTGTCAAATCGTGAAAATTTCAGTTGTAATAAATTTGTTCTTTTTGTTCACAATTTAAAAATTAGAATCTGGGAAAATGAAACAGTAAAAAATTGAGAACTTGAAAAATTTAAGAGCCAAATTAAAAATAAAAAAATCTAAAAATTGAAAACTAGAAAAACTACAAATAGAAAAAATGAAGACATGAAAAATTGAAAAATCGATTAAAAATTAAAGTATCTAAAAATTGAAAAATTCGGGAACTGAAACATCGAAAAACCGCAAATCAAAAATGTGGGAAACTGAGAAAAATTAAAAACTGAAAACTAGAAGACCTGAAATCGGAAAATTGTAATATCGAAAAATTGGAAAAACAAAAATATCCAAATTGAAAATTTGAAAATCGAAAAATTAAAAATCGGGAAACCGGAAAATCCAAAAAAGAATAACCGAAAAATTAAAGCATCAAGAAATTGAAAAATCGAGTTGACTGCAAAATCGAAAAATTGTAAATTAAAATATTCAAAAAATCAAATGTTGGTAAATCGGAAATTTAAAATTGAAAACAAAAAATTGCAAATCGAAACTTCACAAGGCAAAACGTAAGCCCGCCCACCCGCCCTATCTCAATTGTGATGATTTTTTTATTCGTCGTGAGCCAAGGGGGCGGAGCTTAATTGCAAAAACCGCAAAATCCTCGACAACGGCGTGCCAACTTTCAGCGACAAGTTAACAGCGAACGGCAACGTCAACCGCAATACTTTTGCGTATGAAAAAAAAATCTTTATAATAAATTATCGCAATTACTTACATTTGTAACAACTGACAGCTTTCCAATAGAGTCCAAAATCCTGTACCACACCCCTATGTCCCTGACCCTCTGACTAACGGGTCGTCTATAAAACGTTATAAGCTTCCTGGCATCCAGACGCATTTCCAGGACGTTATTCAAAAGAGCAAAAAACGGCGCCAATGGAAAAGCTGCCACGAAAATGGTGACAAAACCGTACTGCAGTACTACAATTATAACCAATCAGGCAAAAGTTTGATATTTCAAAAAAAAAACACCCACCCATTTCCAGATACTCTGGAAACAAACTTCTCGGCCCCCACTCCACCAATTTATAATCCTTCAACCACTGCGGCCGCTCTCCTTTACAAGAGCGATCTTTGGTAAGTCCAGTCTTAACTTTGATGGTGTTCAACCATTTAAAAAACAACGGAAACAACATTTCGAGGATGGTATTCATGGCTTGCTTTCCGACCATGATAATAGCGAGTTGGATACAAAGCTCCAATAAACAACCACCAGGACCACACTACATTACAATTTTACATACAAAAAAATAAAAAAAATAACTAAATACCTCCTCTTGTCGAAAACCAAACAATTTTTCATAATCTTTGGGCGAACCAATGAACTTCCCCTTGAAAAACGCTATATAAAAAATCGAAGCGTAATAATTCACGAACTGTAGCAAATATATCTTGAGAGTCAACGAGTCGTCGAATTCCGTCTGCGTTCGGAGAAGCTCGAACTCAGTTAAATACTCAGCCACGTAATTATAGAACTGCAAAATCAGTTTTAATAACATAAATTCACCCAAACCCACACTTACCCAATTGAATATCACAATAAAAAATAAATTAATGCAGGCCGCTGTAGCCGTTGTGAACAAAATCGCCTGACTGTTGTCAACGGTATCTGAGTAGACCCTCAACGAGAAAAGCACTGACATTCGATAAACGACAATAGCGACGACTGTCGCTAGGGCCATTGTAACCTAAAATCGAGCATGAATATCGCCCTTAACACCACTGTGACGAACGCACCATTAACATCACCACTGAGAAACTAAAAATTGTTATGGGAACCCTCAACCTCCAAAACGGGACGTGTGGTTCTGGTAGATTAGTCACTACGTTAACTTCCTGTCTTTTAACGTGGGCAAGTCGGGCTAAATATTGTGGTCGTGGGTGCTCCTCCTGAATATCGAAACCCGTCAAGTCCCATCGATGGGTGATTTCCGCTGAATAACGCTTCCATAGTTCCAGAAAAAGGACCGCTTCAAGATTATTTATTTAATTTGTCAAACTAAAGTGGTGGTTTTCTTACCCCAAAAAGACATAAACACTGCGAAAAAAACTGTCGCTGCATTGTCGAAAAGATAAGTAATTCTTGCGTGGGTGCAAGTCTCTGTTAGGTCCCAGTAGTTACACCAGTGGTTGCATAAAGGGCACATTTTTATTGTGTTGTTGGAGTTGCAAATGTCTTCACTGTGTTACAATAATTATTTTTGGTTATGAGATAAAAAAAAAACTTACCTTGGTTTATTGTTGTAGAGTGTGACGCATGAATAAACGAAACATAAAAAGCCTACGATGGCGGCTGGTAGTAACATATGGGTGTAAAAACCCAACCAGGCAAAATATAGCCCGATTTTTACCCCAAAGTAGTCTTTGACGTAGTCCAGCGGTTGGTAACGGTACCATTTTCTTATTGCCGTCCACTCGTTGTACAAAAGGTAGCGCAGGGACCCTGGTTGTTTTAAGTCGCCCTTACAACATTAAATTAGCAAATTAGAAATTTTCAAAATGTGAAAATTTAAACTTCAAATTTACGATTTGACATTTGTCATACCAACCGCGGTAAAATTCCCCAAAATTAAACCATGTCTTATGACTAGAGAGCGGATTTCTGTCGGGCTAGACAAGGCCAAACTCGGTACGGCTCGTACGGGATGGGAATTCATTGCTGTTACCGGCTGCACTTCGTTTATTTGAGATTAGAATAACGCTGCTTCGTTGCACTCTGCTGTTAATTCCAGTTCTCATTTACTTAGCCGTTTGATTAATAAATCGTTAATTGTATTTATGGAATCAAATGACAATTAAATTCTGTGATTACCTATCACCCGCTACTGAGTCCCGGCGTTGCAGCGCGTCCCCACCTATATCGTGACGTAGCCCGACAGAAATCCGCTGTCTACTTATGACACTTGTTTTTTAATATACAGCGTGATCAACTATTACTGTTTCAAGCTTACATCGTGCAGTGGATACGCAGCACTGTAGACACTCTCATTCAAAAGCTTCTCTATCCCGAACGAAAAATCGTCATGTTCCTTATCGCTGTACTTCTTACGGTCGAGAATGAACTGAACAATCCTCGAGTGTATAGCGGGAGTGAAAAAACAAGGCGAATCTACGTCAAACCTGGAAAAACTCTCTTTCGAACCCATATTTAACGAAACTTTCGCAACTAACATACAAATATTCTCTATCGCGGCTGTAGACAGCCGTAAAGCGTTGGTTCTTCTCTGGAAATTTCTCAGTGTCTACTATGACGTACGATTTGAGCTTATCCCATTGGCTGGTTATCTCTTCAACGAGAAAATTTGTTTTTGACTGTACTTGCTGAAAGGCTGGCATCTGCAATGATAAACTAATCACAATTAAGTGTCGACTTTTTATTTAGTTGTGTTTGTCTAGTGTTTTTGATGAACCCATTTCAAGAGTTAGTATAGGTAAACCTGTAATAAGAGTATGTCTTAAAGTATTTTTAGTAGCCCCAGTTAGTGACACAAAAAATTGAAAATTTAAAGCACCGCTTTACTTTTTACAACGTTATTTTTAAAAAATAAATAAGTGCAAGGATACATATTTGTATCAGTTTTGCAAAAATTCGAAGTAAAAAGTATGCGTTTTGTCAACATTTCAAAAATCCTTCAAATACCTGAGCGATAAAAGCCGGGGTGTTATATAAACGATTCTGACGGAATTCTCGGGGTAACTTACACAATTCCTGTAGCAACAGAATAGTAAAAACAAACAAAGAGATATACATATATTAAAAAATAAACAAAAAAAAAGTAAAATCAAATCATTTGCAGATCTTAATTGTATACGTCATTCTTTTCAAAACTAAACTCAGAGCTCTATACTACGGTGAGAACAATGACCGGTGTACTCTTTTGAATACATTAAAAGGAATCCTGACGGTGTCGTAGTGTAAAAAAAATTGGTCTAAAGAGTTTAGACAGTACTTCCCTCGCTGTCGGAAACTTGACGACTGCATGCAAATTGTGTTTTTTTTCTCATTACATTTTTGTAGTGGGAATTTAAAAAAAAAATGCGATGACGTCATCAACATTTTTGCAAGGACACGTATATCAGTTGGGATAGATGTAGTGTAATACTAAGAATAAAATTATTATATTTTCTCAAATTTTCGGGAAAATGAATTGGGTCGTTTTGAATATTGATTTGTAATAATCAATAAAATAACGAAACAATTTACTCACGTATACGTATCAGAGGCAACTGAAAATCGTGTATGTATAAACATTCTTAATTTAAGATGACAAGCGTAACAGCATACGTGAGAGTCAAACAGAGAAACTGTAAACAAAACGACCATCGGTTTTATTGCTTCGACTTCCGCTTATTATATAAAACATTGGGTTTTATTTTAATTCTTGACGGTGAAATTCACAATTGGTTGATTATAAACATGTCTATTCCACATTCGCGGAACCAAGTGAGCGCATAAAACAAATGCAGGTCTGTAATGTTAAAGTCGATGTAAATAAGCGTGCTACCCTTATGTTTCAACCGAGTTTTTCCTTTAACAAATTTTGTGTCTACCAAATTGGGTTGGTTGGGGTGTAATACTAATAATAAGTGTTGCCTTTAATTTAATCAATAAAATAAATTGACTTCATTAATTTTTTTGAACCACCTCTTAAGAAAATCTAAAAAATATGAATGGAATGATAAATCACAAGTACAAACTCATCATATTTTTTGCATTTTAGATAGGATTTATTCAGCAAAATTTAAGGGTGACGTCATCAATTTTTTAGGAGGGATGAACAAATACATTTTGAACAAAAGTTTACCATGCTTATAATAACTTTAAAATATTCCCAAGATTTCAAAGCATTCGGTTTTGTAATTCCTGATTAAATCGATAAAATAAATTCACGCCTTCATTAATTTTTTTGAGTCACCCTGCATATGCAAATCCAAAAATATGAATGGAATGATAAATCACAAGTACAGACTCATCATATTTTGTACATTTTAGATACGATTTATTCGGCAAACTTTTGAGCTGACGTCATCAGTTTTTTGTAGAAGATAACCAAATATATTTTGACTAAAAATTTATTATGCTCTTTATAACCTTAAAACATCTGCAAGATTTCAAAGCATTCGGTTTTGTAGTTCCTGATTAAAACAAAATAAAATAAATTTACGCATTCATAAATTTTTTTGAGTCACCCTGTATATGCAAATCGAAAAAATTTGAATGGAATGATAAATCACAAGAAGAGACTCACTATATTTTGTTCATTTTTAGATAGGATTTATTCAGCAAAATTTTGTGGTGACGTCATAATTTTTTTAGGGGGGACGACCAAATACGTTTTGATCAAAAATTTACCATGCTTATGATAATTTTAGAATATCTTCAAGATTTCGAAGCATTCGGTTTTGTAGTTCCTGAGTAAATCAGTAAAATAAATTTACGCTTTCATTTATTTTCTTGAATCACCCTGTATATGCAAATCCAAAAAATATGAATGGAGTGATAGATCACAAGTACAGACTGATCATATTTTGTACATTTTAGATATGATTTATTCGGCAAATTTTCGAGCTGACGTCATCAAGTTTTTGGAGGGGATAAGCAAATATATTTTGACTAAACATTTATTATGCTCTTTATCACCTTAAAACATGTGCAAGATGTCAGAGCATTCCGTTTTGTAGTTCCTGATTAAATCAATAAAATATATTTACGCATTCATTAATTTTTTTGAGTCACTCTGTATATGCAAATCCAAAAAATATGAACGGAGTGATAAATGACAAGTACAGGCTCATCATATTTTGTACATTTTAGATATGATTTATTCCACAAACTTTTGAGCTGACGTCATCAAGTTTTTGGAGGGGATAAGCAAATATTTTTTGACTAAAGATTTATGATGCTCTTTATAGCCTTAAAACATCTGCAACATTTCAAAGCATTCTGGTTAGCAGATTAAAAATTAAATTTCAAAATGTTGTTTTATAATTTTGATTTTTTTTCCAAAAATCTGGACGTTTCGGGTGAAAAGTCGATTCAGAGTTGTAAACTACATGTGTAGGACTATGTTATTTTATACAATTGAAAACCCATTTACTATGTACAATTTTGAAATGACGTCATCGCATTAGTGGTGGGGATGATTAGACAAATTTTGGTTAGCGTTTTACCATCTACATGATATTCTTAATATAAGTAGAAAATTTCACAACAATCGGTCGAGTACTTTCGGAGATTATCTGTCTAATAAAAATCCGGGACGGCAGACGGACGGACAGACGGACAGACGGACAGACAGACGGAAATGGGAGACCTATTTCTTCGTCTTCTAGGGGTCATGAAAGATCGAGAAAACGTAGAAGTAGAGAGTCGGCCGACGGACTCGATTACAATACTTCCTTTGCTTACGCTCGGGAAGTAAAAATACAAACATCACTAAACCCGGATTCCTTTTAATAATTTCTACAACAGTAAAATTATATTACCGTCTCTGCAGCAACTTTGCAACATCTAATGTAATACTTTTTTCATTACAAAAGTTATTATGTTAATATTTACCTTTCTCATCGGCATCCGCAGCTTCAATATTTCTCCGTACCTCCTCAGCACTTCCTTTGGTGCGTGTATCTAAAACCCCACACATTACTCCAATCCCGCTCGACCCGCAAAACCCACCTTAACGAAGTTCAACCCGTTGCTCTCCTGGGGTACATATTCCAGTTCGAGTCCGTCTGCGACCAAATTCGCCTCAAAAACCTTCCTCTTCTGGTACGCTGCTTCCGTAATGGCGTCATCCTCGAAAGCGTCCCATACCAGCACAAAATCCACAGACCTCATGCCGTCTTCAAAATAAATCGTGGGTATTCGACAGCCGGGGCTCTCGCTTTTTCGGTTTCCGCTCGCTTTATGACTAGATTCGTTGTGGTTTGGTTGAGTTTCACATTCTTGAGATTCGATCGAACTCTCTGGTATGACGATTCGGGGTTTGGTTTTTGGCCGACTATCGGAGTCTCTGTGCATAAACTTTGTGGTAATTTTAATTTGATAACTGAATTTAATTAACTAAGTGGTCTCAGAAGGGGAAAAATAATGAATTTGAGAGATCAATTAGGGGTTTTAGGTTGCACAAAAATTATCGTGATGGGTATCCGCACGCATGGGATAAATTATGACGAGAAATTACTTAGTTTACACTATAAAAATAAACATATGAAATAATGTTTTGAGCACATTTGGTGGTTAACGCGTCTGGCTGGTATATCGATTGTGTATCGACTAAACAATGAGTTCTTAACTACGATATAGCGACTCTTAAATCGCAACTATTAAAAACAATTCCATTTTATCAATTTAGAATGAGCTATTTATGTCGACATTGTTACGAAAAGAGACTTCCACGTTGGTCACAATTTACTAATTTCAACAGTTATATTTAATTCGTTTTTAACTACTCACGTTACAAGCTATTTAGATTGATTTTTAACAAACAAGCACATGTTACTTTAGCTTATTAAAGTAAAATTAAATGATCCAAGATTATTGAATCGGAACAACCTTCACATTAAAATCGTTAAAATGTGGGAAAACTCCGTCTAATAAACTAGATGTGCAAAAAATTAGCAGTCACTAATAAAATATGGAAAGTGGTAAAAAGTCCCACGTAATAAAAAAAATGTCTTTGTGTAAAATTGTTCGACTTTTTTTTAGTTTTTGTACCAACTTATTAACATTTAAGTGGTGCCAATCAAATCCAAATCTTATTTCGGCTTCTCTTCAAGGTCGTATAAATTTTAAAATGGTTATCAAATGTTTTTTAATGATCCTAAACAGAGTTATTCATTTGATATTTTTTTTAAATCGAAGTTATCCAATTCTGAGAACCCTCATAATGATTAGCGGCTTTTACTTTTTGAACGCCTTTTTTTAGCGAGACTCAATAATTCGGCAACAATTTGATTCAAAAGTTGCAAGGAAAAAAGTGTTACAAATATATGTAGTGAATTTGACACACTCTGTATTTAATAATACTGTAATATTATTCAAGTTATAACAAATGTTCAATTTTTTTATAAAATTAAAAGGGGAAGAATAAGCTGAATAAGTTTTTGGGGAAACAAAAAATATACTATAAATATTGAACATTGCATAGGCAACCAACAATACCCGTATACGTCAAAAACCAACAATGACAAAAATTCTGATTTTAGAAGATTTTTTTTGGTAACGTCAATAAATTGTTGGTGGGGATGATCAGATAAATTTTGGTTAGCGTTTTACCAACTACGTGATATCCCTAAAATACATATATGTAAAATTTTACAAGAATCAGTCTAGAAGTTCCGTATGCCTGTCTGTTGGCAATTTTATTAGACAATCTCCGAAACCACTAGACTGATTGTTGTCAAATTTTAGGAATATAACACAAAGTCCAAGCCATTCCTATTTGTCCATTTAACTAAACTAGATAAAATTACGTGAGTAGTTTGAGTCAGTGCGTTTTATTAAAAAAAATACAAAAATTTCAAATTCTTAACATCTAGAAGAATTTGGCAACATTTTAACTTCACCAAGTTTCATTTTTCCACTAAAGCCTGAAAAATCACAATCAAGCAAAAATTTACACTAAAGAGTGAACAGGACTGTAGATTATAAAACGTTAATCAAAATTTGCCCGATCAACCTATTTAAATTTTATAAAATAACACGCTTCTGTAGATGTGGTTTATTATTCCGCCCACACTTTTTACTTTAGAGGTCTAATTTTTGGAAAAAAAAACAGATTATAAAACAAAATTAGAAACCATAAAACTCACTACTCTGAAATCTTACAAAAGTTTTAATAATCGTCAACATGGTAAATCACTAAACAAAGCTGTTGTTTTAATAATTTGTAAAACTCTTGACGGTGACTGATGTTTTTTTTTTAATTTGAAAAAATCTTGGGTTCCTTGGTACTACACGTACTACACGATAAGTATTCATAATACACACATAAAATTTGACTACAATCGCTCCAGTAGTTTCTGAGATTATCTGTTAAGCAAAAATCAGGACAGACGGCAAGCAGACAGACGAAAACTAGAGACCCATTTTCGTACTTTAGGGATCATGAAAGGTAGAGAAAACATGAAAGTAGCCAGTCAAGTAAAAATCGAAAAATTGAAAAATCCAGAAGTTGAAAAATTCCCAAAATTAAAATGTTGAAAAATTGAGAAATCGAAAACTTGGAAAATCGATAAATATAAAATTTTAAAAATCGAAAAATTGAAAAATCCCAAAATTGACATATCGAAAAATTGAAAAATAGAAGAAAAATTGAAAAATCAAAAACCTGAAAAATGGAAAAACTGGGAAATCGAAAAATTGAAGAAACGAAAACTTAAAAAATCCAGAAATCTAAAAATTGAAAAAATTTAAAAATCGAAAAACCAGGATGGTCGAAACATCAAAAAATCCCAAAATGAAAAAATGTAAACTTTAAAAAATCCAAAAATTGACAAATGGAACAAAAATTGAACAATCAAAAAATTCACAAATCCCAAAACTGAAAAATCAGAAATTGGGAAATTGAAAAATCAAGAACCAAAACATAGAACCTTGAAAAAATGAAAAATTGAAGACTGAAAAACTGAGAAATCTAAAACTTGAAAAATCGAAAAATCAAAAAATTTTTAAGATCCAATAACCGAAATGGTCAAGATATCGGAACGTCAAAAATCACAAAATCGAAAAATGTAAAATTTAAAAAATTCAAAAATTGACAAATGGAACAAAAATTGAACAATCAAAAAATTCACAAATCCCAAAACTGAAAAATCAGAAATTGGGAAATCGAAAAATCAAAAACCAAAAAATCGAAACTTGAAGAAAATGAAAAATTGAAGAATTTGAAAAACTAAGAAATCGAAAACTTGAAAAATCGAAAAATCGAAATTTTTTTAAAATCCAAAAAACCGAAATGGACAAGATATCGGAACCTCAAAAAATCACAAAATCGAAAAATGTAAAATTTAAAAAAAAAACTGAAAAATCCCAAAACTGAAATATAAAAAATTGAAAAATGGAACAAAAGTTGAAGAATAAAAAAATTGAAAAATCCCAAAACTGAAAACTCGGAAAATTCGGAAATCGAAAAATATAATGAAAACCAAAAAATCGAAAGTTTAAAAAGATGAAAAATTGGAAATCAAAACCTGAAAAATGGAAAAACTGGAAAATCGAAAACTTGAAATATCGAGAAATCGAAAAGTCGAAAAAATTTTAAAATCGAAAAACCGAGATGGTCAAGATATCAAGAAATCCTAAAATGGAAAAACGGAAAATTTAAAAAAATCGAAAAATTTAAAAATCCCAAAACTGAAATATCAAAAATTGAAAAATGGAACAAAAATTGAAGAATCAAAAAATTGAAAAATCCCAAAACTGAAAAATCGAAAAATTCGGAAATCGAAAAGTGAAAAACCAAAAAATCCAAAGTTTCAAAAGATGAAAAATTGGAAATCGAAAACCTGAAAAATCGAAAAACTGGGAAATCGAAAACTTGAAAAATCGAGAAATCCAAAAATCGAAAAACCGAAATGGTCAAGATATCGAAACATCAAAAAACCCCAAAATGGAAAAATGGACAATTTTAAAAAATCGAAAAATTGAAAAATCCCAAAACTGAAAAATCGAAAAATTGAGAAATCCAAAACTTAAAAACCAAAAAATCGAAAGATTAAAAAAAAGAAAAATTGGAAATCAAAAACCTGAAAAATCGAAAAACTGAAAAATCCTAAAACTGAAAAATCGGAAAATTGTAAATCGAAAAATGAAAAACCAAAAAAATCGAAAGTTTAAAAAAATGAAAAATTAGAAATCAAAAACTCGAAAAATTGATAAATCCCAAAACTGAAAAATCGAAAAGTTGGGAAATCGAGAAATGAAAAACGAAAAAATCAAAAGTTAAACAATGAAAAATTGGAAATCAAAAACCTTTAAAATGGAAAAACTGGGAAATCGAAAAATTGAAGAACTGAAAAACTGCGAAATCAAAAACTCGAAAAATCGAGAGATCTAAAAATCGAAAGTTTAAAAAGATGAAAAATTGGAAATCGAAAATTTGAAAAATCGAAAAACTGAGAAATCGAAAACTTGAAATATCGAAAATTTGGGAAATCGAAAAATATAATGAAAAGCCAAAAAATCGAAAGTTTAAAAAATGAAAAATCTAAAAACTGGGAAATCGAAAGATTGAAAAATTTGAAAAACTGAGAAATTCAAAAAATTGAAAAATAAAGAAATCTAAAAATCGAAAAGTCGAAAAATATTTAAAATCGAAAAACCGAAATAGTCAAGATATCGAACCATCAAAAAATCCCAAAATCAAAAAATATAAAATTTACAAAAACCGAAAAAATTAAAAAAAAACTGAAATATCTAAAAATTTAAAAACGAAAGAAAAATTGAAAAATCAAAAAATTGAAAAATCCCAAAACTGAAAAATCGAAAAATTCGGAAATCGAAAAATGAAAACCAAAAATCCAAAGTTTCAAAAGATGAAAAATTGGAAATCAAAAACCTGAAAAATCGAAAAACTGGGAAATCGAAAACTTGAAAAATCGAGAAATCCAAAAATCGAAAAACCGAAATTGTCAAGATATCGAAACATCAAAAAATCCCAAAATGGAAAAATGGACAATTTTAAAAAATCGAAAAATTGAAAAACCCCGAAACTGAAATATCGAAAAATTGAAAAATGTAAGAAATATTGAACAATCCCAAAACTGAAAAGCCGAAAAACTGAGAAATCCAAAACTTAAAAATCAAAAAATCGAAAAATTAAAAAACTGAAAAATTGGAAATCAAAAACCTTAAAAATCGAAAAATTGAAAAATTGGAAAATTCAGAAATCGAAAAATGAAAAACCAAAAAATCTAAAGTTTAAAAACATGAAAAGTTGGAAATCAAAAACCTGAAAAATAGAAACACTGGGAAATCGAAATCTTGAAAAATCGAGAAATCCAAAAATCGAAAAAAATTTAAAAATCGAAAAACCGAGATGGTCAACATATCGAAACGTCAAAAAATCCCAAAATCGAAAAATGTAAAATTTAACAAATCCAAAAATTGAAAAATGGAAAAAAATTAAAAATCAAAAAATTGAAAAATTCTAAAACTGAAAAATCGGAAAATTGGAAATCGAAAAATGAAAAACCAAAAAATCCAAAGTTTAAAAAGATGAAAAATAGGAAATCAAAAACTTGAAAAATCGAAAAACTGGGAAATCGAAAACATGAAAAATCTAAAAATCGAAAAGTCTAAAAAATTTAAAAATCGAAGTCTAAAAAATTTAAAAATCGAAAAACCGAGATGGTCAAGACATCGAAACGTTAAAAAATTCCAAAATGGAACATTTTTTTAAAATCCCATAACAGAAATATCGAAAAATTGAAGAATCAATAAACTGAAAAATCCCAAAACTGAAAAATCGAAAAATTGAGAAATCCAAAACTTAAAAACCAAAACATCGAAAGTTTTTGAAAAACTGGAAACCAAAAACCTCAAAAATCGAAAAATTGAAAAATTCCAAAATTGAAAAATCGAAAATTTGGGAAATTGAAAAATGAAAAACCAAAAAAAAAGAAAAATTGAAAACCAAAAACTCGAAAAATTGAAAAACCTCAAAATGAAAGAACAATTGAAAAATCCCAAAACTGAAAAATCGAAAAGTTAGGAAGTCGAGAAATGAACAACGAAAAAATCAAAAATTTAACAATGAAAAATTGGAAATCAAAAACCTTTAAAATGGAAAAACTGAGAAATCGAAAATTGTAAAATCGAGAAACTAAGATAAAAATTCCAAACGGATTCATAAATTACAAGTTCAAGACTATATTACTTTTTAACATTTAAATAACTTTATTCGACAAAATTATAAGATGATTTCAAAGCATTTGATTTTGCAATTTTAAAGTTAAATAGCAAAATGTAACACAATTTTGATTTTTTTTTCCGAAAATCTGGATGCCTAAGATAAACACTCATCACGGATTCATAAACCACAAATATATTCGTTTACCTACCGAAGTATCTGAAAATAATTACCGTTATAAATAAACGGCAAATAATAATTTTTATAATCTCTTTAATTGAATTGGAAATGCTATTCTCACATTATTTTACCTCTAGTCAATGTATTCAGGTCCACGTCACTAAAAATCTAGTACATAATTTATTGTTGGCAAAAGTGATAACTGACACAACCTTAATTTTTATATTATATATTTATCATTATAAAACAGTACATAGAAAAATCAAACAAAATAACAAAAAAATAAAATATTCCATAACTTTCTGCATCTTCACGACCGATAACCTTCAAATAAACTTCATTTCTCCCTCAACGACAAAACCCTCGACTTAATTCCTCCAGTGGCCACTACAGACCACAATTATTTTTGATCCACTTTAAAGCCGACAATCTAAAAACGCAACGCTGCTACAAAAACCCCAAATTCCCATCAACTTACCAAACATCAACAAACTCATTTATATTCAAAATCGCAATTTCTGTTATTCCTCTGACAAAAATCCCTTATTACCAAATCGTTGAAATTCGGCGTACGCAACATAAGCTCTTTCTCCAGCGAACACATCACAAAAGCATCCGTGCTCCGACATTCCCGCGCTTTTTTAAACGCATCCTTCACTTTCGCCAAAGTCGTAAAACACCGATCAGGTTCACAAGTGATCATAGGCATGGTACAAATAATTTTCAACAGTTTGAACGTTTCAGGGAACGCATTAGTCAGTTTATTTTTATACATGTATTGCAACAGGATTATTGCACCTTCAATTTTTGATAATTCGGTTCGGTTGTATATGGTTAGAAGTTCGTTTTTTAAAGTTTCTATGGACAATTTGTGGAGGGTTGTAATTTCTGCGACTTCAGATTTAGGAAAAAATACTTCATATTTTGCGAAAAAACTACTTTGGACGAGAGCGGCCAATGAAAGGTGGCCAATATTACTGAAGCGATCTTCAACACAGTTGATAATTATGCTACAAATTGATTTAGCCATTTCGGTGCGCTTTTTCTCACAATTAACTAATTGTGTCGTAATTATTTCGTCAGTGGTTTCTTGTTTTACTCGCGTTAGATCTATTTCATCAATCGTGATTTCTTCTTTAATAGCGACATTTTCTGTACGTTGTCGCTTAGTTGGTGTAGGTGAATTATCACCAACTTGATTTTTAAGATCAATACTACATTCCACAGACTTCATATGGCCTTTAAAAATATCCAGATACTGAAGTACTTTCATCCCACTAAACCCTTCATGATACAACAATTGGTTAAACAACCTATCACAATTAGGAAATACTTTATTGAAAAAATCCAACCAAAAAATGAAATTTGAATCACTCAACAAACTGCTCAAAGCTACAGCTTTGGCGACGATTGGGCGTTCCGTTTCCACTTGAATAATATTATTAAGACATTCATTTATACTATCTTTGTGTAAGGAAACTATGAACACAGTTTGTGTATCAAAGTTCCATTTTATTTTAGTCCCTCTTAGATGTCGCTTCTCTGCGGCTTTATCAAGCTGCGCTATGTATTTCTGGTGTGAAAAAAATTTCGCAAAAGTTGCTAAATTGGCAAAGAAAATTTTCACTTCTTTGAAAGTGGAAGCTGCTCTCTGAATAATCAAATCAAGCTTGTGAGAATAGCTGTGAATGAACTTTGCACATGCGTACTGAGTTGTTATTTTTTCGTGCTCAATTCTGTGTGCGCAGGTCAGGCTTAAACCGTCGTGACTGTACGAAATTAATTTGTTAGGTGTGTCATCAATGTCCAAGTTTTCAAGTTCTTGTAAAATAACACTGGAGAGCTCTTCTGGTTTTTTTACAAATTTCAAAAAACGTTCAAATATTTGGCCACTTAGTTCGTATCTAATTATAAAAACTAAGTCCAAAGAACCTGAATTTGTAGCTTCATTGAATTCCACTGACACATAATCAGTTTGTTGAATTTCCTTGTGGATGAGATCCACACAAACCCTATAAACCGACTCCAACAACTCATCACATATTGTTTCTTTAGAAGCTACATAAAAAGAACTTTCACTTATAATTCTTTCCATTTTTGTTTTAAAATTTGTGTCAATTTCATCTTTAACACAATTGATTAGTTTGTTTAAAATGTAGCGATGTTCATGGACTCTCTCATTGTGATTTATAACCATAGCTGCCCACTCCTTGCTTCTGTCTTTGATATTACTTCCAATTAAAGCGTAACCCAGACTATTTTCCATGTGTTTTTTACTACGTTGGTGCTTCTCGACTTGTATTTTTAACTCTTCAAAGTTTGCAATACCAACACTAACGCCGTCGATCCAAGGCCCCGAACGGGTTTTATCCGTCACTAAACAAATGTAGCAAAAAAGGGCTTTTCTGTCGGGACAACCGCACAACCACTTTGACAATTTGTAAAATTCTGTGTTAAATGCTTGTGTCGTGTTTACGAGATTGAAACCCGGACGATGGGGGCCCACTTTTTTCAACTTGATTTTAGTTCCTTCACTCAGCGGTTTGCTTTCAACTATAAACTTAATGTAACTCACTGAATTCATGTTTGTTTTGTGCGACGAAACATTTTTTAGGTTAGGACAGTTGACAAAAGTCAACTGTCACATATGTCAACGATAATTGACGCGGAAAATTTGAAATCAAAGATACAATCGACGATTTGACTTACGAAATGCATTATTCAATTATGATACTCCACACGACACATTGAGCAAACATTAACTAATTACCTGATTACATGCTAAAAATAGACACAATAAACGATCATGCTCAGGTGAAAAGTAAACAAGTAATTTTTAACGTTCTACCCACCTTTCAGTATACATTTCTGAGTCCAAGTTATCGCCGCTTTTGTACAGACTCACGATTGACATGGCAGCCATGTCCTGATTGTCTTCGGAATTCTGTTTGGGTGCTTTAGGTCGTAAGCGCGGTTTCGGCTCTCCATTTTCCCCTTCGTAGTAGCTGAGTATATAGGGGTGGTACATAAATCGGTCGTTTTCCAGACTGTCTCCATGCCTCAGCGTCGCTAGTCTCTTCGTGTGAAATTTATTCGTTTGTGCGTTTGGTGGTGATAAATCTGATAACTCGTGTGAACCTGCTTGTTGTAGTAATGGTACAGACATGGAAGTGTTGATTGTGGGATTACCGGCTGCATTTTCTTTGGTTTTGTCTAGTGGCATCACAATGATCTGCAACAACAATTTCACAACTGTTTAGAGATCCACATGTTTTATTTTTCTTGGATTTGTGAGTCAGACGTCTTAAGACGTCATTTAGTGAAAGCTTGAGTTATTACTGTGATAACGACAATTATAAGTGTAAATAAACCGGAACGTAACGATAAATAAGCGTTGGGACTAATTTTTTTGCTCTATATTTAACTCCCACGAGTCGTATTTTTGGATTTTTGGAAAATTTATGGATTTCGTGGGGACATACTTACCTCTAAACTACAAATGGTTATTCTAGTATGGATTTCTAAATAATATATCACATGATCACATTCATTCTTCTCAAATAATTTTTTTTACTGCATTTCACTGAACACGGTTTTCCACAGTCACTTCTTGTGGTAGTTCTAATGTCCGCACATAGATTATTTAACACGTGTAGAATAGTAGTTCTTTCGTTACAGTGCTTGGTTATTTTTCTTTTGTACAGGTGACCATTCATTAAATTTCAATTCAAATAGTAAACATTTTGTTAAACTTTGTATTATAATTTATACATTACAATATTGTGTATTTAACTAAACTGCACTATAGATAAATCTTTCAAAAACGTTTTGAAATTTAAAATTTTATTTGTTTGCATAATTTTATGAGCCCTATTTATTTTAAACCAATACAAATTGTAATTTCTGTCTATACTATAACGTCGTCTATTTGTCTTTGGTGGAAATTTATGATTATAGAGAAATAAATCTTCAAAACTATAAATTAGATTAAACCAAAATTTGTTTCTTCATCTCCTCCAAAAAATATATGACGTCATCTAAATGTACAAAGTAGGTCCCTTATTTATCTCCCCAAAAAATATTGTATCACAATTTTTAAAAATAACCCTCCTTCCGTCGCCACCTGTGCTCGCCACAGTATATCCCATTTTATGACGAATCTGAAAAGTTCCAATGTACTCCACTGAACCGCTTCTTGGGAAGAAATGCCGTCACTTCCAAGTGGCGCCTCAGTCGTAAAATTTCCAAAATTATGTCCTCTGCAGAAAATTCATAGTAAAATTTACCATTTTAGAAATGTTTTAAGTTTCTTGTTAACGAAATAAGTCTGCACATACTAAGAAAAACAGGTAAAATGAAGCCCCGCCCACCCACCCTGTCTCAAATTGTGATGATTTTTTTATTCGTCGTGAGCGTTGTGGCACGGAGCTTAACTGCAAAATCCTTATTTCTCTACGCGAAATTAAGAACATGTTTTTGATTATCGTGTTGTTCAAAGAATACATTATGTATATTAAGAAAAAATAACGCCGTAGATTAGGCCCCACCCGTACCCGCCCCGATCTCAATTCTCAATTGTGATGAATTTTTCATTCGTTGTCAGATCGAGGGGCGGGGCTTAATTGCAAGTTCGATATTTGTCTACAAGAATTTACCATTCTAAACATGTTTTAAGTCTTTTGTTCTGTAAAGACAACTACGTATTTTAACAAAAAAGGTAAAACATATGCCCCGCCCACCCGCCCCATTTCAATTGTGATGATTTTTTTATAATCGTCGAGAACCAAACGAACGGAATTTAAATGCAAAATTCGTATTATTTCTCTCTCTACAAGAAATTACCAGGTTGTTTTGAGTATCGTATTATTCACAGGATACTATGTATATTAAGAAAAAATTAAAACCAAAGATTAAGCCCTACCCACCCATAACTGTCCTAATCTAAATAGTATATATTTTACCTTTTTTGTTAAAATACGTAGTTGTCTTTTTTCTTAATATACATAGTATTCTTAGAACAACACAATGCTCAAAAACATGTTTTTAATTTCTTGTAAAGAAATAAGTATTTTGCAGTTAAGCTGAGCCCTCCTGGTTCAGGGCGAATGAAAAAAATCATCCCAATTGAGATAGGGCGGGTGGGCGGGCTTACATTTTGCCTTTTTGTTTTAATATGTGTAGACTTCTTTTCACAATATGAAACTTAAAACATATTTAAAATGGAAAATTTGTATCTATAAGGAAATATCGATTTTCCAATTAGGCTCCGCCCCATAATAGCAAAACCCACATTTCCTTACATAAACCATTTTAACCATGTTTTCAGTTTCTTGTTATGAAAAGATGGCTGTCTATATTAAAAAAATATATATTTTAATAATGAAGGCCGTCGGCCGAATCTCTACTTTTACATTTTCTCGATCTGTCATGATCCCTAGCGTACGAAGAAATGGGTCTCCCGTTTCCGTCTGTCTGTCTGTCTGTCTGTCTGTCCGTCTGTCTGCCGTCCTGATTTTTTTTTGTATGTTTTTGCAGAGTGATTCCTCTGTAAGTATTCTCTGGCTGTGCGAGTGAGTTGTGGTTGTCACCCCTTGGTGCTTGGTACCCGAGGGGGACCGCCCCCACCGCCCCCTCCCTTTACGCCGCCACTGTATAAATCCTAGGAAGATATCAAGTCAAAATATGTAAATAACGGGTGACTATTAATGATTGTGACTTTTTTTTGTCAGGTTGACGACACATTTAAAATTTTATGATGGCATACCTGATTGTCAAAATGAAATTTAGAACACCAATTATAATAGTTGTGTGTTTATGTTACGCCTTAAAAACACTCTGACCTGACCTGACCTGACCGCCGCCACTATATAAATCCTAGGAAGATTTCAAGTCAAAATATGTGAATAACGAGTGACTATTAATGATTGTGACTTTTTTTGTCAGGTTGACGACACATTTAAAATTTTATGATGGCATACCTGATTGTCAAAATGAAATTTAGGACACCAATTATAATAGTTGTGTGTTTGTGTTACGTCTTAAAAACACTCTGTATAGTTGAAAATATATCTACACTGTGGTGACGGAATTTGAACCAAATTTTCGCGATGGCTTTAATTAACAGCGGAGCGAAATCACATTTGAATACTTAATTTTAATTTAAAAGAAAGAAATTCAATCAAAAAAATCGTTAAACATAGGCAACCATGTGCACGTTTACTTAGAGGGCGGTAGTTGACTTTGACAAGAGAGCGGCATGGCGAATAGCATGGTGGAAGCGGGATGCGGCATTATGGTTTGGTTCGGTGTAGTGGATGCATGGTGAAAAGACACTGTAAGTAGTTGGCTTAAATTAGTTGGTTTGGTGGTTAATAAAAGGGAGGAAGCCTTTGTTTAACGCCAATTAATCGTAAGGACAACGTCACAGTTTTACCCAATATGCGCAGCTAATTCTTGCGGTTTTTTAAATTCAACGATCAGATTAGGATTTTAATCGTTAAGTGGTGCTAACACAATTTAACAGACATTTGCTAGGAGTTTTCATGAAATTCAGTGATTCAGGACCCGTTTCATTTTGTTTGTTTAATTATAAATAAGTTTCTGGATGATAGTACGTAAGTGTTACATTATAACACTTCTAAATTCTTCACACAAGATTGCTAATAATTCATTTACGGAAGTTGAATTAACTAATTCGTACTGTGAACTGACGGGGGGTAAAATAATTTCTTCCCTTAGGCAGTTATCATCGTTATTATCATCGTTATCATCATTACTACACCGAGGCATGTCCTCGCAACGTTCAAGATTGATTACATCACCGAGACCTATTCTCTCGCAACGTGGAAAACTACATCACCGAGGCATTTCCTCGCAACGCTAAAATTTACATCACCGAGACGCTTTTTCCTCGCAACGATGACAGATAAACTGACGAACGCGCGCTTAGTGATACAGGTGATTCTAATAAAAGATTGTTCATCAAGTTGGTTGTGAAAAAATGCTGCTTATTTAAAACTTTGAAACAGATGACAAATCTATCGAGTCATAAAGTTAGGTTAAGATTGACACTTGTGCAAAGAATGTGAGAGAATCCTCTAATTCTATGCATTTATGACAACGAACGAGTGACCAACAATCATACAACGAAGTGCCAAAATTCACAATTTTGCAAGCCAATTAATATATATATTACTGTGATAACTGATAACCTTTGACTGGGAAAACATTCCGCCAAAATTGAGACATATGCAGTTTTAAAGCCCGCGAAAAATTCAAAAATTGGACTTGAACTGTGGTCGTTAATAAAATGGAACTCGACGTTGCGATATTTTTTTTTGTGTAATGCGTTCAAACGCAAAGTGGTGAACCCCAAGATTAGAAAAGTGTCTTTATATTAAAGTGCAAAATATTGAGAGCAAATTGTTTATTCGTCTATTCTGGAGAGGGAAAAATCTGGAAACTGTCTTTCAAAAATAAAGTCAAATCTTACATACAAAGTAATCAAAATATTTAAATATAACCAACTAAAAAAAAAAAAAACTATTAAAATTTAATCTTAATCAGCAAATGTGTGATGATTTTACTCGGTTGACAGGTATATCACACACATCACATCTCTAGGCCCAGCAAAAAGCACACATGAATAAACACAAGAGGAACATGTATAAAACGCTCAAAATTAAAAAGAAATATTATAATCCTCCCGTTTTGGAGTCCACGATGACATTATAATTTAATTGATAAAACTGTTCAAGGTTCTTTTTCTTAAAATGAGAAATAAGATTACTTTAATAAGTGTTACTGCCCATTCACAATGGACATAAGACATAAGAACAAGCGCATAACATAATTTACGTTTTTGGTCTGTGTCTGGCTTATGCTTATCTACGTTCACAGTGGACAGAGTGAACTCTGTAAGAATTGTTAAACTGCGCAAACGCAGAACGGAATAACTCCCGGCCAAACATAGAAACGGCTAACCTCAAACTGAGTAAAAAAAAATATCTAACCTACAATTTCATACGATATTCGAACTTAACAACTCGCAGTACAGAACAGACTCGCAGTGTGAAGCTTTGATTATAATTTATATAATATAATCAAAGGTGTGAAGTGCCAAGTACCAACTGTCAAAGGGAATTCAATAGCAGCATTCAAAAGTCCCTAGATTTTAACATAATTTTGACATAATTCGTGCACAAAGTTGAACTTATTTCAACTTTGTGTACGCACACAAGGATTACATAAAACGTTCATAAGCATAAGAATTACGTTCGTCCACTGTGAACAGGGGTACACGTTTTCCATCGTTTCAACTTTACGTATTTATGTAAGCTTTATGTACTTGTTATGGCTTATGTCCATTGTGAATGGGCAGTTATACTCGACTGAGAAGTTATAAAGTGTGGGTAATTTAAATAAAACCATTCAAAACTGCAGACATCATCATAGGGGTTAAACCGGAATAAATCAGTTTTCTGCCACATGTGTTTTATATACATTTCAGATTAGAAAATCATTGATTAACTAGTCTTACATTAATTATTCTACTCGTTGAGTAAGACTTTTGCCCTTATATGAAATTACAAAGTTCTCCATACCAATGTTTAACAGCTGTTTACACAACA